GGCGAAAGGTGAGTTGCCCTGGAGACCTACTAATCCCAAGAATCAAGCTGACTAACGATGTGCAACACAGCTCCACCCTCATCGCTGCCGGAAACCTTGAGATCCCCAAGATCGCCGCCGGCGAGACCGTCAAGGTCGACCTGCCTTCGAGCCTCGCAAACATCAAGTCCGACAAGGAGGTCTACATCACGGTAACGTTCGGTCTTAAGGACTCAACCAACTGGGCCGAGCCCTCGCACGAGATTGCGTGGATCCAGCACAAGCTCTCCGGTGTTGCGGCGGCCCCCAAGCTGCTCACCAGCACCCTCACCTCCAAGCTGCAGGTTCAAAAGTCTCGCGCCAAGACCACCGTCTCGGGCTCCGATTTTGCCATCACCTTCGATACCGCCCGCGGATACATCACTTCTTGGACCGCCGCCGGCGTGCCTCTCCTCGAGAAGGACAATGCCACTGGCGCAGCCATTATCCCGAACTTCTGGCGTGCTCCAACAGACAACGACAACCCCAACGATGCTCCCTACTGGGTTCGTTTTGGTGTCGATGCGTTTGACAGCTTCCTTCGGTCATTCAAGGTCAACGAGTCGGCCGACAAGGTTGAAGTCATCACAACTACCTACCTCTCCCCTCGCGTCCTCGACTGGGGCTGGGAGACCACCACTACCTACACTATCGATGCTACCGGTCGCCTCACTATTGCTGTTGACCTGAAGCCTCGCGGCATCAAGCCCACCCACATCCCTCGCGTGGGCCTGAACCTGCGTCTGCCCAAGTCGCTCAACAACGTCAAATACCTTGCTCTCGGCCCCGGCGAGTCCTACCCGGACAAGAAGTCCAGCCAACACCTCGGCGTCTTCAATGCCACCGTGCCGGAGTTGCACCAGCACTACGAGGTGCCCCAGGAAGGTGGCAACCATCTGGAAACCCGCTACATCAACCTCACCGAGGACCACGGCCGCGGTCTCCGCGCCACGGCGGCCGAGGCTGCGGTCTGGTCTGAGGAGGAGTGGCGCCAGTTCAGCTTCCAAGTCAGTCACTACGCCACCGAGAAGGTGCACAAGGCGGCGCACCCGTGCGATCTCGTTGAGGAGGATGCGACGCTTCTGCGTCTTGATGCCCGTGTTGCCGGTGTTGGTACTGCCGCTTGCGGTCCCAACGTTAGGGAGGACTTGAAAGTGCATGTCGGAGACTTCAAGTTTGGATTCGTTTTGGAGAGAGTCGGATTTTAATGAAACTGTGATGATCTTGGTTTACGATGAAATAGTTATACTGGTGTCTTGAGACCTGGGCACATGTCACGGATATCTAGAGCTAGATAGAAGTGGAGTGAATGATTATGACCTTCAATCCGCTCTGACTTGTGAGCGTCCTAAAACCGCTTTGAGAAACAATCAACTTTAAGAATCCAACACGCCTGTTTCAAAGGTCGAGAGCCTTGGATGAGAGCGTGCGGTCTTCCGTTTGGGAGGTCCTCGGAGTTGGTCGGGGCTGGTGGGTCGCGCGCGGTTCAAGAGAAAGTCTTCTGTCACTCCAATCACAACCGGCCGGTTGGCCCAATGGCAAGGCGTCTGACTACGACCGAGCGCTACGGCGATTTGGCATGTTATCAGGAGATTCTGGGTTCGACCCCCAGGCTGGTCAATTCTTTTGCTTCTTTCACAATTAGTCTTTCGTCCGATTTTGTTTTTGTAAGTCAACAAAAGGAAGCACGATGATGCCGACTTGTTCTTCTTGTAGCCAGTAGTGACCCAGACTTATTTATACTCCGTAATTGAGGCACACGGGCGCCTGTCTCATGCTCTCCTAAAGCCAAGCGACTATTCGAGGGTCGACCGTATTCGTCAGTTTAGAACATGATATTCCGGGAGGTGTAATTGATCGAGTGCCTAAGCAGATTGTGCAATTCTTAGAGACTAAAGTCTAAACCTCTGAACTCGACTACTGTTCGTCTGCTCGGACTCAAGCCTTCGTTTCTTCGACCAAGAAGCGGGGATGTTACGACGCTGACCGGCGATCGACATCACTGCAGATGGCATTCGACTTACGTTATGGACTCAACGTGCCATTCGTGACCTCTTCTCCCGGTTCCAAGTAGGAACCCTGGCACAATGAACCTAAAGGCTCTGCCAAGTAAGCTAGGGATCTGTTCTACAACGTCGGATGCATCCCCCGCCTCTGCAATACGACACAACTGAGCCGTTCCGCCTGGGCTTACTCCAGAACTAGAGTTTGCTCGAATAGAATCGGAAGTCTTTGAAGCGATCTTTTGCCTTTCGAAGCACACTTCTTTACGGGAGTAGCCGACAACGGCGGATTTTACACGGTCAAGCATTGTTATATCGTCTCTCAAAACACCATGCAGCCAACTAGTTGTTGTCGACTTTTGGTTCTTTTACTCCTCAGCTAGCAAGGCTAAATCTGAATAAAGATATTATTCATTTATTCTTAGCCATGAGACTTAGCAAACTAAGGGTAGCCTTTCTAGGCATAGTAGCGACGGCGACAGTGTCTGCCGGTATATATACGGAACTTCCAACCAACCTCGCAGAGGTGGACGTCATAATTGCCGGAGGTGAGTCTGTTATTGGCGTTTCATCGTGGTCAAATTCTTATCATGAATGCAGGAGGCACCGCTGGCAGCATCATTGCCTCACGACTCGCCGAAGTAGACTCAACCCTATCAATTCTCGTCATCGAGCAGGGTCAAGACAGCTTCAATGTCACAAATGTCATCTACCCAGCATTATTCGAGCGAAATACCCTGCCCAATTCCAACACTGCCCTGTTCTGGAAGGCCAATAAGTCACCGCAACTGGCGGATCGCGAGCCAGTTGTCGAGACAGGCGGCATTCTTGGGGGCGGATCAGCTATCAATTGGATGGTATACACCCGCGGGCAGTGGGATGATTTCGAATCATGGAACACGTCGGGGTGGTCTGCGGAAGACTTGCTGCCACTTCTGCGAAAGGTATCCTTCTTTCGATCATCACAATTCACCCAGAATGGCTGACGCGACCCCAGGTGGAAACATATCACGGCACACCTACCAATGAGTCCACTCACGGGTATGATGGACCAATCCATGTATCAAAGGGAACACACCAAGCGCCTCGAGCTGAAAGAGGCTGGATCGACGGGGCTGTCGAAGCAGGTTGGTCGGAGATAGAAGACCTTCAAAGTCTGCACTCGAACAATGGCACAGGGCCTTGGTATCGATATGTCTCGCCTACCGACGGCCGTCGACAAGATGTCGCTCATCGTTACTTGCACCCACTTCTACAAAGTGGCGAGTATCCCAATTTGCATGTCTTGGTAGAAACTCAGATCCTCCGTATCCTATTCGAAGGGGAAGAAAATCGCGCCGCTGGAGTGGAGATCCGACACAACCCAGCATTTGCGCAGGGTTCCCGAGATAACAGCACCACGAGAGTCAAGGCGAGGAAGCTTGTTGTTTCTTCCGCCGGGTCCTTTGGAACTCCACTGCTTCTCGAAAGATCCGGAGTTGGGGATCCTGCAGTGTTGGAGAAGGCGGGTATCGCAGCTGTTGAAAGTCTTGATGGAGTCGGCAATGACTTCCAAGGTAAGTTTGATTCACTCTCGAGGTGGTGGCCAGAGCTCGAACTGACTATTGACGTCTTGTAGATCATCACTTCGTTGGATACGTCTACCGCACAAATCTCGAGCAGAACGAGACCATCAACGGAATAGCCCGCAATGATAGGGGCAGAGATGTGGATGCCATGATTGCCGCAGATGACAAGCAACTCGGATGGAACGGCCACGATGCCTCTAGCAAGTTCAGGCCGTCTCCTGCTGACATCGCAGCTCTGGGACCGGAGTTCCAAGCCGCTTGGGACAGGGACTTTGAGCATTCACCGAACCGACCTCTCATGATCATGGGACTCTTCAACGCCTACTTTGGTGACCCTGCTGCCCTTCATGACGACGCCGAGTACGTTACCACAGCACCATGGGTCACGTATCCATACGCGAGAGGCCACATTCACACCACTGGGCCAAATATTGATGATCAGTACGACTTTACCACCGGCTGGCTCCTTGACGAGAACGATATCGATCTCAAAAGCCATATTTGGGGCTACAAGACACAGCGAGCCATCGCTCGTCGAATGGAAATATTCAGGGGCGAGCTCGCACTAGGGCATCCCGAATTCTCCAACACCTCAAGCGCGGCTGTGATTGAGGTGGCTGAAGGTCCGGTCACTGACTCGATTGAATACTCTGCCGAAGACGACGCTGCAATTATACAGTACATACGAGAAAATATTGGAACGTCGAGACATCCTTTGGGTACGTGTAAGATGGCGCCGAGGGAGAGCCGAGGGGTTGGTAAGTAGCTCCGCTAAGCTTGAAGACCTGTCAGTGTACTGACATTAGATACTGCAGTTGACCATGAATTGAATGTGTACGGTGTGTCCGGGTTGAAGATTGCGGATCTCAGCGTGCCAGCTCAGCAAGTTGCTGCCAACACTTACAATGCTGCATTGTTAGTGGGTGAGAAGGCTGCAGAGATCATCATTGGAGAACTTGGACTTTGAGAATACTTATGAAGCTGAAGCACATTTAGCAACGGGAAATTGAAGAAAGTGCGTGAGAATAGGCTGACAGGAAACGCAAATGCGTAATTCGAGGACGAACATGTCACCATCAAGTATAGAATACGCAAGACAGCAACTAGCGTCTCTCAGACGATGAAGGCAATCGTACAGTTGAAACTAAATGGAAGCGTGCGCTTACTCATACTGAGGGTGCAAAACTTCAGGCATCGACTGAAACGCTCTATGTATGAATGAGATGCGACAATCGCTGCCTGCACCCCGCGTAAGCAGTGACGAGTCAAGCTCAGGCACCAATTATCTGCTTCTTATTCAAAAGAAGTGGAATGTCGTGAGTTGGTCTGAATTGATCATACCACCAGTATCGTCTAGTGAATCTCATCTTCAATACACCCAAGTCCAGTTCAGCCACACAAGTCTTCCGCAATGATTGTCACTGAGCTTGGTGCCATGGGCGTCAAGCCCGGCCTCAACATTATGGATGAGTCCACACCGGAAGGCCAGATTTTCATGGGCGTCTATCGTAAGATCATCGCAGCCCCTGGAGCTCCTCACCGATTGTATCTGGGACTCGAACTTGAAGACCCAACCATGGTCTGGGGCTTCTTTGACTGGGATTCAATTGAAGACCATGAGAAGTTTGCCAAAGAGTGAGTCGACGCTACCACATGCCCCTTCATCTTCAAAACAGGTCTGACAGATATCAGGTATGGCGTGGAACTGTGCAAAGACTTGCCCAAGGTCTTGACATACGGCGAATTCTGCAAGCACATTACCGCCACGCCAACTTTTCCAAATGCGCTGAAGTCTGTCGTGACTGATGTCTTCGTCATTTACTATCCTTCCAACATTACTCCGAAGGCAAAAAATACAGCGACTGCACGACTTCAGGAGATCCTCAAGGAAGGCTTCGGGAAAGTCTCTGAAGCGACTGTCACGAGCTACGGCTGGGGAGTTCAAGACGATTTTCCTGTGAAGGGGGGGAAACCCAATCAGACAGGCTCTATCTTAACAGTGTTTGTCGGCTGGTCCAATCTCGGGGCAAACGAAACCTTTCATCAATCACAGACCTATAAGGGGATTGAAAGCAAGCTTGGAACCATTGAAGGATCAATCAAATTGAGATCGTTCCGTCTCAGCTGCACAGTACTTGAGAAGCAGACACGGTGGATCAAGCAAACAGATGGAAAGGCAACAAATGATTGCTGAAGGAGGCTACTATAACGAAGGCTTACAGTCGCTACTGATCTGCACGTTGTTTTTGTTTCTTCATGTATAGTCACACGTTCCTTCACATAAGTACCTGAAGTATCTTCAATACATCAGACATGGCTTAAAGTAATCGTTGATTCGATGGTGTGATTCATCTCTGACTATGTGCTGCATAAGTAGATACGTAAGGCAATCCAAAATCCATGCGATGCCGTTTGCCGCCATCCTGTTCCTTCCCGTAGGTGCATGGAATGGATTCAAGCCGTGGGCGTGGCCACAGCAGGGGCGACCATATCGGCAAGCGGTGCCGCCGTTCTCTTCATGCCACTCGGCCCGCACGTGCTGACCTTCAAACCGGCATAGATGGATGAAAACGCCGCTGGAAGAAGATTGTCTGCGCTTCCTGCTTGGATGGTTCCGACATAAGGGTTGAAATTGTAGATACCGCAGGGACAGTGGTCCAGAATCTGCATGCCAGCAGTCCCAGAGAAAACAGAAGATCCTCCGCGAGCAAGGCTGAAGGCGACGGTGCCCGGCTTCATGTCTACGGAGAATTTGGCAGCGCCAGCAGGGGCTTGGAAAGTCTGACTGTTGCCGGCAACATTGACGGTCAAAGATGCAGCCTCCTTGAGCAGCGTCACGATGTAAACCTTGTCCTCCATGGTTTGCCATCCATCCGGTCTGCCCTTGAAGTAGTTGCCAGAAGAGTTGTTGGCATCACTCATAGTAGTATCAGTCGCGTCGCAATTAATTTCGCGGAGAGTCGGACGGAACCAGTAGACGACCTTGTCTTCGGTGATGTAGGTCTTTGGGTCACTAGCGCCGGCTTTGAACGCCTTGATGAACGGCTGTGCCATGTCAAGCCATCCGTTGTGGGGGAATCCGTAGACCCATTTGGAGTTCCCGTCATCACCGTGCGGGCTGTCAAGACGTCCGACGTAATGACTCTCGCCGTAGTCATTCCAAGTGACAATCTCAAGAAAGCGCGGCTTAAGGGAAAGGATTTGCTGCCAGCGGTCGTACCAGAGAGTGTCGGATGGAAATACCCAATTTTTGGAATACGAGACCTCGGGACCAAAATGCGTGAAGAACCACGGCGACACTGGCGCAATATAGGGCTTGCCATTGAGTGCTGCAATGTAGGCCGCATCACCCTGCTGGACTGAGACGTTGCCTCGACCGTCGGGAGCTTTGTTGAGGCCGTTGTTGGGCCAGCCGAGCCAGTTGAGAGCGCCGTCGAGAACGCTGAAGTCTGTCTTGAATTCCGGATGGAAATTTGGTGCCCAGAAGACGGGGACACCAGCAGCACTGCGCATAGCACCGACATCCAGCCCGTCTCCCGCAAACGAAGACGCAAACGCTTTGTTGTCAACCATTAGCTGAGCGGGACGCGAGGCATACTTGGCGATCATCTGGCCGACGCGAGTTGCCTCACTGGTCTGGTACCAGTTGAAGTCGAAGGAGATGAAGACCTTCATGCCGTTGTTGGCAGCAGACTGGTAAGCCAAATCGAGCTGGGTCTCGCTGTAAGGGTCGACGCCAATGTTGAGAGCAAAGGCGTCGATGCCAGCCGCCTTGGCGTTCTTCATATCAGCATCGTAGTCACTAGGTGAGCTACGCATACCGACGATGCCAATCTTTCATTAATGTCAGCTAGAAACTACAAAGATGGACCCCATCCAGTCGAACTCACCATGAAGTGACAAAAGACAAGCTTCTCACCACTGTCTTGGCGAAGGCTGAGGGTGTCGCCATGTGTAGATGGAACCGTAAGGCAGGTGGCCAAAGTGACCATGGCCGCAGCCAAGAGGGCCTTGAAAAGATGAGTGAAAATCATTCCGAGCAGCTGTGTTGTCTATAATCTGGGCCTGCTAGTTACACAGAAGAGAACTGAAGCAATCGAGGAAGGTCTCTTTATAAGTTGAAAGTCCGAATTTCTTGGCTCCTTCCGAAGCGCTCTGGCCCTCGCTTTGGCTATTTTCTCGTCTGTTCTCTCCCGTTGCCCCTGCTCTTTGCCGTCCGCTGACAAGCGTGGCAGGCCGCACTGGCATCCCGCATGATTCTATGGTCAATGTCACGGAGTCCTGCATATCAAGTTTGTGCCCGAGATGCTTCGCAGATCTCTTACCTCACTTTCAGAGAGAAGGTCCGAATCGTACGTCTACCATAGGTCTGATGATGCCACAATTTCCACACCGGCAACCCTCTTCTTCCGGCTAATTGCTCATGGAATGCCGGCAGTTTGCATGATCAGGCACAAAGTCCTCCTGCGGTCAACTGCAGTAAAAAGACCTGTTGCAGTAAGAAATTCATGTCACGTTGCAGCTCTGCCTCTCTTTGGCAGATGTCGGCCTCAAACTCTTCTCTCCTTTCTCGGAGAAAAGCGTTGAAGTCAGGGCAAACTTCCGTTTGACGGAGTTTGAAAGAATAAACAGAAGGGTTTGCTGTTTTCGATACATCATTCCGCCCAAGCAACAAATCATGGGCAACCACATATGTCACAGGGTCCCGAAACACCGGCCCTAGAATCTTCGAAGTCATGCTTATTGCCTCCTTTGAACGCTGAATGGGCCGTTGAGTATCCATATCATTCGGCCCGCGCTGACTGCTGGTCTCCGAATACAACCCTACCAACAACCCGACTGGCGTCCCCTTGGCCAAAGTCATTTATCTGGGGTGCATATGGTAAGTGTGGAAGCTTTTGTCCAGGCCCTGCCAGATGTCAGTAAGCACCACATGACGGAATGTCTCGTCGGCTTGCCACATGGTTGGTGGTAACACCCGGCAGTGCGGAGTAGTCGAGACAAATCACAAGCACAAAACATAAACGACCCTCCAATCAACGTTAGAACCAAGCCCTACTACGGTAGTTGAAGAAAATTGGACCTCCCTGCAGGTGGTATTATCCCGACGCCAAATACTACTAAGATGGGATGATTGCGACGGAGAAAATCGGGGGTTCCTTAAACCGACGTCAACTCTCCGTGTTGTCGGGTTGGGATCGTAGAAGAGAAAACAAACAGTATCGTATGCCAGCAATCTAAACTTTTCATGATTATACAGCATTGCAGTTAGCCAAGAGTTAAGGCGGCGCACAGCATAACCTTATGACGAATTACCGTCATCATCTGCAAGACTATGCCCGGTCATCATAGGGAATACCCCTGACTTGCAGTAAACGTAAGCGCATGGCATGCAAACAGTGAGTCGGTCAAGACTGCCCACTCCTCGACAAATTATCTTTGGATTTGGACCTTTGGTAGAGATGGTTCCCTTAAGATGTAACCCTCTTGTGCTGCAATCTTGTGACGACTGTCAGGCCGCTCAAAGTATCGCAGTCTTCGGGAGAACCCGCCACAGTCTTCACCCCCGTTTTATCCTATACCCTGACTTGATGATTCTTCCAGCCATCTATTCATTCTTAGTGTGTGTGTTGAGAAGAAGCACCTTCTCTTTTGAGAAGATTCGTTGCGTAGTCACCGGCGTCCCTTAAGCCAATCGTGAGGTTGATCTCAGCCCCCTATGATACCATGCAGTTCCACACGCACAACTACTATCTAGCATAGTAAACTGGGAGACTTCGGTCCTTTTTTCTTTTCATTTTTTTTTCAATTGGACTTAAGTTCATGGGTTACTTCACACCTCAACTATCAACTATGGTTGCGGTAGAGCCTCTGATGGCATCGTATGTGTCAGGCGGCATCCGCGCATCTCCATCGAAAGCAACCCAACAGCAAGATTGTCATTTCACTCAGTTATTCCCCCAATGATGGAAATGCCGCCGAAGCTTCTCAAAGTGCCTGGTGATGTTAAGCTTTCGGCCCTTCAGAGCCTAGTTGCATTTCGTACTGGTGATTGATGCAGTCCGCGCCGTGACCGCCTCGGACTTCCGTCTCATCTGCAGGTGGTAGGACTCAGGGGCTGCGCCATCACACTCTATTCGTGATGTCACGTTGTCTCAACATCGAAGCCGGTAGGCAACGTCGTTGAGGAGATATGGAAAATCAGTTCTCAGCTCATGGTATTGTACTTGACATTGAAATGAAAGACCACAATTAAATAGAGCTCGTCAAATAACGCCCGTCTTAGTGTCTATCCTGGGAAGGAAGCAACAATCAGCTCGAGATATCCTACAGAGCATCATCTATCATTTCCAATAATCTAGAAACATCTACATAGCTCACTAAATGGCGCGAATATTTCAGACATGCCTCTCTCTGCTGGCGTTGATGCTCTTGCCGGTATCTACCCAAACGACAAAGCCAGTCTATGCGCACTTTATGGTAAGAACATCACCCAATGACACGATAACAAGCCCACCATAATCCTCATTAACTTAATAACCGAGCAGCTCGGAATCGTCGAAAACTACACCATATCAGACTGGCACCTCGACATAACCCAAGCCAAAGAAATCGGCATCGACGGCTTCGCTCTAAACTGCGCCCCAGCCCGCATCGACAGCTACACCCCCAAACAGCTCGCAAACGCCTACCAAGCATCGCAAGACCTCAACTTCACCGTCTTCATCTCCTTTGACTTTGCCTACTGGTCCACGGCCGATACGACCGAAATCACCTCCATAGTAGGCAACTACAGCGCGCATCCGGCTCAGGCACGGTATGACGGCGGCGCCATCGTGAGCACCTTTGTCGGGGACAACATGAACTGGACCGCGGTGAAGAATGGAATACCTCCGGGACAAAAGATTACTGCTCTTCCGATGATTCAGGATCCTGCGTGGCTTTCTGTTGCGAATACGGGTCTTGATGGGGCATTTTCGTGGTATGCGTGGCCGACAGATGGGGGCAATAGTATCATTCCTGGTCCGATGACAACTATCTGGGACGATCGGTACCTGGCGAATCTGGGGAGTCGTCCGTACATGGCCCGTAAGTGACTGTGTCGTTGACCATCTGTCATTCTATCTCTGATACAAATGGTGTACTGATATTAAGTCTTCAAAAGCCGTCTCACCTTGGTTTTCAACTCACTTCAACACCAAGAATTGGGTCTTCATCACGGAAGAGCAACCCACCATCCGCTGGGAGCAGATGCTTGTCATGAAGCCTGCACTGGTTGAGATCATTAGCTGGAACGGTGAGTAGTGTATTGTTCCATGTCACTCAGGTAACACGACTGAATATCTCGAGACAGACTTTGGTGAAAGCCACTACATCTCGTAAATAGATCTTACCTCTGCTCAACGTCTCAAAGCTCAAGATACTAATATCTAAAAGGGGCTCACAACCAAATCACTCCGACGACGGCTCCTCCGCCTGGGCAACCGGTTTCCCTCACGACGCCTGGCGCACCCTAATGAAGCCCTACATAGCAGCCTACAAGTCCGGAGCCCCCAAACCCACCGTCGTCAGCGACGAGCTAGTCTACTGGTACCGCCCAACGCCCAAGAACACGGTATGCACAAACGACACCCTCGGCGCCCCCAACGGGATCCAATACCTTGCCGACGTGGTCTTCGTCGCCACGATGCTAACGCAGCCCGCCGTGCTTACCGTCACCAGTGGGAGCCAGCCGCCGGTCGCGGTGCCAGTCGACGCGGGGATCCAGACCACCAACTTCACCATGGGCATCGGCGCCCAGAAGTTCTCGGTATCGCGTAACGGTGCTGTGATTCTAGGTGGCACGAGCAGCAAGGAGATCAGCGGGACTTGTGAGAAGTATAACTTCAACGCCTTTGTGGGTTCCTTCGAAGCCTAAGCTGACCGTGGCGTTCTCGATACACCGGGAGAATGATGTGATTTCTTTTGAGGGACTTTCAGGTCTATAGGGGCAGTAACATTTGATCCATACCCGCAACTCCAAATGCTGATCTTATAACTAATGTTGACATTATCACTGGAATTACATCAAGAAACCGTGCGCAGGGGAATATGAATAGTGAAGGCCTGCGTGTCGGAATCGATGCCACAAGGCCGCGAAACCTTACAGGTGATTTGCCGATGAGGACCGGCGGAAGTCAGGGACCAAGTTCATTCCCTTCCGCATCACGTGCCACAATCGAGATCCAAACGAAGAAGCCTGTACCACGCGTTCCTACGTCTCGCACACTAGATAGTAGCCATGGCTACCGTGCTCCCTCCACTCGGCATGTGTTCACCGACCGCGCTGTCGACTTCCCCCGGTGCCACAAGACGAGCCTTGCTGTCCACCTACTTCGAAGGGGGCTTTTGCAGTCATGTCTAATCATCCCATCATAGCGGGTAGAGCTCCCGAGGTTGTAAGCATACATGTACTGATCTCGTACTACAGGTTCTCGAATAACACCACTTTGGGTACACAACACTCCTGTAATCCACCGAGTCCGATGATCGCTAGCATATGGGAATAGAGTCCCGGATTCTGAAGAGCCTTTCATTATTCCGAGGTTGGGATAGAATGATTGGACGATTTAAAAGCCCGTCGTAGGCGGGAGAGGATATTAGACAATGCTCAAAAGTACTTCTAGACGGAGTTTTAGATAAACGTCGCCTAGGTAGCCCTATCAGAGCCCGGGAAAATGGAAATAGCGAAGGCACGGTGCCACGGAAATGCCTTTCAATCGCCTGGTCAATCCGGGACATCAGTGCTCTTCCCCGGGTTCTGTGCACCCACCTAGGCTCGACCGCCAATCCCCGCCTCGCAGAAAACACCAGGACGTCGGTCTCGAAATGCTTCCCGTCGCCGTATTCGCAATCATCGGATGTCAATTCCTTCATGGGGTACTGCGGTGCAGGGTTTGGGTTCGCACGACCCCGGAGTCTGCCGCGCGATGGAATCATCAGATGATGTTTGACCTGGGAGGAGGGCACACGTTTGACGGCATGCAGCGTCCCGGCAGGCTTTCGAATGTTGACCCGTTTGTAACCAGGGGTGACTCTTGAGTCTGTCCCAATCATACGGTCGGTCACTCAGACATAGAGTCTGTGAGGGAACCTGACTTGATCTTATCACGGATGTCATTGGAAACTAAGTAGAAGGTGTTGATAAGTGTTCATATTCTTGATACATAGATTGGCTTTGCTTTGTGCAAGTATTGCGCAAGCTCTGTACACAGCGAATCCAAGCTTGGAACTCAGTGCAGGTACGAAGACGCCCCAGGACTCTGTAGACCGTCCCATTAATACCGCGAAACAAAAAAAGGACACAATGAGAACTGGGCAACAAAGATGAACTGCCAAGTGAAGAAGAATCATAGCGTAATCGACAAAATGAGAAAAAAATATCCGTATTGGATGTGTTTTTGTAGTAGTAGAGGTAGTAGTAGGAAGTCGTAGTAGTAGGAAGTCGTAGTGGTAGGAGGTGACATGGTATACTGGAAGAGAAGTAGTAGTAGGTAGTGATGAGGGTGTCCTCTGTTTGGTATCATTGTTGTGAGTTTTACGTCTGCCGCGGCAGCGCATTTTCGTCCACGTTTTGCTCTTGTTTTTTCTTTTTCCATATGCCATTTCTGCGCCGTTCAAATCATCCACTTAGTGGTTTTGAGGAAGAGATTAAAAAGAAAAAGTAAACCGCCCGCCTTGTCATCTGTGATTCTTGAACCATTGTCGTAGGGAATCGTTGCTCACTCAAACAAGGGCAATCTTGACGTCGCCCTCTTGAGGTTGGGATTGGGGCAGGACAGCCTCGCGTTGGTCCCGCTTCTTCTTTCCAAGTCTCTCGCACCACTCCTCGGCACTAACAATGGTACCATCAAGGACACCACTGACTTGTGACATCATGTCGAGACCCTCCTTAGCTAGAACAAGCACACGATGGGCACCCTCGCGCATCGCCTCTTGGTCGCCAATCTTCTCTCCCTGTTGAGACTCAACCATGCTGGCATAGCGGAATCGCTGCGGCAAAGTAGTCAGATGACGGCGAACCAGCAAACGGGCGTTTTCGGGCAGAGCGCCGCCGGCGTATTTGGAAACAGTCACGATAACGTTCTGCAGTGTCTTGAGAACGTCGCCTTTGAGTGACGCGATCTTGGCCGCTAGCAATGTACGTTCCTGCTCAGACATTGGCTCGGGTTGGCTGTCAGCCATTACGTAGTCGCCGTCGTTGGTAACTGCATTCTGCTCTTCTTGTTGGGCTTGGCCCGGCTTCTCAAACTGTTCAAGAGTAGTCTTGAGGTTATTGATAACCCCACCAATGTGCTCATTCGCCCAACGCAACCATCGAAGACAGTACTTTAGGCTCCTGAGACTCTCATCGCTCATAGCAACACTTAGACCGGAGGTTGACATAATTAGGCGAGATTGCCAAGCCGCGTTTGATGAGGTGGGTCGCTCCGCTTTTTCGTTTTCACTGTAGGCTGGGGAGCGGTAGTCGTCATACGCCGGTAGAGTATCAATGGTGCTAGCTCGTGAAAGTCTGCGGTCGTGCTTGAACACGTAGGGATCACGAGGAGAGTCGACATCGGGCATGACGTTGCTCTGCGCATCAATCATGAGCCTGGCCAAGTCTTCGCCCGTATCGACTTTGCGCCGCTTGTGAGACCCTCCGTCGGCAGCTTCAATGTCGTTCGACTGATGCCGTCGACCGGCGCCGAGGAACCAGCGCACACCACCCTCAACACCTGTCTTCCGCCCGACCGTGCCGACAGTGTTGGCAATGGGCGTCAAGTAACCTTCGACATACTCGGCGCTAGATTTGAAGCGCGGGGAGAAGTTTTTGGAGTTGTTGTAAGCCGACGTGGCACCTTCGATGGTTGTCGCGAGCAATGGGTGGGATGTTGTTAGGAGTGAGAATAGGGGCTCTTCAGACTTGAGTTGTGGATTTGACGTGATTGAAACGGCCGGCGAGGCTCTCGGGAGAGGTGTGTGACGGGCGGGAGGTGAGTTGATGAAGTCTAGACATATTAGCTTTCGTTATCAGACACAGACGGGGCCTCGCGAGTGACGAACCGGCTCGAAGGTCCCCTAGTGCTTCAGCTGCCATGCGCACATCGGGGTCGTCCAGGCTAACACTGGCAGCGCGTCCTTCGTAAAAACGATCTGGGGATGCTGCGCTCAAGGCGCTATTGCTAACTACATCGAGGTCCATTCTCGCAGGCGAATCGGCGGACTGGGCATGACTGGGTGTGTAGTACGTCGTGAGGGGGTTGAGGCTCGGCCAGTGGGTGAGGAGCACTGTCGTCGTCGAGGACCGCTTCAGGGATGATGTGGTTGGTTGTGGTTGCGGTTGGTGATGCTGTTGATGTTGCTGTGCTTCAATGGGTTGAGATGGGGCGACGATGGGAGGGAACCGCGGAGGCGGAGGACCTGTCACGGACGAGAGAGATGGCAGGTTGTGACCGACGTTATCATTGTGTTTGGCGGCGGGAAGGATGGGTGCAAGCTCGGTAGTCGGGGCGTCGGGAAACCTCAGCAGGTTGGGATCGTGGGACTGGGCATGCGCATAGCTCGGGGGAGCATATGAAGGCAGCTGGGACGGGAGATGTGTCGGATCAAAGCGAGCGTGAGAGAGGACGTGCTTGTTGGGTTTAGAGACGGTGGAAATAGAAGCGGCAGCAGACGTAGAGGTAGAGGCAGAGGCAGACGCAGGTGGGCGGATGTGGTGGGTGTGGGCGAGGGACGAGGAAGATGGTGGCAGCTGGCGGTCTCCAGGCGCAGGCCCGTGCAGCATGTGATTTTGGCTCTGGCTCATGCTCTGGCTCAAATCCATTTCGCAAAGTATATTCGGACGGCGGTTCGAGACTTCGCGGGGAGGGGGTCGGCGGAGAAGCAGCAAGAGAGGGATGAGCGAGACCGGCGCGGCTGTCTCAGCGGTCAACTATGGACTGGCATGAGTGGAGATATGACTCTCGTTTCCCGAGGCCGTTGTGATTCTGAATTTTGCAGATTTCTCAGTCGACGTCGGGGAATGTTGTAGTCTGCCTCCGTGCAGCGGTGGTGCAGACGCGCGGGTCAGAACGAACGTGAGGGAGAGCAGACGAAGGGGTAAAAGTGGCTGCGGGCGGCGCGAGAGAGGTTCATGTAGTACGGTTTGGTCGAAAGTGGCGAAGGACAGGCAGGACGACGGAGCGGATTTCGAAGCCAACGAACGAACAAGGGAGGCGAGGCGGCAGGAGATGTGGTTTCGGGGGACGACCGAGTGGAGGGCGGATCTGGAGAAGCGAGGGAGGGAGGGATGATGGTGGTAATCGTAGCCGTAGCGTGTGGTGGTGGGATGAGTCCAGTCCGTGTATCTGGTAAAGTAGCGCGGAGCGTAGCGCTGGGGGGGTTGGTGTGCGTGTACCCTTTGGAGGGCACCTTTATCACTATACGGTAAGTATGTTACCTCGATTTCGACGAAAGGATTGCGTGTGTGTGTGTACGGATATGTGAGTGTAAGAGTTGAAGTGTGTGCGCAGAACGGGAAGCCAGGAACCGTAGCAGATGTCGAGGGGAAGAGATACTGAAGGTGGAGGTATGCCGGGGTGGTGGTGTTCTGTCGATTTGCCTGACGGGTGATTGATGGATTGACGGATTGACGGATTGATGAATTACTTGATTTGATTGACGGGGGTGGGAGAGGTGGCACAGGAAGAGGTGGTTGATGCCGCACCAGAGCGCACCCAGGATGGACGGGGACGGGCGACGATGGGGGACGGGGGAGGTCGAAGGACTCGGGACAGGAAGGGGCGACGCTCACAATGCGAGGAACGAGGTAGTCACGTACCTCTCAAAAGCGAAAGAGAGGTAGGAGAAGCAGGCGGCGACAACACCGCAGCTGGCAGGCACGCGGGCCACACCCATTGCGGCGGGAAGGAGAAGGGGTCACTGGCGCATGTGGTGGGCTGGGATACTTGGAGGTACCTCCACAATTCAAGTCACTCCTATCTTGCTTCAGGCCGCAAATCGCACACATCTGGAGATCACAAGTACTGGGCTTGCAGTACCCGGCATTGTACCTTGGCCCGTCTCACGGTTCCAGATGGTGGATGGATAAGGTACAAATGGGGGCCGGGGAACCACAACGTAGTCGGTCTTGGGTACCTTGGTACTTCGGTCATGGCACAGGCAATAGAAGCCATCAACCTCTGCTTGTACAACAAGTTATGTTCAATAAGAGCTTGCTGTGGAAGTGACTATTGTATTGAAAGCTAATTACCTTACCTCCTCTAGATTTTGCGCCAACTAACTTTGCCCAGTACTAAATTAGCAGCTTTCCGTGGGGAAAAAAGACATGAGACGGACACGGGAAAGTGTCCGTCAGCCGTACGTATACGGGGGGGAAACAGGCGGCTAATTTCCTCAGTCTCTCTGTCACTCGGCTTTGGTTTCTTGCACGCTGGTTGCTCCGACTTCCGAGTTCCCCATGTGAAGGACAAGGCCTACCTACCTACGGATACACAGTTGACAGTTGACGCAGTAGGTAATCATATGCGTTGTCGTTGGTACTGTTTTCTGCCCGCCCATCTCGTCTGCCCAACGACTTGACTCCTGTGTTTACGCTTGAGTCGTTCCGTGGGGTGCCTGACCGAAAGAGACTTCTCGGCACCGTGATTGTGCTGACTTGGGCGGGTACATTGAATTCACCACCTTATCCGTGTACCTAGAAGCACTGAAGCAGACCATGCCTGAGAAACAGCGTACAGCCCACATTCCAAGGCCCGGCAAGCAGGGCCTTGAGGTATGTCGTCCTGTGTCTCGAGTCTCTCGACTCCTCAATGATGGCGAGATACAGTAGTCCGTACTCCGTAGTGTACAGCGTGAGGCACGCCGCACGACGAGCAGGGGGTTGACGGCAGACGCAAGACCCAATCATCGTCCACATGCGAGTCCACGTTCCCGTTCGGGACAGGTCAGGCGGCATCGTCTGCGGTCCATCTCGCTGGGAGTCTGCAGGGTCCGAGGCACTGGCAGCCGCTAAACTCGAGACAGAGATACGGGCCAACGCTACCTTGTTGCTGACATCTGTCAGTACTCCTGTGTACCAATAGAAGGCAGTAGGGAACTCAGCAGGCAAGCCGCAACTCAATAGTGCACCTGGATATGCGCAGTCTCACGCAAGGTAGCTTATCTTACCCCGTACCCATGGAGGTGAAGCTGAGGTGGTAGCGGTATTGGGTATCAGTATCCGTATGCTTCGCCCGGGCCAGCAGCAAAAGAAACATAAAAAATAGCCGACGACGATGGGTGGGAGTCGGTTACAGAAACAGACGCGAACCTTGTGAGATTCAAGGCCAGACTCTGCAGGAATGCCGCGACAGAAACGGGATTCAGAGAGTGCGATTGTCACAGCTACCGTTGGGGAACGAATACAGTGTGAGTGTGTCCGTACACCATCCACATGGAGGTAAAGTTGTAAGGGTACGCTGTCGAGTTCGCATTTGTCTGACGATGCGCCGCTGGCTGGCCTGACATCTGCAGACCACAGACCACAGACCGCATTTTGGGTTTGCCGACCAACTGACCTCGTTGTCGCATGGGATATTGTCTATCTTTCTTTTTCCTTGAGCCACCATCGGGTCTTCACTTCAATGACTGGAAGGCGTAGACTGCTAGACCGAGACCTGAGACTTTGTTGTCAGTTTGCGCCCAGACCGCCTGTAAGAAAAGTGAGGATGACCGTTTCGCTGATCGTCTAAATCCTGCAACTGTACTTAGGCCGCTGCTGCACATGTCGCTATTTTCCCAGCGAACCGCTGATCCAATAGCCACTTCCCGGTTGTATTCGTACTGTGGTGCACCGGTGCCGTTGCCAGTGAGAGACCCTAGCCTGTGATCTGGGACACAGGGGGCAAGCCTGGGAGACACTCGAGGGGGGAACAGAAGATCAGGGCCAAAATTGGGGAAGCACGTGTCAGAGTTGTTGGGGCCGTCATCACATGCATCTGGCTGGGCTGGACGGGATGAACAAGCAACTTAGCATGTGCAGAGTGGGTTCTGTTAGACTTTTGTGTTGTGTCTGCACCATCGATGCTAACAATTTAGACTGCCGGATGTGTCACAAGGCATCAACGGGCGGTGGCCGGGTCGCCCAGCCGGCATTCGGCCCCAGGCCCAAACGAGCCTTCCTCGTTGTTTGATTGGCCTGTCGCTCCCTCCTTGCTACGTCACCCTGGGCACGGACTCACTCTTTCCATGTGAAAGCGAAAAAAATCTGGATAGAGGGGAGGAACCCACGGCTCAAGAGCCTTCCGCAAGGCGAGGATTCCCAGCCCACACTTGAGACGCGTTTCCGGTCACCTGTCTCCAAAAAGGCAACCACGCAAGTTGCAACTTCCCGGGGCAAGCCCCAACACGGGCTTTCAAGTTTGGTCCTTCCTTCCCAGGGCTACGTGTTTGTAGCCAGCCGTGCCGGCCAGTGCCTGTCCCAAAAAGAACTCTCGACACGGGCCCGAGCCTCTCAATAATCATCCCACGGCTACTGTTGAAATGGCCCATAATCACGTGCGATTTGCTGCAACTCTGCTGACTCTGAAGTCTTGGAGGGGAATTGGTGGGACTTTGCAGAATGGGTTGCCGGATGACCATGGCAATTTTCTCGCGATCCGCCCAAGGGTCCAGTTGTTCCCGCTGACGTTCTTCTCTGTGACGCCTTCTTCATGGATCTACCATGCCGGTTTTTTTTTCCCTCTCTCCATCATCCGAGATTCCGCCGTTGCCGACTGTCTGTACGGATACCTCAACACCATATGCGCCTAGTTTAAGGTATTGCACCACCAAACCCGACGTCGGAAGTGAAGCCGCTGTAGTCTCTCCGATATGCTTTGCAAGATTAACAGCCGACAACCTATATCTTTGGAGATTGGATTCCAAAGTCCAATCTACACGAATCTTGCGAAACCGACGCCCAATCATGCACTTGAAGCATGATAGCAACCTCCCACCATCATCCACCGGCCTTATCAATAACCACCATCGACATCGGGGTGCCAAGTTGCGCTGATTCCCAAACTAGAACCCGCGCATCTTGTTTGAACCTGATTCCAACTTCCAAGCTCCAAGGGCTTCATTCCAGTTGCTTGCTGCCCACCGACTTACTTGCCTGTCCGCCCTGCATCGCACGACTCAGTCCTATCTGCTACCCGCCCATCCTGACTAGTTATCCGCCACAAATGGTGGCCATGTGATGGCATCTCAGACCCGAGCAGGTGGATCGCCCGCGTTTCCACGGTCCTCGGAGCACGAGCTCAGACTCAGAGCAGCCAGCTGGCTTTGTTGAGAACTAATCAGGCCTCTCTCGTACCTTTTGGCCTTTACCCAACAGCAAACTTCTTGCAACCGCCCGAAAGCCGAGAGAGACACTGACCATCTTGGCTCGGGAGGCGTTTGTCTTTCTCGACTGGGGTCTATCTAGATCTGACAACGGGCCGGCCGGTCGTGCATCGCAACCTTTTCCTTGCCGTAGAGGCTGTCAGGAGGACATTGCATGAGGCTTTCTAACTCAAAAAGGACCCTTAGCTTCAAACAAGCGTACGAGCACCTGTCAAGAATTTGTTGCTCTTCGAAGCAGGAGCCTCGGCCATTGCTTCGGTCAGGAACACACAACACGTTCCATGCATGGAAGCTTGCTCGTGACAGTGTTTCCCCAGATTGTGGATTGCTCAAAAATTGCTGTCAATGTCTAGCAAACCGACCATCAGACGTCGATTGACCGAATGCTTTTCCATCCGGCGAGTCACGACAAAAAGAAGACATCAAGTTGAAAGTATGTGTGGCACCTCTGACGCCGCCCTGGCAACTGTACTCTTCACTCGAAAGCAAAGAGAAATGCATGGGCAGCTCTTATGGAACCGGAAGGTTTCCTCTGCGCGTCACGAAATCGCAATTCACATCAACGACGACACGTATGAGCCCAGCAGAATGCCAGTCCAAATGTGGTTGTAATAATGCGCTGCACTGTCTAAAAGGACGCGGTAGTGAGGAAGAGAAGAGAAGAAAGCAGCAGCGTGAAAATTTTGGCGGGATGTAGGCAAACAGGAGACCCACTCATGGAAGTGCAGGTCATGTGACTTACCTCTGACAGAGCACCTGACGAACAGTGGGCCGTCTGACTGTTCTCTGGAGATATTACATAAGCTGTATCTGAGGTGGCTGGAGATTTCAAGCGCGTCTGCCACTGCCACAGCCACATGTGGCTGCATGACAGCTTGCTTTCCCAAGACGTAAGGCTGTCATTGTGCTGGTCCGTGCCCTGTCGACTCCAAGGAGACATCGTGGTTTCAATATCGCCAGCTATCTGTCAACGCGGTTCATCACCTGCATGACCCGCGAATAATAACAGCTTTCACCTCCAACATTTGATCCTTTTGATACCACTACGAGCTGCCCGGTCGGAAAAACTGCATGATACGATCTTCAACACTGCCATAATTCCTCTGGCCAGCGTGCCAATTGACTCCCACCGCCTCTGCGTCTGCCCCTCGATCCCCGCCTTGGCAACCACTTCATCATGGCTTCCGCCGTGTTTTTCCTCGACTTGAAGGGCAAGGTGCGCATCGCGAAGCTGATCTAATCACTGAGACACTCGAGAATGCTGATGATGGCTTGCGACAGACCCTTCTTGCCCGAAACTACCGCGGTGACATTCCCATGTCAGCTGTCGAGAAGTTCCCCGTCCTACTCAGCGAAGCCGAAGAGGAATCATCTGCTGTCCCTCCATGCTTCTCGCACGAGGGTATTAACGTACGTGCCGAGTTCTGGTCTTCTGCGTCAGCATCGCGCATGGCATCTTGACTGACGAGATGCGACCCCAGTACCTTTACATCCGACACAACAACCTATACCTCCTTGCCCTGACGAAACGAAACACCAATGCCGCCGAGATCCTCCTATTCCTTCACAAGATTGTCGAAGTCTTCACCGAATACTTCAAGGCTCTTGAGGAAGAGTCCATCCGCGACAACTTTGTCATCATCTACGAGCTCCTCGACGAGATGATGGACTTTGGCTACCCTCAGACTACCGAGTCCAAGATCCTCCAGGAGTACATCACCCAAGAATCCCACAAGCTCGAGATCCAGGCACGCCCGCCCATCGCCGTCACAAACGCCGTATCATGGCGTTCCGAGGGTATCCGTTACCGCAAGAACGAGGTCTTCCTCGACGTCGTCGAGAGTCTCAACCTCCTCGTCAGCGCCAACGGCAATGTCTTGCGCAGCGAGATCCTCGGCGCCATCAAGATGAAGTGCTACCTCAGCGGTATGCCCGAGCTCCGCCTGGGCCTGAACGACAAGGTCATGTTCGAGACAACAGGCCGGACGACACGCGGCAAGGCCATTGAGATGGAGGATGTCAAATTCCACCAGTGCGTGCGGCTGTCACGCTTCGAGAACGACAGGACCATTTCTTTCATTCCCCCGGACGGCGAGTTCGAGCTCATGAGCTACCGCCTCAACACCCAGGTCAAGCCCCTGATTTGGGTCGAATGTGTTGTCGAGAGCCATAGCGGATCACGAGTCGAATACATGCTCAAAGCCAGATCGCAATTCAAGCGGAGGAGTACAGCCAACAACGTCGAAATCATCGTTCCGGTCCCCGACGACGCCGACACCCCGCGCTTCCGCACCAACATCGGCGCCGTCCACTACGCCCCTGAGCAAAGCGCCATCGTGTGGAAGATTAAGCAGTTTGGAGGCAACAAAGAGTTCTTGATGAGAGCGGAGCTGGGACTGCCTTCTGTACGGGGCGACGACGAGCACGGCGGTGGTATGACTGGTGGCTTTGGTGGTAGTATGGGTGGTGTTGGTGCGCCTGGTAAGGGCGCCAAGAGGCCAATTCAGGTCAAGTTTGAGATCCCCTATTTCACGACGAGTGGTATCCAAGTGCGGTATTTGAAGATTACAGAGCCAAAGGCAAGTGGTCCCCCCTCACTAAGGTTCAGGAGACGTCATTTGCTAACTTGTCGCAGCTGCAATATCCCTCGTTGCCTTGGGTCAGATACATCACCCAATCAGGAGACATAGCTGTGAGGCTGCCTGACGCAGTATGAGGCGAGCAGGTATCGGTGTAGTTGTAACGCAATATGAGCTCGAAGGGAGTCTATTTTCCATCGACGCACTACTATTTTATCGAGCGAAAAGTGAATGGAGGTTACACAAAACACACATCGGCTGGAGGCGGGCATGTTAGGCCATAGACACATCCAGACAGGGGCAAGGTAGATGCGTCAATGCTTCGGGGCTCTCAAGAGCCGTTGGATGAGTACTTACTAGGCCAAGTAGACAAGCTACGTTCATGAGCACGAGAAGGAGGAAGCTTTCAATGATGATGCCAAATTTAACATGTCAAAATTGTCTGCGCCCTAGGAAAGATGTCCTGCGTGACTGCGCCCCTTGCAGAGCTTCTTGCTCCATCTCTGGTCCAAAGGTCATTCGTTGATCATAAGCCTCGTAAGATTCCCCTGACTCTGAGAGCACTACACTGGATGATTGAAATAGTCGTTACTGCTGATTGAAATGGGTATATATGTTGTTAAGACAAAATAAAGGAGGTGCGTTGCCCTTGGGTCCGTGACTTGAATCGTGGAGGGCTCGGGGTCAGCCATAGACGGCGCAACCTCGTATCTCGAAATCAAGAATAGTATCAGGGGTCGAGTTGGTGTTGAAGCTATCGCAGCAGATCTGGACCATGACACCCCTTGGAAAATCCACAAGGTCTTGTGAGGATGAATTAGCATCAGTACCTTACGCTGTAAGACTTACAACCTATTTCTTCACACTCACCAGCACGAGAAGATCGGCTGCCTCTCAAGATACCCATATCCCATAGCTTCTCCCTGAACACTCTGTCTGTGTCGCCTGGCTCTCTCGCTAGAGCCATGAGGGCGATGATGATGGATAAGTTGCCGCCGAGGCCCGTGGACTGGGGAGCTGCTGCATTTGATGTAGAGAATGTGTATGGTAGAAGATGGGGCATCCAAGATGGATTGCGTCCAACAACATGCCTCGTAGCTGCGTTGTCAAAGTCGAAGCAACCGATACGAGTCAAGGCCAGATCCATTTGACCTGGGGTAAATATCAGGGTTTGCCATCCTTCGACGCGTGCGTCGTCGACAGTAGATACGTCCCCGTTGTAGAATACGCAGGGGAGAAAGCGCCAGCAGTTGAAGACGCTGTAAGTCTTATACACCTCCATCTCGCGGTCGACAAAAACATAATTTCCAAACTCATCAACCTCTGGGACTGGGCCACGGATGATCCCCGGAGATCCCGGTAGGGGACGGGACCATTGATATCCAGCAGCTAGATCGATTGACCCGTTCTGATACCGCCAGACCTTTCCGGCTTTCTCTTCATCGTAGCCATCGGCAGAGTTGGGTGGGCGGGTATTGCCGAGAGGATCTCCAACGACGCCCCCTTCAAAAATCCGGAACTCGTTAACAACAAAAAGAAAGCTGAAGTACGATAAAGGCACTTCCTGTTTGCGACTGGGTTCTCTTGACTTGTGCTCTCTGTCCTTCTTTTCTCCCTTCCTTCCATGCCTGTGACTTCCACTCCGCTATCTTTGTCAGCCAATCTAATGCTCCGAGGAAGAGAAGGCGTGGAGTCATACGCTCGAGTGAGAATTCATCTCCTTTTTCTGAATGGGTCCGGTAGGCAGCGGCTAAGAATGCTAGCGTTGGAGGCTGGACACGAAGTCGATGAAGTCTGGTGTCCCAGCTACAAGACAGTCGCTGCTGTCGAGTGAGATTTAAGTGATCTCGTCAGAAATGACAGAGATGATGGACTACCGAGTAATATGCAATCATTCTACCTTGGGACCTGACGATGTCGTCGACTCTGCCCGAGAAGGTGGTCTGATGCTCTTCAACCTGTGGTGCGTCAAGGATGCAACCCTTAGCCATACTTGCAGCCCCGGGCATCTTCTGGGTACCGAGTCTGATTGGGGCAGTATCTTCTCGAAGATCATTAGAGCCCAATCCAAAGCTGTCGACGCCTTGTAGACGACGATGAGCACGCATGAGACAAAGTAGAGGTCTGGTCTACCTCGAATTTCCTGATCGCGACGGAGGCGTAGGTCTCGTGGTCACATGTCGTTTGGCCTGCACTCAGCCACGTTGCGCCGGTGAAAAATGACTGCATGGCGCACTTCGAGACAGGACTATGCGATTCCAAGATGAAGAGACATGGGAATCTCGAGAATGTGGGTTTCGTTGTTCCCTCGGCCCTGTCTGCCTTTGAGCCGCCGCAACCCAACGAATAGAACTTGGCTGTTCTTTGTGCCGCCAGTTGCTCATTGGGGCACGTCTGTTCTGGAGTAGCACAAGGGCTTGCTTGCTGTCGGTTAGCCCAACTCTTCATGGGACTCCGAGTGTGGGCGTTGTCATTGCCGAACGTGATTGCAGGAGATGTTGAGTGATCCTGGCTTCGACGCCAGACCAAGCATGCAAGGTTGTCACCCATGAGGTGGAACTTGAATGACTTGCATGATGCTAAACCAATCAGGTTCATGTGCGTGATTGGGATGCTTGAATATGGAGCCAATGAGGCTCTCGATGCTTTTACTCCTTTGGCCCAGTTTCGGGAGCTCGGGTTCAGTCGTTGATGCTAGACAGGGTCGGCCAGAGACCGACTTGAGGTGGGTGCCGTGACGAATTGTGGCTGTCGATTCGACGGCCATATTGATGGGCAGCTTTCAGTTCTGTCATGGATCCCTGGTCGAAGAAAACACAACACCTACTCCTCCGGCTATGACCTGGCCATAGTCGAGGTGCCAAATTCTGCCATCACTGCAAGGGAGAGCAGCGTTATTCGTTTAGATGTCCATCAGACCATGATGCCCAACAAACCTCGGTTGCTTATAACACCGAATGGAACCTTGGAAAGCTTGGTCGGTTAAACATACCATTTGATATGAAGGCTTGACGTGGCATCTTTGCGAAAGTGCCGAAGATGCAAAGTGGGCAAGATTGATGCGCGGGGGCAGCGTAAAGCGGCGGTGGGCAAGATTGGGTATCAAGCGGTGCCATACGACCTTGAAATCGCGCCAAAATGCCAGCTGGTCTTCGTCTATCTTACGGTTGAAGATGGGGACTGGGAGAACTTGAAAAGCGAGATCAGAACTAGGCTAGATGCTGTCCTTTCTAAGTTGCGTAATGAATTGTTTTTATGTTCTCCCGGTCCTCGTTGAAAGCGGGATCCTTTCGGGCTTGACAATCTTTGCGCTCATTAGGGGACGAGATTGGAACTACATTGGCTGGGCATATCTGTGTGATCCTGGTGAGCCTTTGTCTCGTGGCACTTCGCTGAGAGAAAGAGGTGGCACAAGGCTATGAAGGCCTTGCCCTTCAAGATCCCTAAACGCATCTGAAGTAAGCGCCATCGGGTTTTGTTCCATGATTCTGTCGTAGGGTTGTGTCTTCCTTGCATCAGTGCACGGCAGGCAGGCTTGGATAGCTTACGGTGTCTCGCCTCTCCGTGTTCCTTCGTCATCAACTGCAGTCGGTCGATATCGGGCACCCAGAAGTACCTATCGGGTGGAAATATCCCCCGTGGAGCTAAGGACTGGTCAGCTGAAGTGCGGGGGGGGGTCTTCTGGAGTGAAGCGGGCTCGTTTCTCTGGCCAACAGCAGAGAATGGCGAACCAACGCTGTGTTGGGAGGGCCGCAGTTGGTGGGCATGTGTCTGGCTGTGGCGGTGTGGCCAAGGGCTGGATCAGCTGGGATTTCCGACCTATCCGACGGAATGGGCTCCTGATTGCGAGGTGGACCCAGGAAACGCTTTACCAAGCAAGAATGAAAGGGAGAGGAGACAGCAACTTGTGTTTTCGGAAGTAAATATCATGAAGCGATGTAAATGGGATGGCTTGTGTGACGTTGAATTTGGCATTTTACAGCGAGGCAACTCCGGAGCAGATGAGCGCGAGGCAACTGCATCCGTTCCCGCCAAAAAGTATTCCCCCACTCGTTCTTTACGGAGAAAGACTAATGTCGCACCCTCTTGGAAGCTCTGTCCGTCTCTTCCTCGCCAGTAGCTTCCTCCACGGTACCACTGGTACCCACCACTTGAAGAGCCTCCTTTAGAAGGCGCTTCTCGCCAAGTCGTACCTCAACAGCCATCTTCTGGCGAGGTGTTAAGCTGCCTGACGCCAGCAGGGCCTCATCCTCCTCGGTTGTTGTCGGGTATTGCGCCAGAAGCTTTTGCAAGGTCAACACAACAACGTGCTGGTAGATCTCGTCACGTTTCCGCTTGTCGGGAATGAGATCAGCATTCATCTTCTTAAGAAGCTTCAAGATACCCTTCAACTGCTCCTCAAGCTCGGCAGAAACCTCCTGGACCTTGGCGGGGGTCGTGAGTTGGCCCTCCGAGTCTGGCTCTCCTGACTCACGCTCGAGGACAAAGACGTCCTCGAGATCTTCGGGGTCTATGTACTCTCCCTATTCTCCCGTTAGATCGTTTGTTTTTTTCCTCCTTCTTGAATATGTTCGGTACGTACCACTTGCTTCCAGACCTCATCAGTGAGCTTCAACTGTTCGTTGAGCACGGATTGCACAAGATCCCAGGGAATCTCTACGACGTCGTAGCGGGAGTGCTTAGGAGTGATGTAGCCATATCTTCTGAGCAACTCGGAATTCGGGTGAGGGCCGTAGTAATTGAGGATCTCCTCTCCCGCGCGAATCGTTCGGAGCGCGGTGACGCTCAGGTCATCGTCGCCGTGATTGACGTGAGCCTTCCGAGTCATTAGCAAGCGTGTAGTGTCACCAACAAGAAAACAAGGTTTACTCACATTGAACTCCGCATCAGCGTTAAGGATATCGGCCATGGGCACCATACCCAGCATCGACTTGCCCTCGCGGTCCTCAACCCATTCCTCTTGCTCTTCTTCCGGTTCCTCTTCGTTCTCCAAGTCAAAGGCGTAAGCCATGATGATGCTGCCCATGCGGTGAGCCAATTGCAGGAGCTCTGCTTCGGCCAATTGAGAGGCACCTGCAGGGTAGAAGATGGCTGGGTTGGCTGCGATGACCGACAGAATTCGCGAACGGAACATGTCATCGGCTTCGTCCTTTCCAATCTTTGACAAGACAGCGCTCCCCTTGAGAAATTCGAGCTCAGAGGACTCCCAGAACATGAGTGTGTCAAACTTCTCGGGAAGGACCTCGAAGTAAGGCTTCCAGGGTGAAGCATCGCCCTGGAGGTACTCGTAGATCATCACTAGGATCAAAGAACCCCATGAATCGAGGGGCTCATTCTCCATGTCTTCGTCGTCCCCGTCATTTCCTGTGAAGACTTGGGGAATCTTCTTTGGAAGCTCGGATGTCTCGACATTGATGATGCTTTTTCTAGGGATGGTGAAAAGTACTGTCTCAGGTGCAATGTCCTTGGTGGCCACTGGGAGTTTGTTAGTGAACGGCGTCATGTCAACAAGGTACAAATGACCTACCGATTCCTCGTCCGGCGTTCTGGCCCCTTAAGTCGACGATCTGAATGTCATCGTGGAAAGTGGCGCCCGGCAACGACTTGAACCACAACAAAAATCTTTGCGATGTCGTCTGGAAATCACCGCCTGCTGCCATGGTGCCGACCAAAAATGGATGCCAAAATAGCGACACAATTTTATGAAACCTGAAGTATATTGAGATGTGAGTAAGCGAGATATGTCGTTGTTTGTTGTTACAACAATTCTATTCGTCCTGGTAGAGCACGTCGTCTGAGATTTAGGGACCAGAATTTTCACTACGATAGAAGTACTGTGCGCAGGACTTTTCTTAGCCAGCCACACCGTGCTGTCCGGGCCCCACTTTCCTTGCATCTAACACGATGTTTTGAACATTCTCTTAGTACGGTCAAGCTGCCAGTGACGTATGGGAAAGATTAGTTGTGTACTTTTTACTTATGATTACCTATTGCAAACTTGTGCAAGAGATATCACGAAAAGAGGGCGGATGAATGATTTTGGGTGGCTCCTTGGAAATCATCAGCATAGGGCGTCTGGTTAATGGTGTCTAGCCGATAAATACTTGGTTACCACCGCCGAACAAATGAACAACAAGCCGTAGCCGTTACGAAGTCGGTTACCCTAAAGATGGCATTTTTCACCTTCGACTTCATGAAAATTGTAGATCTTCATCCACTACTTTTCCCATCCGCTTTGAGGACCAAACGAAAATTCGAACGGAAAGCAACGTCTGGCGGCCACAACCAACATTCGCTCAAGAGACAGTGACTCCATGTCTAGACACACAGCGCGGCTTTCAGCCTCCTGAGTGTTCTTAAAGAAAATCTTCGAGAGCAGTACTTAAGCATGTTTATGTTTAGAGTTTTGTTATGCTTAAATCTTAATTGCAATTACGACAGTTCAGGATGACGGTATGCCTAGATTCGGGCACCGGAACAGGGGCTTTAGACTACCTAAATGGGCGCATGTCAGCACTTGTGATGAGAGCTGCCTTGTCTACCCTAGTAAAACTCCACACTGTTGTCCTCGTCCATTGGATGCCTGGAGAATTCCCTGGCAAGTGATCCGAGTTGAAACATTCAAATAAGCTGAACAAAAGCCTCTCTGCGCCCGTGTCAACATTGCCTTGGCTAGGAACCCACACGATTAACTAGCACCTTACACACCCACCACAAACAATATCATCCCATATTTCTAGACATCCGACTATGCGTCCTCCTCTGGCACTGCCGTCTTTTCTGTTGACCATTGGTTTTGACCAGCCGAGACCAGCCGCAACTACGCCACCGCTTCCGTCGGACGCCACGCCTTGGATACCCCGTGCGAAGTGCCTCCATCGAATGGGCGACACCATAATCGCTCAAGCTCATTGCGGGGATAAGGAAATTTTGCGACCATGCTTTCTCGACGCGCCTAAGAAACTTTCGGATGACTACATCACTCAGTGCCTGTTGGATGCTGGTTGTGGTAAGGGCCAGGCCAGCATGGAACACCTGTGGATAACCGTTGCCTGTCTTCGAACATTTGGGAACGATTGGGTCCATCTCGAACACCCTGATGATCATGAGGTAGATTTTCAATTAGGCGATGGCGATTTGAAGCTGAAACGGGAAGAAATCCTTGCTGGTGAGTATTCCCCTCGGTGGCAGCCTACCTTAGGCTACGAACAGATGAAGCTGATACATCAGAAAGAACACCGTAATTGAGTGCCCTCAGTCAAAGGCATTCGACATGGACATTCGTTGCCGTATCGCATTGCACACGTCTCTTCGTCGGTTACTGGGAAACATTATTCATGAAGGGGAGCTGAGCGTTTCGGTGGGCTAAGAGGAGCGTTGTTGTTGCATAAACAATTAGTTCTTCCTCCTAAATTATTTTCCCAGTGACTTGATATTGTATTATCTAGAATCAATGCAAATGAGATTCTACTCCTCCTCAATTGCGCTATCAGATGCTACGACCGCCCACTTGTGAGGTTTCGACAACGGTCTCATCAGACGTGACCATCTGGCGACCTTCAAAACGAACCCTCAGAGACTTAGAAGCACCTTTGAGTTCATCCAATGGCCGAAGCCCACCGCCTGCTCTGGCACGAGAAACTTCGTCAAGGGCGACAAACATTGCCAAGGACGAATTTTTGGCTTCCCGGAACGCGTAACGCTCCTCCCTGCTCGATGCTTGGCCGCTGTTCAAGTTGCTTTGGCTGATGATTGTGAGTGCCAAGAAGAGTAAAGCAACTCCGATTTCAACGGCAAGTACGGTTATCCATCCCCAGGTGATGTGTACGTATGAAACCTGCGTCAATGCTTCGCCAGAGATGTTGAAAGAGTTCGCGGTGTACCTCAGTGGCCGATTGACTCGCATACTGCTCAAGTAGTGAGGGTCAGAGAAGTTACAGTTTTGTTGATGGCGGTCAAAAGCAGTATGATAAGCTCTTAACGAATAACTGACTTACTGTGATGACAAGCTGGTTGCAATGTTGGTGTGAATATTCTCCAGACAAGTTTGGCGCAGAGTGGAGTTGATGATGTTGTCGATCCCAAATATGACAGTTTCGAAGAGAGTCTTGATGAACTCTTGTCCACGGAAGAAAACAGCTGTATCCCGATACTCTTTGGTGACGTAGCTTGCACTAGCATAGCCCACGGCATCGGTCTTTAACATGGAGGACATCGTTTCTAGTGAATAGTAGCTTGCACTGAAATGCTCTTCCTCAAGTGTCGAGTTATCGCTCAGCCTTGTCAAAAATCTCGGATCTTTGAGTTGTAGTGTTTCGTGCCAACGGTCGACGCTTTGGTTACACGTACGCGAAGCTTGCGCAAGAAGTGCCTTGCACCGCATATCAAGAAAGAAGGGATCTTCTTGTTCAACGGGTACAGCAGATGTCTCGACGAGAGTGGTTGTTTCAATGCCCATGGAAATGTTTGTCTCATACGTCTGGACGCATAGATGATACATGACCTCCATTGCCTCGTGACGAAAATCGTGGATTGCGCCGATGGCGTCCGACGCAAATGGCATTCCTACCGCTTCAGAGATCTCTTTCCACCATGTATCGTTAAGCTCAGTCGGGTTGGTGTAGATGACGGTGAAAGATGATATCCTAGTTTTCTGAAGATCTCTGTCGTCTTGGAAAGCAAAAGTCTCACTCCCGTTGAGCATATCGACCATGGCCGACATTGGTGTTTGGTGAGCCATTTCCAAGCCGCTAGGGAGAGACGCTCGCCACACCTTTGCATCAGGGTTCGGATAACCAAGCACAAGAGTGTCGATCATGTCAGGAGAATCAAATTCCTCGACCCGCAAGTGTTCGGTGATGTTTGCCGTCTTCACGCAAACGCCCAGAGACTGGTACCGTTCGAAGGTGCAGTTGCCCGTGGAGCAGAACGCTCCTGTGGGTGCAACAGGCTCCCGGAAATTGGTGGTGTCTGACAAAGTGGCCAGTATCAAAGCATGTCGTGACCCTATGTTCATGCGATCGTCCTCGGATGTCATATTACGTAGGGCTGGAGCCTTGGCTTCCTCTCGTGGGGCCACAGAGTCTTTGACGGGATACTTGATGGCAAGTTGCGTAACAGGCGAAGTGAGGGCGCTAATGACCATCAGAAATGCACCGAGAGAAACGAAGTGTTTGTGTCTGATGCGTTTCAACAGCATTACCGACCCCCAAGGCCCTCTACTCGCTTGGTCAAACAGATGCAGGTCGTGAAGAGGTCTGTCTTTAAGGAACCATGACCATTGCGTCTGACCTATTGCGACTGATACGGGAAACAGGAAGGCCGCTTTTGCTAGTGTTGTGAAAAAGGCCAGAAAGGTATTGAGAGTGATATTCAGCGGCCAGTCTGGTAAAGGTTGTTGGTCGTAGCTGCAGAGGACCGCCACGATCACTAAAGCCCAAATGGTTAGTTTGTGTTTCCACAAGTCTTCCCTGATTGCAAAGGCTCGACCAACGTACAAAAGAATGAGGATACGCTGAGAAAGATGTAGAACAACTCCCAGTTCCAAACACGCCACAGCGGCTTAATCGCAAAAGGTGCACATCCTGACTTGTTGGCATTATCGTCGCCCAAATAGCCTTGTTTTAGACTTTGATATCCCCGACTATCCAGGGTATTGACCGTGGATGTGGAAACTGGCTTTCTGTTGATTGATATGTTTATAGCAGGTAAGTCAGACTTCGGCCGTGCCGTGGAAGTCTGATCGTATGGAAAGGCTGTAACTAAAGGATTCCCCTCAATCTCGGTAAGCGAACATCTAGGCTGGTAATGTTCTCTTCTAGCCATGACTGGGCGCACAGCGCTGCCAAAGCTCTCGCACGAGACAGGCGTGTCTGGTATCCCGTGAGCAGTGATTCAGTGTGATCAATCTTCGTTGAGCTCCTACCATGTGCTTGGTCAAACCCAGGTGATCCCTTTCTCTCGCGCGAGATGAAATGTGGGATAGCTTCTGCGGACACTGGTCTTGAAAGCCGCCCGCGAGGTTCTTCTTCGGGATCAGAGTCCAGCCCACTTTCTGTGAAGTGGCTGTTTCTTTGACCAAACATGATGGATCGACGCGTTGTGAATTTGTTTTGTTTTAACAAAGTTTCGACTTGTAAAGGGCAAAATGGCGTAGAGGTACCTGGCTGATTCTTTATGAAAGTGAGTCCTTGTCGGCAACTCATGGCTTGGCGTTGGATCATCATTGGAAAGACTCGGTGAAGTACTACAAATGGGTCCTTCCCGTGGTCGCCAAGTACAACATGCAGCAAGCCAGTTCCCAAACCGTAAACCTGCCTGCGGCAGAGTACCATTTGTTCTGAACTCCCACCAACCAACTCTATGACCAGTTGCTCCACCTGGAAATCCTAGGTTGGACTGCATACGAGGAAGCAAAAGATGGAAAGCAATTAACGCAGGCTGCTACGCCGTGAACAAATATAACACCGTTATTGTTGGAGGTAGGTAGACAAACGAAGCTCGTTGGTTGTTGGTCCACTCAATTCGGACTGGGCTTCGCCTCTCATGCAGTTGGAGCTCAGTTTACCTGCCCGAATTGGGGCATGGAGCTGGGGTCTGACAAAGGCCGACGAGCAAAAGGGACTTGATGCTACCTTGACCTTTTGTGACTTGCTTGATGAATCAATTATGAAAATAAGGATATATCTAGTAGGCACAGTCTCTGCCAGCTTCGTAACATTCTGGATGATTATCACCCAGCTAGGAGCCAGTTGGGAAGTTCACTGTGCGTCAGGCTTCAGTCGATATAAGCTAAGACAAGAGAAATTTTCACAGGAACTCGGCAGCTCGCAAAATGTCAAGTCTCTTTTCCGTTCCCCTTTTGGCAGCACGAACGTCTTCATCTATGGGCTGGCTATCAGATGGATCGATTGCCAATCAGCACTACTGCAATGCCAATGTCACAGCCCCACGTGATGCCACCCTCGTCTGCAAATGGTATGCAGGCATCGAACCACGAAACCAGCGAGCGGGGTACTGAGCCTAAAAGTTGTCGATTCACAACAATGATTGTCACAAGTCAAGCTCTGTTTTTAGACCTTCCAACGACCAACTTGCGTTGATTTCAGGACCTGTTTCCCAGCCTACGGGCACGTCATACAGGCCTGTTGCAAATTTGACTCTTTGGCCGCCAATCTTTCCCCCTTGGCGAGGCACCTCGTATCTCCTGGGTCATGTCATCACTGGGACAGCGGCTTCTGCCTGCATGGGTCTACAAGACGGAAGAATGTGCGATATGCCTATCCTTCTTCTCCACTGACATGCCACCCGGCCCGGACCCCCGGACCGGACTTGATCCCAAATTCAAACCCGACCGCCGCTTACTGGAACCAGAGTACGAAAGCCGTTGTCACGGCTGCTGGGTAGCTCGTTTCACAATCTCATTCTTCAGTCATATCCTCGAGGATGTGGACTCGGAAAATATGCGCGATGCCCTTTTCTACCTCGATGCAAACGTTGATGGCACAAATGTTGTTCTTACTGCGAGAAAAGGAAGGTCAAGAGGCGGTTACGTACTATCAAAACTGCAACTGCTTAAAACAACACTACCACCGGCGCAGGGTTACATGGAGTCTTGGCTGCGATATGTAATCTCTTTCCTCAACCCCAACGCTTACAACCGGCTACCCGTATATGTTGCCCATGCCTACGAGTCTCCTCCCATCGTAGGTCACACGGGATCTCAAGATGCTTTCAAGAAGATCTTCACTTGGTTCGACGACTGTGTCGCGCACCATCCGGACTGTGGCAGTGGCCTCAGTATACACCCAATGCCAACCCGCCTCATCGATATCTCGGACAGAGACAACATGCTATTGGTTGAAGGGGTCACCAAAAGAAGCCATTATATTGCTCTCAGTCACCGATGGATAGAAGCTTCCAAGATGCCACGATGTGTGAGCAGCAACATCGGGTCGCTGAAGACGAATGTCCCTTGGTCTTTTCTTACCCGAAACTTTCAGGACACCATCGTATTCATCAAGGATTTTGCCTCATGGTATGCAAAAGGTCACCCGCACGAAGAGCCCATCCGATATGTCTGGATCGACAGCCTGTGTATCGTCCAAGACAGTGTTGCAGACTGGGATGCAGAATCAAAGCTGATGTGTTCTGTCTACGAGGGTGCACTCCTAACAGTCGCAGCGGCGGCCGGACCTGATGGCTGCTTTGCTGAAGCTGAGCGCGTCTACAAGGGATTTGACGTTACCAATCCTCACCGCCAGAACCCAAGATTGTTGCTGCGAAAGAGGCTACCGGATCACGAGAATGAGTGTGAGATGGCCGAGAGAGAACACGTCATTCAACAGAAGAGTCTTCGTCCGCCTAGCAGGCTAGACCTGATGACGAGGGGATGGGTGATGCAAGAAAGACTCTTATCTCGTAGATTCGTCGTCTTTGCGCCCAACGAAGTGATGTGGGAGTGCTACGAAGGCTCGCAATGCGAATGCGGCAGGCTTTCTAGCATGACGGGTCAGCTGAATCTTAAGGGAGAAGAGGGCGTGATGAGTCAGTACAATCAGGCATCTTACCGGTACTATGACTCTAAGCGGGCAGATGATCCGAACTATTCGTTCCTGCCGATGCCGCTCAAGATGGCATACTATGCCTCATTAGACGACAAAGGGGAGCACGCGGCACGAAACCTCCGTAATTGGTGGCGCCGGCTGGTTGAGAGGTACACGACACTAGACCTGACTCAGGAGTCAGACAGGCTACCCGCGATAATGGGTCTCGCAATCCAATATGGCCGCCGGACTGGACAAGAAATGGAAAGCTACCTTGCTGGGATCTGGAGAAATTCTCTCCCTTTGGACTTGCTATGGCATAATGGGAATCCCTCCATGGAGCCAATCTCCGAATACTCTAAGAACAAAGGGCCACCATCGTGGTCCTGGGCATCTTGCCGTGGTAAAGTGAGAATGCCTCGAGAGGGGAGCTTGTCGAAGTTGACGTACTTCGCTGAACTGACTTCTGTCAACGTTGGCGTGCGAATCGCGGTTGGCATGAGATGTCCTGTTTTCACTGGCTTAAGTAAAAGAACAAGAGATGAAACGTTTCCTATTGTTGTGCTGGACTACGCTCCTGATAGAGCGACAAGTCTTGCTACTTCGGTCTGGGAGGACGAGGCCAAGTTTGCCCTGATTTCAAGAGCGGGTGAAGGCGATGAGACTACCTGGATGTACCTTCACATCAGACCCGTTCATGATTTCGAAGGTAGCGGCATTACATACAGCCGGATAGGACTTCTTGAACTGGCAAAGCGCAGATGCCTACGTAATAAGGCCACTTGCTCAGATATACTGTTAGAATCGTGTTTTAAGTCGGGAACAGTCGAAGAGATAGAATTAGTATAAATAGTAGCGCTTTTAAACAACATCATTTCGAGTCTTTTGATCTCGAGAACTCAAACGTCCGTTCAAATCGCAAACGACACCACTACATGACCAAATCAGTATCACAACTAGCAATTCCGCATAGACTCAAAAGATGGCTCTGCAACTTACATCGCCACAGCTAATCGGCTCATACTTGGGCGGGTTCTTCTCATCTGTGCAGGTAGGAAGCACAGAACACTGCTCGTTGTGGTTGAACCCAAAGAAGAAGGGCATAGAATACCGGTCCTCAGGGGCGTAGTTGAAGACTCTGTGCACCGTCGACTTGAATCTGTCATTGGACAACCGCTGCAAAAAGTCGCCAATGTTGATTACGAAGGTGTCAGGGACGGGCGGCACCTTGATCCACTGGCCGTCTTTTGTGAGCACCTGCAGCCCGCCGACGCTGTCCTGCCAGAGGAGGGTGAAGCACTGTAGGTCAGTGTGAGCGCCCAGGCCGACGTCGATCGTGGCATCTTGCGCTTCCGTGTTCTTTGGGTAGTAGTTGCAGACGCTGTCACTGTGGAATTGTCAGTCTGCTCAGCGGAATCGGTATCACAACATGGCTCGTCTCAGAGACATACCTTCCGGGATACGTCACGACATCGTCAAAATAGTTTTCAGGCACATCCAACGCCAACGCAAAAGCCCGAATCAAGCTCCTCGCAAGCGTCAGACAGCCCTGCCAATACGTAATCATATCGTCCTTGAACCCAGGTAAATGGCTCGTGCCCTCCCAGACAAAGTCCTCATGCTTCATCCACGGCTTCACCTTCTCCGGCACGGCATCCGGGTTCTTGGTCTCGGGATCATACCGTGGATCATACCGAAAACTGAACCCCTCACGATGATCCTTGGTCTCCGTCGGCGAAATCTGCGCAGCGCGCTTCTCGGTCCACCCGTTGAAGAACTTGGACTTTTTCTGCGTCACCAGAGCCTTCTTCTCATTCGTCTGCGAGAAAAAGGCCTGCGCTTGTGTAAAGGCCGCGTCAATGGTCGCCTTGGGGATGCCGTGGTTCTTGATGTAGAAGAAGCCCGTATTCTCGGCCGCTTCTCGGATGGTGGCGGCGAGGGCTTTGCGCTCGGCTTCGGTGCCGCGGATGTTGGAGAGGTCGATCACGGGGACCTCGGCGGCGTTGCAGTCTCGAGGCGGGGTCTTGAGAACGTCGCGGTAGACGGGGCCGTAGGCGGACATGAGCTCGAGCTTGTAGCTCTCTGGGGCGGTCTCAGTTATCGTGGTAGACATGATTGCGGGTTGTGAGATTGAAATTGGTCCAGTTGAGTTCAATTGTTGAGTTGAGCTGTTTCGGAGTCTATCTCGAGCGAAGTTGTGGTCTCCAAGTTATAGAGTCGAGGCAATGGATCCCCTTTTGAGTCTCGTGAAGTTGTCTCTTTTTGAAATCAACACTCACGATAAGTATTCCGGCATAAGATTTAGTTGTGTCAACTCCGATTAACGCCTCCGGGTGAACTAAGTGCTCAGACGGAATGAATCAAACCTTGTCCGGTAGTTGAGATGTCGTCCGGCGGTCTTAGCCGGAGATCGTCTGGGATTTGGAGAGGAACGAATGGCACGATAGCCAAAGATAATGGCGTGCGACGCGGTTCGCTGGAGACAATCGGGAAATCCGCTCAGCACGGCCGCTTATCGCTCTCGGGGGAAATGGGCCGACAACGGACCGTGTGGGGTACGGGGTTGATTCCCGTCTTCGGAGCCACAGGGGTCCTTCGTTTCCCGGGGGTATCTCTTCTCCCCGTTGACTTAAATTTAGCCGATCCTCTAAGTACTTGGCATGAGCTGAGAGGCTTTGGTGAAGCTTGGTCTTACTGTAGTCCTTCACATATGGAATAAAGTAGCTGTATACAGGACTACAGTTCACGCAATATGATATTCGTAGATACCAAGGTAATACAGCAATGGGAAAGTTCGTTTTGTGGTAGGTTGCACATCGTGTCGACCATCGAGACTCGTCAGCACCCCTGCACAGCTTATCTCCCCCACATGAACCGCATGCCTCCGGTATCTCGAACTTGAAGGATCTAGTATCTTGGGTTATCAGCATGCAGCAGCCGATCGCGACTCCATAGCCGACATGATTACCATTCTGTCGGGTGTAATTTGGTATAAGTCGCTGTCAAGGCAGCATTGAGCTCCTCTGGGTATCTCCCTTTTGCATTTGCGTTCATGCAACTTGTACGGGTGGGCGGGCATCACTTCTTCAACCGTGATCATCACAGTTAAGCATCCATAGTCGAGTATCATCCGGCCTCGGGAATCAAGCGTGCCTCAACGGCGCACCCCCCCACACAAGATGGGCATCCTTAACCGCCTCCGCGTCCCCGCCGCCGGCGGCACCTCCGAAATCCACGGCCGCGACGCCCTCCTCGACAACGACGACCTCCGCCCCCTCAAGCTCGCAGACCGCACCTGGACCCAATGGACCTACTTCACCTTCTGGTTCTCCGCCACCGCCACCGTATCAAACTGGTACGCCTCCTCCACGGCCCAGGCCCTCGGCCTCTCCATGTGGGAGTCCCTCGCCTGCGCTTTCGGAGGGCAATGCCTCATCGCCGCCATCATCACCCTCAACGGCCGGCCGGGCAGTTGTTACCATGTCGGATACCCCGTCGTCTGCCGCGCCGCGTTCGGCGTCTACGGCGCGTGGTGGCCGACGTTTAATCGTGCCGTTATGGCTATTGTCTGGAATGGTGTGAATGCCGTGCAAGGGGGCCAGTGCATCTACGTAATGCTCCACGCCATCATCCCGGGTATCGCAAACATTCCCAACACAATGGGCGAGGGATCGGCGCTCACGACGGCGGGGATGATTGGCTTTGTCATCTTCTGGCTCATCACCTGCGCATTCCTCATCATCCCCGTCCCCAAGATGCGCGGGCTCGTCTACGCGAAGTTGTGCGTCTTCATTATCTCCGCCGTAGCGATGCTCGCGTGGACGGCCACAAAAGCAGGCGGTCTCGGTCCCGTCGTCCGGCAGGGCGGTACGGCGACGGGGTCGAAGAGAGCGTGGCTCATTGTGCAGTTCCTGATGCTCGGCGCGGCCAACTGTGCTACCTTTGCGAGTAACGCTGCCGATTTCCAGCGGTATGCAAAGAAGAAGAACGACGTCATTGTCGGTAACCTCTTCTGGTTCCCCGTGGCCAACTTCATTGTGGCGGCGGTGGGAAACCTCGTCTGCGCCTCTAGCGAGTTGATCTTTGGCGAGTTGATTTGGAACCCAGTGACGCTACTGGACAATCTCCAGACGGCCGAGTACACAGCTGCCAATCGAGCTGGCTGCTTCTTCATCGCCGGCTGCTTCGCTTATTGCTGCATCTTCAGTTCCATCTTTGAGAACTCCTTGCCGGCTGGTAACGATATCGCGGCCTTGTTCCCCAAATATCTTACAGTCCGAAGGGGCTTCTTCGTCTGCGCCATCATTTCGTTTGCCATCAACCCTTGGTTCCTGCTGGTAAGTCTCGTCGAAATTCTGAGCTCTCAACAGTTCTCGACCCAACTGCCAAGTACCATAGCTAACAAGCGCCAGGGCTCTGCCTCCGTCTTCGTGTCCTTCCTCTCATCCTACCAAATTTTCCTCTCTGCCATCACGGGCGTCCTTCTAGTGAACTACTACATCATCGGCCGCGGCCGCATCAGCATTCCGGATTGCTTCACGTCCATGAAGTCAGGGGCCTACCACTACTCCTACGGCTGGAACATCCGTGCCTACGTCGCCTATATCGTCGGCATCATTCCCAACTTTTACGGCTTCCTCAACAACATGGGCGTTTCGGCCCCCGACGGCGTCACGAGGTTCTACTTTTTTGCGTACTGGGTTGGGCTGTTCCTGTCCGGGTTTACCTTCTGGATGTCCTGCAAGATTTGGCCACCCCCGATCATGGAGGATGGATGGGTTGAGCCCAAAGATTATATAAGGCCTGAAGAGCTGGAAGGCGAGGGGCAGATCATCGAGGCCGTCGACATGCCCCATAGCGGCGAGGTGGTGGACTATGAAAAAGGTCTTGGTGAAAAAGCGGCGCAGGTGTGATGCGATGAACTATAAAGCTGCTGAGAAGGCGACACGACACATGAGATAGACCCGTCCTGATAATGCTAGTCAAAAAGAATGTCAAGATCCCGAAAAGGATCGCAATCTGATTAATGATGATGGGAAGCTACCTGCTAAAGCCCAGCAAGAAGACTCCAAGCAAGTGGCCTGGGATGCATGATGTCTCGACCGTATGGTGTTCTAGAGACTAGGCACGGTATGCGGGCCTCTGTGACTCCTAACGCCTCCTAATTCACGCTCAAACCCAAAGAAGCATTCGCTCTAAAAGGACGAAACAGTGGTGACGTGCACCACCGCGTCGACATAGAGTCGATTCCAAACAGTGCAGGCGGTGCCGGGCTTCATCTTGAACATTCCGTTCGGGCCCATTGAAAACGGCTCCGTGTTCTCGAGCTTCACCTTAAGTTTGCCCGCGGCCAGGGAGCAGATGCGGACTTTCTCTGACTCGGCGGTCCATTCATGCGACTCTCCGGGCTTGATGACGATGACGTTGAAGGATATGTCCTCAGAGACAGTCACCACTTGGTTGCTCGTGAGATAGGAGTTGGAAAAGGCCACATCTAGGACATAGTAAGCATCATTTTGTAAGTTAGATGAGAACATGGAAGACGTACTCGTTGCAGATTCGCTGCGTTCATCACGAATCCGGCCTGGGGCAACTTCCCAGTCTTCCATTTCCAGGGTGTCGGCTGGCATCGGGTCGCCACTAAGCGAAGAGGCATGTTTTATAGGCATTGATGACTCGGCAGCAAGTGGAGTAGTAGCTGCTGAGTGCCTCGTGATTCTCCTAGGCGGGTTAAGGGGTGGTTGGCTATCAGTTTTGTGAACGCTTGAAGCCGGCTGTGTCGATGGCGGCAGGGAAGAGGTAGCCACCGGAATAGAGGTTTTGGGAGGTGGCTGAGATGCTGGAGGATATGGCAGGGCATATACGTCAGCAGCGGTTGTCGCAGACGCGGAGCGGGTTGCAACCGTAGATCGTGTAGGTGGTGCTATCGGAGTCACTTGTGGGCTTGATGTTCCTTGGCCCGAGGACAAGAAGGAGCAATTGTTCCTTTCTCTGCGGAAGTTGGATCGCCACTGACATCCTGAGCAGGCCTTGTTTCCAATCTCCTTCAAGAAACCAGGAGCCGCGGCGGACATGACGACGCAAGGCTGGAGAAAGTTCTCAAAGGGATCACTGTGCTTGTAGCACACGTGGCAACATGGTGTCGCAATATCGCCAGTAAGGAAGATCAGAAGCGCAACTGTGGCGAGGGGCGCCAAGTGTCCGATCCCAGTGTATTTCAACTTCCAAGCTTGAGGTAACAAGCGCCGTCGAGGCAGCTTGAGCAGCGCCTTCACGTCCGGCCTCTCTATCGGTATTTTATACGCCGGAGAAAGATGGCCGGACAGGTACGTGAGTAGTGAGCCATCCGAGACGGCAACGCTTTGGCTCAAAGGCGGGGCCACAAGAGGTGGCTTTATAACCGTCATGGCATTCTTCAGATATGACTTGGGAATAGCCCGAGATGGGGCCGGATCCACAGGCTTCGAGGTCGGACCCCACGGGGCTGGGTTCGGAGGTCTGGCCGGGCCCGATACAGGCTTATAACCAGCAGCCACTGGCTCCGCCAAGGGAGGCTCGTCGCCCCGAAGCAGATTCTGCGAGACTACAATGGGAGCCGCGTATTTCGTGCCCACCCTCTTATAGTAGTCAACGAACGACAGGGTCCCATCGAGATTGTCATTGAACTTGGAGCTGCGATGTTTTGCCTGTACTCTGTTAATCTTACTGGGCTTTGGGATCACCGAAGAAAAGACTTACGCAGAAGTGTGCTCCAAGCCCGTTCCACTTGGGAAAAATGACGCGGCAATTGCGCACCGGACAGATGTAAGGGTTTTTGGGGTCAGAATGGAACTTGTAATTTGTAGGGATGATGGCACCACATGTGGACTCGATGCCGTTGGGCGTCCTCCACTGCAGATACCCGCGAGGATGCGGGTTTTTCGTGAAAGTAAATTCTTGGTCGGAGCCTTGGGACGTTGGCTGCACACCTGTTAGTGACACTCTGTGGGCTAGACAGTGCTTCTCTTACCAGGGTGGCTTTTGCAGATGGCGTTCCCGTGGTGTCGATATCCAGGTCTTCTGCAACCTCTTCCTCTTCGTCATCATCCGTCACGTCATCGTCAGTCTCTGCTTGATCCTCGTAGTCCACATCCTCGTCCGAAGATTCAATGACTTGTGCTTGTTCCGTCGCAATCGCCGGGGACGAGCCGTCTTCGGTACTTTTCATGATACTTGGCCTCCCGACCCCGAGGGCGTTCAGCAGGTCCTGCTCCGTAGCAATCGCATTTGACGGTTCATCGGGCGATTTTATGGTCGTTGCGCCATGAACACCAGCATCCGTTGCCCGCCGCTTAGCATCACCCTCCGCCAAGTTCCCGGTCAGAGAGTGCTTTCTCTTGGACGACGCTTCGGATGCAGATCCTGCGAGGTGTGTTAGTAAATGGCAACTTCGAATCAGTTCTTCCGTGAAGCGCCGTCGAGAACAAATCTTAAACGGAGTGCGCCCATGAGGCTCAATCTGGCATGAACTGAAATGAGCAAGTTGACTCACCACCAAGCCAGTCCTTTGCATTCGCCGACTGTCCAGCAGAACTTGATTGACCTCCAGATGCGTTACTAGAGGCCCACGAATCTTGCAGAGCCTGGATCTTGGCATGCCGCGCAAGACTCTTCTTCTTGCGCGTCATGTCGGAATCCGAATTGCCCTCCGAAACTACCGCCTCGGCCTTGACTGCTAGTGGATCTTCGGGGTCGGGCTGAGCAATGTCGCTCACAATGCAAGCTGGTTCCGGGCTGCCTGAGTGCGAGCTACCGCTGTCTTCGGAAGCTTCGGTACCTGAACTTGGTTGAGCGGATTCTAGCTCTGGTGTGTTGGTGTTGCTCTCAGCCTGAGCTTGAGCAGGGGCAGAAGCAAGAGCAGGAGCAGGAGCAGAAGCAGGTGACGATGGAGTAGGCGCCGTAAATGCCTTTCCGCCTAGTAAGGAAGTTGCCCAAGGTGGTGCCTGTCCTCCATAAAGACCCGGCCTTATGAGCGGTTTCGATGCTCCGGTCCGCTTCATCTTCCTGCCCGAAGGTTCCCCACTGCCGGAGGCGGAAGAAGGCGACTCTGTGCGGGTGGCATGGTTTGCTTGGGCTGTCGAGCCCGTACTGACTGGTGATGCGACGTGGTTGAATGAACGTGAGAGCCCAGATGGTTGTGTGATCTGAGCGTTAGATGCCATTGTTCGAATCCTTTGACTTGAGAGATGAGGTTGCTGCCCACTCATGCAGCTGCACGCGCACTTCCAGATTGGAGATGCTGCTGCGGGGGTCGAGTCCAGGTCCTGTCACTTTCAACTGTTTCGCATCGAACTGGGGGAGGCAAACGGTGGTTTAAGATGCATATGAAGGTCAGGTATTATAGCAAATAAGAATTAGATTTCGGCAGACGTCTGGGCGTATGATCGTGAAGAGCAATGAGAGAGTGAAGAGAAGGTTGAAGGTTGAAAATGGACGTTGAAGGAGACGCGACGGGGAACGCGACTGCTGGGAACGCATGTGGCTAGGTTCAGGTATCCTTTCCCCTAAAACTGGTGGTTGGGTACATGGCAATTCGACAGGTGCTTCCCCCACACGCGACCTCGACGGGAAGTCGTTAAAAAAAGTAAGTGCCAACGGCTGTACCGAAGAGCCCCTTTCCACTTGCAACAAGGAAAGGTACCTCAGAGTGTCGATCTCTGAGCTGCTTCGGCACCTGTCTAAATATCTGTCTTCATGTCAGAATCCTGAGCTAGATCTGGCTGATAGGCTGGGAATGCTAGAAAGACTGTATCAGCATGCAGGTTGATGGGAGTGACACCAAAATCGTGGATGCTAGTATGGATTTGTACAAGATATTCTACACTCAAGATGACCCCCATGACATTTACGCCTCGGTAGCCATGATACACATCATCCCAATTCGCCTACTCTCACATGTATTTTCCACTCATGGCCCAAGCAAGACGCAGTCGATCGACTACCGCTTCTTCTGCGACTTGGCAGCCTTGGCCGCCACTTTCTGCGCCTTCTGCTTCTGCTTCTTCTGCTTGGCCAAAGTGGCGGCGTTCTTCTGCTCCGATAGCCTCTTGGACGCCGCAATCGTCCACTCGTCCACCTCCATCGCCGCAAACTTGGCCTGCGCCTCCCTCTGTCCCGACAAGTTACGCTCCCTTGCGAATCTCTTCTGCCTCAGCTTGGCCTTGCGGCTCATGCCGCCAATGTTCATCTTGACCAGCCGTCCGATGCGCCAGTTATCCTCGCGGTACGAGTAATCGTCCCGCAGCTTCAGGACTCTCGCGGGCTGGGTCGGCGCGCCCTTGGCCGTCCGGGGCGCGGGCCGCACAATCTGCGTGGGGATGCCAGAGGCCGAGATGGCGGGCGTCTCGACGGGCTTGGCGATGGTGTGCGCCGACATGTTGAGCTTCCGCTTGCGTTCGGCGTGCGTCGGGTAGGGGAGGACGTCATCCTTGTTGAAGACGACACCAATGTATTTCCGGTCAGGGTGGCGCGCGGGATCGCGGTAGTATTTGACGTAGCCCGTGGCCATGGCATGGATCGTGTGGTCACGGCCCATGATGCAGTTCTCGCCGGGCCACCAGAGGGAGCCGCGCTGCTTGTAGATGATGTTGCCGGGGATGACATACTGGTCTGGAGCAGGTTATTAGTATCGAGCTCTCAATGGTGGTGATGGCCATGGAGTTCTCCACTGAACCCAGCCCAATGTGAATGACAAGAACAGAACAAACGTACCACCAGTGCGCTTCGCTCCCAGCTTCTTCGGTATCGTCCTCTTGGGCGCAAGCTTGTAGGCACCCTGCGACTTGACGGAGGCGTATCTTCGTCCGGCCACGAGGGCGTTGGCGGCATCGGCGCGGAGGAGCTGAGCGGCGATCGATGTCGTCGATTGGATCGGTGCGGTCGTCCGCAAGAGACCGGCAGCAGCGGCCATCAAGGGCCGCTGCAATTGGAATAGACGCATGAGGTGTGCTTCGTGGACGAGCTGCCCATATATCGTCAATTGGCAACTCAACTGGGTATTGCCTTCTCGCCAATTGAAGCTTTGCGTGCACCAAGGGAGATGGGCTGAGAGTATTTTTCCGGCTGAGTCAGCGGGTTGCGATAGCGATAAGGATTTCGGGGGCGGGTCCAAGATGGCCTTTTGGACAGCTCTCCGTAGGCGCATTCGCGCAGACAGGCACAGGTTATTGCGAAATTGCACAAGACGACGACGAACACCTCGAGCGGTTACCTTGATCAAAATCACGAGAGAAAATCCCGAGAGGACCTGCTCGTACATTCATTCTGATACCTGAAAACACTAAACCGACGAAATGCGCTTCTTCGCCTCCCTCCCGCTGGTCCTCCTGACCCTCATCAGCTCGGCCCAGGCCCAGTTTGGCTTCTTCGACCAGATGTTTGGCGGTCAGCAGCAGCAACAGCAGCCCCAAAATGTCCCGAGCGACTCATCACAATACCAGCAACGATACGACGGATGTAGGATATATCCTTTAATCCCTCAAAGCCTCTAGAAATACCCCATTACTAACGAAAATAGCCTACTGCGAACACTACCTCTGCCCCGATACTCTCGCTTGCGTCCACTTCCCCCACCATTGCCCTTGCCCGTGGCCCGCGAACCAGGACAAATTCGAGCTCTCAGACGGCAACCGGATCTGCGTTTCGAGAGGTGGCTTTGCTGCAGGCGAGGCGGCGAGGAAGATTGAGTTGGCGCGCAAGGGTCTTTTGTAAGCAATCATGTTGCAGAGATAGCAGGACGAATAGGCATTGCGAGGCGCATATACGTATCATGACTCTTCCATGATACTTTTTTCTGGTTTCCTCTTCCCATGGACCACAATGATGGATATCATGAGACAGACAAGAGTTGATAGGACAATTCAGACTCTATTGAAAGTGCCAGGTTCTGGCCGAAGCAAAAAGCCTACTTAGTCGTGCTGAAATACTCCTCTCCTCCACTGACGGCGGCAAAGACGCTGCCGACGGTGAACAGGAAGCAGGCTGCTGCAGTGACTGCGAAACTCGACGATTACAGACACGAAGGCCCCGGAACGCCGCTAAAATCCCCATTCGTGATATCCACCCAGAACTCCTTCTTCGTGTGCCACGCCGTTGCCGGATGCTAATCTCCATCTCGACTCCAAAAAGCGTCAACAGTGCGTGAAAATGCTCGTAATGCGTCTCCCGTGTCGTCCTCCTCGGTACGGCGTGCCGGCTAAAGGAGAAATCAGCCAGCGATATCCGCCGCTCAGGCTCAGGCTCAAGTTCAGGCCTGGCCATTGGTGGCCTCACTCGGCCGGGGAAGAGCAGGGACGGGAGGCGGCCCGGCGCGGGCGGCGCGCTCTTCGTCATCTTCTTCCTCCAGTTCTTCGGGGTGGCCCAACAAGTGGGCCACATCCTTCATTTCGTAGTGCTTCTTGCGCAACTCCTCGAAACGACGGTGCTTCTCCCGCTCCTCGGGCGAAAGGCCGGCCAGCTCATCATCGTCGCCGTGAGCACTGGCGTTCTCGTCGACGTGGACGGCCTTGAGGGCTTTTTCCTTGGACGACTCGCTTTCCGGGACCGCCTCTTCCGGCTCGCCAAGCGACATGATAGGGATATCATCCTCCACGCCAGGACCAGCACGAGCTGTGCGAGGCTTCCTCTCAACGTTGGGGTCTTCCGACATTTCCTCGTCGTCCGAGGGGTCCTCGGTGGGATCGTAGTGCTTCGCATAGGGAGTCTTGGGCTCGTCAATCTTCATAGTTGACGTGCGCTCCTGCTCGGTCAGGTAGAGGTTGGCCTCGTCCCACTTGAGGCGCTGGGATGACTCGAGATCTTGCTCGTCGTCGTCACCCTGCTGGGAGGGGGTTCGGCTGGATTGACGGCGGGAGCCCGAGGGACGTGCGGCAGAAGAGGAACGGCGGTGGCCAGCGTTGTATTGGGTGTTGACGAGGGTGAGCTCCTTCTCGGTGAGGTCGGCTTCGCCGGGTGATGTCGGGGGCGACTTTTGGTACGAATTCTTGAGAATACCTGCAGTAGGTAGTGGTCAGTCATTGCGAGCTTCTCATTCAAAGTTGGCGTTGAGGTCTTCGATGACCGATACCATGCAGAATAATTACTCACCTCTGGGTCGCTTGGGATGGGGACCAGGAGGGGAATGCGTAGGGGGGCTGCGTTCGACGATGGCGGCCATTTTCAAGGTTTATGTAACAACGGCAGACTAAGCTGAGTTAGTGTGCGAAGAGCTGGAATTTGGGTGAAGCAAAGGTAGAAGTGGTGATATCTAGTCTCGTGAGAGATGTGTCGGTCAGGTTGTTGGCTTTTTAGTTGGGTTTGGATCAGCTTGGGTCGGTTGGTATTAGGTGAGGTGGGTAGAGGGTAAAATAGCGGGGTTTTGAGAAATCTGGTGACGAAAGGCGATGGTTTTGTTCAGAGGTGCTGCACTGCTTGGGGTGTTGCGTGCAGGCGTGTGCAGGCTTGCAGCTGGGTCCTGAGGATGACGAGGGGTGGTGGTTCGTGACCTGCAGGGTGCGGGCAGCGGGTGCTTGTGCGGGTGCGCCGACCAGGGGTGTGGGCTGAGCTGTGCTTCGGAGCTGGGTAGGAAACCTGGGACGTACCTCTGCTTTTTTTCCGCTCTTTTTCTTTTCTTGGGTTGAACGGTGGAAGGGTGGCTCGTGATGTTTGTGAAACAGGGAGATTGTTGTATTAGGACCAAGATTGTCGGGATGTGTCGAAGAAGAATGTGTAGAGGTTGTCGGGACGATCAGGGTTATGGAGGATTCGGAAAGAACAGGAACCCAGGACTAAGGTAGGTAACAAGAGTCGTGAGACTGGCTGCAAGATGATGAACAGATAGAGGCGTGCTGAGGGACTTTCTTGCCGTCAGGAGTGCTGGAATGTCAGGCAAATGACAGCGGTGTGGTGGGCAGGTGAGCAGATGCGGCAGAGGAGCTGCCTTTTGAAGGTTGTCATCTTGTCTTATACCACTGGGCCATGGGCAATTGGCAGATGCAGCTCTCCCAGGACACCCACCCCTCATTGGCGCATGGGAAAAAGTCTAGACTCGGGAGAAGATGGCAGAGCAGATGCACCACAGCTTATGGGTTCACTCTGTCACCTCAAGCTCTAATTATTCTCGAATACACAGCAACATTACACCTCTCTTCCCCAGCTGAGGTTGCATTCTCGAGCTTCTTCATGGCTTGCCTGCAGAGGCAGAGACACAGACACAGATAGATAGATGGCGAGAGAGATGGTGAGTACTACTTGGAATCTAGATGCTTAGCAGCTGGAAAGTGCTCGTGTGAGTGAGGTGGTGTGTAACGTAGGTATCTGCGCAACTGCGGTATCCGGGGATGAGAAGGAGGCTGGGGTGGCCTTCCAATGGAAAAGAACTCACCTCACTTAGTACCTAGTGAGTGAGGGTCTCAGTCACCTTTTTCGGGTCCCACTCACCAGGTACCTTGGGGATTCACTCGGGTCGCTTTTGGGTGCCTCTCACCGGCTCACGCACCAAAGGGCCGCGTCTTCCGCGTCTGTCGCTTCCGAGAAGCTAGAAGGTGATGATGGATCATTGACGTCGGGGGTCACTGCAGATATAGTGGGTATGCTTTCAGCGTCTTCTACCTAAGCGACCAAGGCAAGGCACAGTCAGGCAAGGCTGGGCATGTAAGACACATCAGACCTTTGCTGCGAGGGTACGAAGTAAGACTCAGGGTGATCTCAAGACTCAAGAGGTACCTCCCACCATGACTTGGGAGTGCCTTATGCGTATCTTCATGTTTGTTTCGACTACATTAGCATGTCCCGAGGTTGGGCTTGCTTGGGCGTGTTTGGGCTGGGAGCCGCAGTGAAGAAAAAGGCCGCCGTGGGTCAGGAAAAGGCGAGTGGTGGAAAAGCCAGAGCTCTTGCCGCCAAAGGTATCGAGTACCTTCATGACGATAAGGCATCTTTTCCCCTCCTTCAGGTATCCATTCCCTTGTGCCTTGTATCCTGAGGTTCAAAAGTCTTCCAGGTTCTCCATGTGGAAAATGGCAGGTGTGGACCCCGACCCCTGGGTCGCTCCTCCGCCGTTTGGTTGGTGCTCAACGTGCAGATGGTCTGCGCATGGGATCGCGATCGGCCGCAGCCAGGTGCAAAACAGCAGCGTGCCAAAGACACGGAAGGAAGAGGCGATGAGCGGCTTCCCGCTGCTGCCTCGTGCTGTGTCGTGCACCGCCCGAAGTTGTTCCTATTTCCAGATCACATCCATACCTTGCTTGGTACAGGAAGGTTAATCTGACTCTCACTCTCACTCTCACTCTCACTCTCACTCGCACATGTTGTGTAATTCACTTAAGCCAATTCAGCCCTTCTCATCTCACTCGACGACCCTGAAGCTAGGTTCAGCTCACATGCCAACGCCTATTGACATCGAGTAAGACGTAGGTATTCAACTTCTGTTTCTTCTGCGACTCATGTCATCTTAATGAAAACCAAGCCAATTCGCGACACGACCCTCATCTCCCAGCCTCCAAACACACTTCGCTACTGAAGAGACTCTATTGTCTTGCTTACCCCCTCACACTCTGCCTACTTTCCAGTGACTCTAGAGCCTCCCCACCATCGTGACGACGTCATCCGACATGCATCATCCCTCGTCAAAATCCATACCATCCACTAACCTTACCACTCCCCACGATGGCTCGCTTTCTCTTCCCTCGTTTTCTACGCTATCCCCTCACTCTGCTCACTGCTCAGAGCAAACCGCGGCTGTCATCCCATAAAGTGACCTCATGCCGCATCTCACAAACACACCCACAACCAATCCCATTTCCCCAACCTCACCAGTAAGATCCCCAGAGTTCATGCACTCCAGCTCAGACCAATGTAGCGCAAAGTCATCATCGTGTAGATAGGTATCCTCGGGCTCGCTCCTCCATGGGCTTCTGGACTGAAGTCCATCGGTCCATCCACCCGTCATCAAACGCCCCGGCGCGGCCCACTAAACCTCCGTAGCATGGCAGCGTCATTCCAGAATCTGGGGTGCATTGTTCCCAGCTAGCCTCTACGCAGTGCTCGTACACAATAGTTTCCATCCGCACTCATCCAATAATCTTCAAAGCCAACAAGTTCATTTCACGCCGGCCGTTCTTCTTCAGCGTTGAGTGTTCAAACCTGCATCTCACAATTGCCGACTTCCATGTCCGAAGCAGACAGGAAAGTTCCACTGCCCGAAGGTAACGCTTCCGGACAGCCAAATTTCAGGCTCGTAGTCCTTTCGTCAACGTTGCACCTCATCTCTCCGAAACACCGGGCCCCCTCAACACATGTTTGCTTTGACCTCTGATGAACAAAAACCCTAAATGATCCTCTCCCACACACGGCCCGGTCTCGGCCGCCGTTGACTTTCCCGCTTCCGGCCCTCATCCCGCGTGGCGTGTCCCGCCAAATTGCCCCAGTGTCCACCGCATGGTTTCGACAGGAGGATTCTTCTCTGGAATGATACAAGGCCACCACACATTGGATGAACACCAACAAACAAGTTCTTCTATTGCGGGTGATTTGTTTCTGGTTTCTCATCCAAGCCTCAGAATACCCAAGAAAGATTCGCGCGGTTTCCTGTCTGCGAGGTTCAAGTCCGTGAAAAGAGAGGTTGCACTAAACTACGATGATTCAACTGGCTATGAGGAACATTGCCCACCAAAAGATTCTTCGACGGATAGCACACACTACGCAGTGATTCATTCTTAGCGCATAGCCCTATGGATATCTCGTGAGACGGGCCGAAAAGGCTAGTCCCAGCGGTTCAATAACGCCAATGGCAATGCTCGTTCAAGCAGACTTACAGCGTCAAGTTGTACGACCCTTGCCTGATATTTATAAGGATCCGTCACTGAACCTACTCCTTAGGTGATACAGCCTTGACGGTGACTGTCAAGGGGTCTCCCCCCGCCTTGGCCTGGCGAACCATGGCCTGGAACTGGCCCTCGTTCATCAAATCCTTCATCACAATTTCCCTCGTCCTCTGGAGACCTTCCAGCTCATCGAGTCTCTCCAAGCTGGCCTCGAGAAGCTCGTCAAAGCCCTCCTGCGCGCAGATCTCCCGGAAAGCATGGTGCATCGGGACCGAGTCCGCCCGGACCATGGAGTTAGAATCGATCGAGAAGATGTTGAAGTGGTCGTGCTTCTGAATGAAATCGAACCTCGTCATGAGGAATCTCGCCTCATGGAGAGGCATCTCCGGCAGCTTTCCGGCCAGAAGCTCCTCTGGCTTCATTTTCTTCTCCTTCTCAATCAATGCCTTGGCCAGCAAAAATGCCGTCGTGGCGTGGTCTTGCTGAGCCTCGGCATCTGGATCCATGTCGGCGCCCAACATCCAGCACTGGCCCAGGAGCCAGCGCTTCTCCCTGTCGCAGATGAACTTGCAGGCTGCGAGCATGTCTTTCGATCTGGCGACATGGTCGAGGAACCTGACGCGTCCGCCGACCAGCTTGTAGACTTGGTTCAAGGTGTCGCTGGATACGTCCTCTTTGAAGACCTTTTGCCGGAACTCGTGTAGAGCTTCGACGGCAGGATCGCGGGGCACATCGCGGACGTCGGTCACGGAGATCCGCGTGGCTTGCCACTTGAGGTGCTCGGTGGTGCTATGGTCGTCGCTGGTGAACACTACCGTGACGAGTCGACTTGCCGCCCACATCTCTGCCCGCTGTTGAATCAGCTCAAGCAGTTCACGTCCATCATCGTCATCTCGGAGGACGTGAACTCGATTGATAATCAGGACCAGCGGCTTCCGGATGTGTCTCTGTCGCATCAGGGCTACCTTCTCCATCTTGTTGAAGGCTCTTTCGATGTCAAGGATGGCGGTTGAATCGCGAGGTCCCTTGAAGCTGAACAAACTTCCGATGTAGTCCTCGTGGAACTCAAAGTCGAGGGCCTTTCCCAGGCGAAGACGAAAGACCTCGAGATCGCTATGGGCTTCGAGCATGGCGATCCCTGAGCCATTGACCCTTCGCATCGCCTTAAGGATCATAGAGCTCTTTCCGGTGCCCTTTTCTCCCGTGATCAAGTGATATTGACCTCGGATAGTCCCGTCAATGATGCCGTCGATGTGTTCCTGCTCCGCGCGAGGGATCCATTCATTCTCACCCTCCAGACCCGTGAAATCGTCAATGGTATGGAGCTTGTGAGGCGCCACATGACGCCCTAGAGCCGTCAGCTCCGGCGTTGAAAATCCTACGCCAAAAGCATTGTCCATCTTTCGCAGGACAAGGTCTTTGTAGTAGGCGTGATAAGAGTAGCCTGCCAGGCCGAGGACAGCGATGGAGCCAAAGGCTGTCGCGCTGCCCTCAACGACCCTCCAGAAGGTAGGTTTCCAGCCATGGGGTGAGTCTTCGGGGTCACCATCTCCTTGCCGTTGCTTGTCGTGAGAGGATCCGGAAGTCGGGCCTTGTTGTTCCACGACGATGAAGCGGGTCCGCGTATGGGCTCTGCTAGTAGCCTGGTAGGCCTAAGCATCGATACAAGGCATGATATCAGCTGGGTGGCAAGTCGAATAGCGATAATGGATGTGCTTACCCTCCATTGTTTCGAGAGAAGGTAGCGTCTAGCCATCCGTGATTTGATGTCGTGTTTCCGGACTGGAACACCGGGGTCACACGCGTTGTCACGCGGAGATGTCACGGAGGAGCTTCGCACTAGCAACGATGATTGTTTCCGCGCTTTCTCCTAAACGGCCCCGAGGACACACACGCAGTGCAACTCTTTTCGAGCAGTTGTCAGGGTTGAAACGGGATCTAGGCCGTTCCAATATGACTTTTTTCGAATTTCTTGGCAAAGCGTGCGCGTCCTAAGATGCACTTCGAAGACTACTGGCCAAATGGCCGTTTGTGTCGTCAAAAGGGACGAAAGGTGCAGAAGCACGGTGATGGGCCCGCCATTTTCCAAGTGGGCGATGATGTACAACCTTAACTGACTTCCGCCTCTAGTATAGGGTGGAGAAATAGGGGATACTCTTCAGTGGATTCATGCGACAAGCCAAGTAATTACAGGGACCTTCCGCGGACCGCAGCCCCCTGCGCCGTCCGCTGTCAGCGAGGATCCATAAAACCAATCTCCAAGATCCGGGCATGAGCGAAGAGCAACCGACGGGATATATAATCCACTGCAAATACGTTCCGTTTCATTTTCCATACTTGGTGATAGTTGTGTACTTTGACATGCTTGGATAGTTTTTCTCGATGCTCGCCTGTTTTTAGAACCGGTATGCACTACAGTTTATGAATCAAACTCAGCCCACCTAGGGGATGGTTCTCAAAGTTATTTCAGTGCTTGTGTCCAAGGCTACAAATTTATAGCGCTGTTCTCGAGGGGGAGTTAAGCCGCGGGATTCTCTGGGTGGCATTTTCACGTCAGAAATGACAGAATACATGATTGAATTTCGGCCTACATCGAGTCATCAACTAATTAAAAATCCTAAATTCTCATAACTATGGATGGATAGGTAGACACAGAGTCTTATGCTACTCCAATATCTATAGAGGTATTAAGGGGAGTCGCATCCAATACATGCCACCATCGTGGAGAATGGAGTTAACGACTTCACAATGTAAGGTAGAGTAAGGTAAGACGGGAACTGTCCGACATTCAGAGGATCGGCTGTCGTCAGCAGATACTCGCGAGTAGAATTACGACCAGGCACATGGACTACAGACGACTTTCATAACCTAGAGAGATCCATGGTGCGTTTATCTACAAGTTTGATGAAGTCCCGGATTGGATGCTAGACTCGATTTAGTAGGTAGTATCGTTGCATAAGATTTCGACACCCTGCCTTCTCAGAGTATTTTTCTCATTGCCATGTCCTATTTCATATTGAATCAGCTATCATTATGAGATGTTCAGTGAAACTGCGATGTGAGATACATCATACATGCATGAGTACGGGGAGGAAACGAAGCTCTTTTCCTTCTACCTTGTTGCAGGCGGTCTCGTTGTACTCGTTCGCCAAGCTGCATGCTTCTGAAGGTAAAGTTCTCCGGGAGGGCCCGCCGATAGGGGCATCAATCACATCATGAACAGCACCATCGTCATAACATGGGTCAAAAAGTATGTACAGACAATACCATGAGCCGCGTATAATCTTCCGCTCACAATAAATGCTTGAACCTTGAGAGACCTGCAAATTTGCGCTTTTCTCTGGTAAACCTTCTACTAAAGTCGCTTGCTTGGAGAGGAAATCTCTTTCTATCGATATCACGTCCACTACGTTAACAATGCGCATAATCTCAAGTACAGCAATCTCAGCGGTTGCAAGTCATGCTAAACCATGGCTGGATCCTGTCGTGACCTCTACCTCGGCTTCTGTCTTAACAGGTCTTCTGCGGGCAATTCAACGTCGATTTAAGTATTTGTCGACGGTCGAAGAGACATCCATCATAGCCGCTCGAGGTTGATGTAGACATTAGGACCCGAACACGCTTCACATCTCGATGGCGAATTGTGACGTGTCGATGATATTTCAGGAGCAATGCGAAATACACCTGAGCTATAAAGGCGTGCTGCGTGCGAATACATAACATTGATTCACGAGTACGCATATGCTCCCGTTGTTAAGAATTTTATAGCGGAAAATGGCTATCGCCTGAGGTATCAACTGACTCTTTACCTTTACCGTCACTTGCCGGGCGTGTAAAGTAGGCGTACGCGTACAAGACAGAAACTAAGCCTGGTGGAATCTCTGTGTACCCCTAGCTCCCGAGGTCGAGGTTGGTTAGGTGCTCCTGGCATGTCCGTGGCTATGATGCGAGACACGGCTGGACCGCAGAGGGCGGCGATAACGTGCCCAATGCAAATGTCCACGTTGGATATTTCTGGCTTCTCTCCCGAGACAAATTGAGTCGGTAGACACTAGCAACGCCACAAAGGGAATCGCCGACGGGTTGCTAATCCATAATCCACAACATCCCCCCCACATGGCATTACGCTTGATTTTATCTTTAACCCTGGCTTAATTACCCCTTAAAAGGTCCGAACCATTCGGAAAGGAAGAGTGATTTGATTGAGGTCTCTGTGATTCGCTGGCGGTTTCCCCGCAAAGTAGCAGCGTCGCACTAAGATCTGCCCTCCGCCGCCCAAGCTCCCACATACCGGGGCTTGGCATCCGACTACAGCCTCAATCCCTCCGGTAGACGGTACAAGACTGCAAGTTGATGTGAAAACCCATGCGTTGGACCAAGGACTGATGACGAGTCACTCATACGTACGCAGTTTGCAAAAGATTGCGATGTTGTGCTTTGCCCTTGCTATGTGATTCCGGAGGCGTGATTGACCAAAAGTGACGATATCTTGTTCCTTCCTCAGGAGTCAGGGATGGCATACATAAAGACGTCGGTCCATGGCGAAAGGCAATAGTTCCTGTTTGTTTCTCACCACCATCAGTCATTCCATTCTCCTCTGCTTCGATTCTTCACTCGAGTTAGATTCCGAGAATTCACACTCTTTTTGACTTTACTTTCGCTATTTTCCAACTTTGACACCTCGATCCGACAAAATGGTCACCGTTTCCCGCCTCGCTTTGGCGGCTATCGCACTCACCGGTGTCACTGCGCACCCGGGAGAGAAGCATGATCCTCACGTCCACAAGCGCGAGATGGCCCTGCGTCGATCTGTTGCCGCCAGCACCCGCCGGGCCCTCGACGCCTGTGCCGGCTCGGCTGCCGACGTCGCCCTTAAGCAGCGTGCTATCCAACGTCGCGAGGCCAAGCTCAAGGAGCTCCGCGCGAAGAGAGCCATCTCCGCCTCTGGTAAGTTTCCAAGTGGCATTGTCGTTATTCCAAGCTGATATGTGATTCTTCAGCTCCTATCCGCCGCCGTGCCGAGAGTGACTTGACCACCTGGGCAGCCATTGACCACGAGTCTTCCGGGGGATACACTCTTGATACCGACCCCGCCACTCTCTTCGCCCAGAACACCACTTGTGTCGTCGTTCCCGAGACCACTATTGGCCCCTACTGGGTCGCCGGCGAGCTGATCCGCAGCGAGATGACCGATGGGCAGTCCGGCGTGCCTCTGCACCTTGACGTCCAATTCGTCGACGTCTCGACATGCGCGGGTGTGCCCGAGATCTTGATCGACGCTTGGCACTGCAATGCTACCGGAGTGTACTCTGGTGTATCTGCCACCGGCCAGGGCGGTCTGAACTCGACCTTTGGCCGTGGTGTTCAGCAGACCGATGATGATGGAGTTGTCCAATTTGATACCATGTTCCCTGGTCACTACACCGGCCGTGCTACCCACATCCACGTCAAGACGACCACCGGCGCCACTGTTCTCGACAACGATACCTATGTCGATGGTGTCACCAACCACGTCGGCCAGCTTTTCTTCGACCAGACCCTCATCTCGGAAGTCGAGGCCGTTGCGCCTTACAACACCAACACGCAAGAGCTGACCCTCAACTCTGGCGATAGCATCGCCTTTGGTGAAGCGACTGCGGACTACGACCCCTTTGTCCAGTACGTTCTGCTCGGTGACGACATTTCCGAGGGTGTTTTGGCCTGGATCACCGTTGGCTACAACACCACCGCCGACTACTCCAGCTCTGCTAGCGCCGCTGCCCACTACTACGCCGACGGCGGTGTCGATACTTCTTCCGGAAACGGCGGCGGTGGCCCCGGAGGTGACGGCGGCCCTCCCAACGGCACCTTCCCCAGCGGTGCCGGTCCCAGTGGTGTCCCTCCCAGCGGTGCCGCTTCTGTCCCTGCTAGCTCTGCTACTTCTGCTGCCGCTGCCAGCACCACGACTGCTGCTTCCAAGGGTGGCTGTGCGCGCAAGCGTCACTTGTAAATTTGGTGAGGGGGATCAAAAGGCGGGCTTTTAGCTGCTTTGTTGGCGGGGCTATCTCGGTGTCTGCCGCTGAAGAACGTTGACAAAGTAGTTTTTGAGAGTTGATGTGAGCTGGTGGTCATTGTTTTCTGATCGTTATGTTTTGGCGAGTATGTTTGTATGTACATTATCGAGAAAAGGGTGGTTGAGACGAAGGCAAATCCTGCCTAGGACTCTCCTGTTTAGATTATCGAATCCAAAGAATTCGCAATCTCTAGCATTAGAACAGCCCACAATCAGCGTTGAATTGTAGTCATGACTACCTTACACTATACAAACATTTGACTTTTCGCTTCCGAGTTCCTCATTAATCATCTTGAAGTACATGTATGGTTGAAGGGGAGTTATGAAAGACAGCAATACCCGTGATGGTACTTTCCGTTGCATGCATCCGGCTCGATCGCTCCGATAGCCATCAGGGGAGACATCACTCAACTATCACGGTACTGGCGGACGAACTCATGCAGCTGCACAAGAGAGTCGTGTCCAACTTTCTGCATGTACGCAGAACTCTTGTCTCCTGCGATGGCGACGTGGACAAGCTTCCTTGCGATCCAGCACAGCTCGCTGTTATACCGGATCATGCCTGCTTTTTCAAAGGCGGCGGGGTCTATGTCGCCCCTGATCGTATCCCACATGCCCTCCCATCTGGAAACGGCACGTAGCAGGGCTGGTGCACATGCAGGCAAGACTCCCATAAGATTGGCCGAAGCCACCATGCCGTTGAGTGCTACTTTCGTTAGATAGGTATCCTTCTTGCGCGCATTGCAGCAGTACAAGGGGTAGACATACCAAAAATCAGTAGTTGCAGGTCCAATCCGTTGATATCCTGGAATGGAAAACTTCCCATGCCGACCCAAGTCTCTGCCATCAGCGCGTCGGTGCACTGTTTGACAGAAGAAATTCTCCTAGAACCATCTGCTCCAAGGGCGTTTGCCGCATCAAAGTATTCCGCCGCATCTTTGGCATCCCATAGCTCCAAGGGGCTTGGCAGGTCACAAGTCAACTCTGCAGGCGTCATCGATGGCGGTGTATTGAACATGCCGCACTGCTGCCAGTCTCCCAGTGCAGTCCAAATTGCGAGTCTGCACATCTATCAGCGACGTGTTTGATAAGGTACCTGAAGAGTGAAGAAGACTCACCTGATCTTTGATTCATTACGCACAAATTCTTCGTATTGGAATATGGGAGCATGTTTGGTCTGTGCCAGACCGAGAACCCTTACGGCCGATACAAGCTGTGGGAGTCGCTGGGTTCTGTTCTTCCTACGTGATGCTACATCATTTCTGAAGAACTGGACAGAATGGATCATGAGGGCTGCTTGTAGTGTCTCTTCAAGCTCGTGGGTAAACTCTGGCGCTGAGCCTGGGGGCATTAAACGCTCAAGGCATCGAAAGATATACTCCTCCGCAAGGGTGAGATACCCACGAGCTGCGAGAGCATCGTCGCTTGGAGGTGATCTTAGAGACCCAGATAGCCCAACAGCCAAGAGAAGCTGCTTTGTTGTGTAGTCACTGCCAAAGTCTGGCCGATGGACGATAGGAAAGTCAAGATGACTAACTCGGAAATATGTTGCAGAAAATTGGCACAGGTTTCCTGCCGAGAAGATCGAGTTTGCCGTGTCAAGATCAAAAGTGCCGTCATACCATTGGTTCGTAGCAACCAGAGTATGATGAAGCTCCTGTAAGCCCGAGATAATTTCGGCTGACCGCGGTTCCAGGCTTTCCGGCACAAGAAACGACATTCGAGTGTTGGCTAGTATGTTTTCTGACAAGACGTCCAAGGAATTGAAATCTATCAGCTCGGGGGCAAATGTTGACGCAAAACCATATGGGAGGAACGTGAAGTCATCATCAATCAGCATGCTTGGAGGGTATTGCGTGGGCATGCCCTTCATGGTGGGATCGATTCCATCGCCCTCGGTTCTCGCAGCTGCTTCGCTGGCGAGGAACTCGAGGATGTTTTCCGAGTTGGGATTTGTCAGACCGAGAAGAAAAGCGACTGTGATTTTGGTGCGGTCCTTGTCATTATCGGGTGTGCCTACCGCGGTAGTGGCCAATGACGAGGATGGTGTTGATGAAGATGCATCTGTGATCACGGAAGTGCTTTCTTCCAACCGGTGATATGTGCATGGCAGCTTGCGAGAGACGCATCGCACGCAGGGGTCAGAGGTATCGCATGACTGTTTGCTGTGAAAGCAGGCGTCGCAAGCGCGGGGTTTCTGGCCGCGCTTGAGATTCGGAACGGTCTCCTGGTCTTGTTTCTTGGGACAGTGGATTGTGTGCTTACGGCACACATCTCTGTCGCACTTTAGTGGGATTTTCAGCATGGATGTGCGCAAGATAATACGAACCGTCTGGCAAATGCCTTTTCGCAGTACAGGCACTTGTACCTAGCGGATTCAACGTCTGCGAGATTGTAAGTTCCGAGGTCAATTGATTCCCGAAGTCAATCAGACGCTAAACTCTAGCTCGTGCTGGTTGATATATTACAAAAAGGTTGATTGGGAAGAGGCAAGGTGAATCCCGTCACATGGAAAAGCTGGAACGAACTGACAGTACATTGATAATGACTACCGACAAATCGGGGGAATCATCACTGTCAGACGGGAACTAGGCGAATATCGCCCGAAATCGACAAGGCTGTAGGACCGAAAGGGCAATATTTGACACAAGATAAGAAACGCGGGAAGAATTCACGAAAGAAGGGAGGAAATAAGAAGATTACCTACGTGTGGATTCGTGGCGGCGTAGATGAGCGCTTCTCTGATACTGCTTCCCGCAAATAGCACACGTATGACCTCCGGTTGAAGGAGCGGCCATGGCGGGTCCGGCTGTCTACCGGCGGCGTAGTTTAAGAATACCAGTAGAGATAGCAGGCTATTCGAATTGGGCTTAGGATTCTCAGTAATCAAATCGCGTTGGTTGGCAGTGGGCTTGGATGAACGACAGAGAATGTGAAGATGGTGGGTTTAAGCCGATGAACGCGTTCGGAATGACGCGGGATGGCAGGACGATGACCCACTATTCCGCGACAAGGGGTCAAGCGCTGTCTGTGACCGGAGAAATCCCACCCCCGGGGTCTCGATGAGGTCTGGTGGATTCACTATCCCAATTGGGACAGAACTCTCGCACCTGCATGTCATGGTGGGGCAGTTGACGAATCACAGCGCCCTTGATCTTGGCATAAAATAAAGGGAAAGAGGCTACTCCCCCAGACTTTTATATCCATCTTGACCACTTCCTTCCTCCACTTCTCACCATCATCAACCTCAACGGCACCGGTCGGAAACCTCCGGCACAAGAATTTCCTTTTACAATCATAGTTCCATAGTCATATGCATGTAATGGATAAACTTACTTTATCGGTAGCACTTTCTGCACCAGAAAGCTGTTCATTCTGACACAAATTACAGCCACTTTGCGGCTATTGCAGCGCGATGCATCAATGGGGGCTTCCTTTAGTCGGAACCCGTATAAAATGATCATTATTTCTGATGTTGAACGCATTGCCCTCGGCCTCCGATGTTCTTTTATAATGTCCATTGCTGTGCTCTTTCCTGCAAACGACAGAGCTGGCCCATTTTGACACCCTCTTGCTTTTCTCGGCTTTTTCTCAGCTCGATGCTCGAGTTCAACTGACCCTGTCAAGTGGTGTTATAGGATGTCTAGCCTTTGTAAGTCAGTTCTATTTCCAGTTCTTCCTCGGACTCTCGGGGTCCTCGATCGTCAAGAAACATCGCCCAACGAAGTCCAACATCGTGACTCACCATCTACTAGCTGTTCTGCGGTTTCAACCGTCGAGACTGGCTACTCGAGCACAAGTTTGCGCCCTTCATCTTTCGTCTACATCATCTATACCTAGGTCTCAGCACTATCGAAATCGAAGCCATGCGAGATCAAACTCCACAAAGACTAGCATTGTACCACAGAACAGTCTACCGTTCGACAGCCAAATCATCAAACCTCCCTCCAACGCCGTCGAACATGTGTTGTGAGTCCAGCATAGCATCATGTTTCGATACCCTCGCCGCTGGCTAATACCAAGATAGAACCACCTTGGACAGCATTGTCAACTGGGCACGCCAAGGTTCCTTCTGGCCCTTGACATTCGGTCTAGCCTGCTGCGGTATAGAGATGATGCATGTATCCATGCCACGTTACGATCAGGACCGCCTCGGCATCATCTTCCGCGCTTCGCCTCGACAGGCTGATGTCATGATCGTGGCTGGCACGGTCACAAACAAGATGGCACCTGCTGTTCGACAATGCTACGATCAGATGCCAGACCCGAAATGGGTAATCAGCATGGGTAGCTGTGCCAATGGAGGTGGCTATTACCACTACAGCTACTCCGTCGTGAGGGGGGTGGATCGGATTATACCTGTAGACATCTACGTGCCCGGGTGCCCACCAACTGCAGAGGCCCTTCTACATGGCGTCTTCCTCTTGCAGGCGAAGCAAAGAAGGACGAAGATCACGAGGATGTGGTATCGGAAGTAGACTTGTGGGTAACGTCATGTACTTTACTATTCGGTGTATGTTATCCTGATTTCTATCTCTCTGCCGCAGCCTCTCCACTTCTGATGCCAGCCATCGTGTTAGATTGCTAGACCTACCTTTAATCACCTCAAAGTTAACGATATAGTACGTGAGGAAATGACATCAAGTCTACAGTGATTGAGAGTCCCACCTTTCGCCTAGTACAATAACAAAGCATAATGATTAGTCTAGGCCTAGGACCTTGAGTGGCATGAAGCTTAGTATCAAACACGGTATCAAGGGGTTCGCCAATAAGGCACCACGATGAGGCTTAAAATCATTTTTGTGCAATGTGAAGTGAAGGTTACTTGATCATCGGACTTGAGATTATTCGACCTGCTGTAGCCTGTCAGCTTACCTGCGCTCCAGATGCCAAGGCGCTTCGCACGTATTTCCCCACGCTACGCCCAAAGCCAGTTGCCCGACCTTGCACATATGGATGGATTCTTGTCAGCACAACAGGTTCCCGGCTGCCTGATTTAGTAAGGCTAGTGTTCATAGAAGCCGTAAGCCATGCTGATTCGACTGCGCCGCTGCAATGCTTCTGGTAACGGCTTCTTCCTATCGCGAGAGGGGTTCGTGAAGCAAAGATGCCGTGCCAAGAAAAGTGATGTTATTACTAAAATCAAAACTCAAATACTCTGACATCGCGTTGGGAAAGTCTCGCCTTCCACAACCTCTTGAGCTCTGTATCTTATCTCTGAGAGAATTGTCGCCTTGCTAGCGCTTCACGACCACCGAATTTCATCCCCGATTGGTAACATGAGGGTCCATTTTCCAAGAGCTCCCGCGCTCTGGTTTTGCGTGTCGCTGGCGCGTAAGATCCTTGGAGAACCGCTTCCTGATCCTACGGGCGAGTACAACGTCGGTGCCCAGCGCTTTATGGTGCCATTCTTAGACGAGAACGACGTCGTGTGGCCAAATGGTGTTTCTACGGAATACCTCGTAACGCTGTACTATCCCACCGCAGTTGAGAAGCCTTGCCCGAAGCCATACCTCGAGCCCGAGCTTGTCAAACTGTACACCGATCTGTGGAATTACAACATCTCTCACTTAACGTCGACGCTGCGGTTGAATGCGACTTATCTAGCTGAAGAAACAGGACCCACGCTTCTCTTCGGACCTGGCGGTTGGGGTGTGCCGACCGGTGGTAACTACATTATCATCTCTGACCTGGTATCGCATGGTAAATTCGCGATCCCTCAAGATGTTGTTGTTCAAGCTAACTTGGTATCAAACGAAGGATACGTCGTTGCCGCAATTGATCACGTTTACGAGCAGCCCTTTGTGCGTTATCCTAACGGCACGGGCGTCTACGGACTGCCACCGAATTTCAGCAATTACACGCTTGACTGGGTAGAGGACTTGCATGCCGTCAGGGTTAGACAGCAGCTCCACTTCATTGATTACTTCCCCTCACTTGTGGCAGAGCTCAAGGCACCCTTCAAGATCAACGAATTTGGCACGTTCGGGGTGTCTTTAGGAGGCTCTGCTGCTCTTACCGTAGCACTGGAGAGCGATGCGGTGGCAGCCGCCATCAACGTCGATGGTGGTCTTTGGGGTCGACTAAATAGCACATCCGACTCGGACCTGAAGAAACCTTCGATGATTCTTGGCTTTCAGGGCCACAATGCGAACTCGGATCGCACCTGGAATAACTACCGGGCCTGGCAGACTGGTTGGTGGCGTCTGTTCTCCGTGGATGGAAGTTTGCATCCTGACTGGTCCGACCTGGGATTCTGGAAGATTTTCGGCACGACACGTATACAGGGGCCCATTGATGGCAACAGGATGGTCTATATCTCGAGGACTTTCATCCGAGCCTTTTTTGACGATGTTCTGCGTCATGTCAATCAGCCTCTTCTGGATAGCCCTTCTGAAGACTTCCCCGAAGTGCATTGGGATGAGATCCACAACGGACAATGAATACAGCAGCTTTTGACATTATGAACAATGGAAATTTAGGTCATCCATCGAAGTGTGCATCGAATGACGGGTCGACAGTCAACGAGTGCCATTCTTCCTCTCCTGACGCTTCCCGCCATCATCGTGCTAGGGGAAAGTGTTGTTCTAAGACACGGGCGTCGTATCCGAAAGTGACAGCTCCCCGGAGTTACCATCGCAGTGCCTGCAACTTTGAAAAACTACGGAGTTATGGTGAGATTCGAGCATTGATAATAGAGGGGTATGCGGATTGATCATTAGTTACAAGGTGCATGTCTGCGGTCCGCCCTCCATTCCCTCCAGTAGATCACTTGCATGTAACCAGTGACTTGACTGATTCGAGAGACCGAAATTAGTAAGAAAGACATGGTATGCAACGAGCACCAGTGATATGCTTGACTGTCTATCAGTATTATTGATAATGAAACTTGATGGCGAGATTGACAACTTAGCATGATTAGTGCCATTAGGTGAAAGGGCGTCGACTCTATGCTTATTATAACCGAGACAAGTACCAGCGTGGCAACAACCACTGCTGTCTGTAGGGTTGAAGAATCGCATTATTATCTTGAAGAGAGCCGTGTCTCGCAGATCAGAATCAAAAGTGCAAAGAGTTGCCAATTTCGGGAACTTCTAATACTAGTTCGCGGGTATTTGAGATTCTGCTGTAATGGTCACATCTCGTCGAGAATTATTTTCATTTATTTAATATAAGGGGGAAAATGCAGGAATAGCCACTCCTCTCTGAGACGGCCGCCGATATCTCCGTCCTACTTTGCCTCATGATCTTCATGGGACCAATCTCAGAAGTTGAGGTTAATGCCACTTAGCTTCTCATGTTGCGTCGTGCCCGGAAGTTTTACAGACAAATTGAGCTACATGTCAGGAGCCTCGGCCCAACCCATATCCATGTTGCCGCCGGCCTCGGTCAACGATAGCTTTCTTCGTCACAGCCAAGGATTCGCTTTTGGTTACCTAAATTTTGAGGTATGATGCAGCTGTCAACACTGAAATACTGTGCACTTTGTTGTCTTATTGGACGACATTGAGTCGAGAACAGGAACCTTTCTTTCCTAGCCAGTCAGGGTCGTAAGACTTTGGGGGCAGTGGCACTTTCTCTGAACGTACCAATTTTACTGCATGACATTTCCCCACGTTGGCTACAAATCTCAAACTTAGCTCAAGCAGTGAGTGATTGAGCGATCTCATTCACACATCCTCGTGTTTTCGAACCCTTGCACTTTCGTGTTCTCAAGCGGTTAGCAGAGACGAAGGGAGCTATGCTGCGGGCAATTTTGTGCCACCGCACACCTTTTTGACCATTAATATGTGGGCAGCTAACAAACCACCGGCTGAGCTTCCATCGTGTTGAAGAGCTTTATTCCGAGCAATGGTTGAGGTCAACTCCAGCAGAGTTCACCCAAGATGGCAAAGCCGTATCAAAGCCATCCAGTTTTGGCCCAAGGGATTGCCTTGGGAGAAAGTTCTCTTTGAATGTCTCAGATACCTATGTAATAATTCCAAAATCTAGCCTTGCCTGGACAGAGATGCGAATGATCCTTGCTCACATACTTTGGAACTTTGACTTCAAGCCGCAATCCGACATTCAGAATTGGATCACAACTCAGAGAGGTTTTACTCTCTGGGAGAAGCCGAATCTTAACCTCAAGTTGTCACTACGCGAGTAAATACCAACGTATCCGTATAAACTTCGCAGCTTGACCAAGCTTAAGTATGCGGAGAGGTCGTCGTATTTGTGACGGCTTATAGTATATATGACTGGACAAGTAAATTGGGTCGGCAGGGTGCGACTGTAAGCACCATTTGTGCTTGGGATGTTCTTAGCCAATAATACTCTTTCTTTGACACCTTACTTGATGTAAATTATTAACTCTGATAGCCCAATCTGTCTTCCTTTCACACGCGACAAGTTCTTTTTCTAGACAGAGACTATGGTACATGGAGAAACATTGATGTAATTTTACATACAAAAGCGCAGGAATGGAACATAGCCATGTCTGCTATTATTTAGTTAGTGTTGGAATAGTGACATTATAATCCAACTTCTGACTGATTGGCTCGTACCTCCATCTTCCCACGTAGCCGTTAAATGAACCATTTCCACCATTAGTAGTAGCAAAGATGCCAAGCAGTCCACCTGTAGTAGCTCCATCTCCTGCCAACAACGCGTTGTTGAAAACCCAGAGTGACTGCTCAGAGCCAGCCTGATCTACCGAGCTCACAAAAAACTCGTTGTGAGTCTCGTTTCTCGGAGAAATCCGAACCCGGATAGCTCGGCCCAACATTTCTTGTGGAATAGGCAAGACTCGTGGATCAGGAGCTGTAGAGTTGTTGATAGAACGAGCCCTGAGTTGGAAATGAGGCTCGAGCTTATCTCCCTCGTTGGACTCAGCAGCCTGATAAATGATACCAAGATCAACATGCTGATTAGGGTTGACATAGTTTGAAATCCCGACTTCGTCACCAGCAGACTTCCCAAAGCCCAACTCAATATCAACGGAAAATTCGAAAAAGGTATGTTCCTGCCGTCGAAAGACAGAAGTGACGCCCTCAGTGGTGACGTTGAAGTTTGCATCTCTTGTGAGATTAGCGCGGGAGGCAGTCATCTGAAGAGTCCCTTCGTGACCTTGGGGAGAAACGGTGAGCGACGAGGCATTGAAAGGTGCTCTCCAAGAAATCCAATGTGACGGAATAGTAGACCCCGACTCGAAATCTTCCACATCTGCTTTGCCGACAAAAGGTCCAACTCCTGGTTCAACGAAAGATTTGTCGGGCAATGGCCCACTCATGTTCCCGCGAACTTTATCTGCGATAGGCCAACCACCCGCCGGCCAAGATACCGGGAACAGGACGGTCTCTCTGCCCATAGGATAGTTGAGGCTGTTGTAAAGATCCGGTCCTCCGCGAGTAGATAGCGCAACACCCCACCAATTTCCGACTGAGTCTTGGAAAAGATCAGCGTGGCCAACAGTCTGGAAGTATTCATTGGTGCCTCTGTTGGAAACGAGTGGGTTTTGAGGTACCGCTTCCCAAGGCCCTTTGATGCTTTTAGATCGTGCGACAGTTGCCGAATGATTCAGCTGAGTGCCACCTTCAGCAATCAACAAGTAGTAATATTCATCCTTCCTGTAGATGTGGGGGCCTTCGGCATTTGCACCCCCAGTACCATTCCAGAGATCCCAGGGCTCACTGGTATTGCCAGAGGAGAGATCCAGGTAGGTTGCTTTGATGGGTGTTCCGGAAGAAGCAACAACGACGGAGCCATCGTCATCGAAGAAAATGTCGGGATCGATTGTGTCGCCAGGTGTTTCTGGCCAAATTGCGTCAGACCATGACAGGTCGTCAAATGGGTCCTTCGTCGTGAATATGACAAACTTTGGTCCTCCAAGCTGGGCACTGACCCAAGTTGAGATTAGGTAGAATGTGCCATTGTTGAATCGGAGGGTACTAGCAAACATGCCAAGATCTTCACCTTGGCTTCCATTGCGAATCAGTGGGAATTGCGACACCCGATTGACTGCATTGCTTGCAAGTCTCCAGTTCAGAAGATCTTTACTGGCGTAAACAGGATTTCCCGGAAAGGTTATGAACGACGACGTCGTGCAGAACAGAGTCTGATTCCACTCAGGAACGAAAGTACAACTAGGATCCGAGTGCCATCCTGGAATGATCGGGTTGGTGTAAGACGTGTTTGCTAGAGAGCCCAGGGCACCTAAGGGGCATAAAACGAAGGGAATGAAATGCATGAACTGCATTTTCAGGGCCGAGAAAAGGTTCCTTTGACTTTGACAGTTATTGAGTTCATGATGGACGTGCAACTGCCGCCTCCTTTATTTACCAAACATTTCCATGGCACCCCAGTCTGGGTTGAGCCGAAGTAGCATCGACTGGTGAATTCACTCACTTGCCTGCCCCGCGTTCCCACTTCCCCGCCTTACTTAGAAGCGGACTTTCCGAGTTGCGGATATCCCGGCCTGCCTCCAAATTTGCAGCCATAGAGAGATGGTTGATGGGGCCGAACCGAGCCGAAAGGGCAGTTGTTGGCTGAAGCCATGATATTTAGCAATTTAGTCATGCGAAATTTTGATGGAAAGGCTGATGTAGATCTTGGAGCGGATCTCTGCTCGAAAGAATTCCAGAGGATTACAAAGCTTGCGTAGGTAGCCAGAGTGGGCGGGATTGCCTTCCCCCAATTCACTCATACAAAACCAGGGCAAGCGAAGTTTCGTCAGTCCCTCACTCCGGTATTGGTCTTTTCTACGATGTCGATGAACTCGAGGAATTGACCAGTACTTGACACTGGCATACCAGCCATTAATTACCACGTTGCGTGTATCGAGAACAGACATTCTTGCCTTGCTAACACATGAACATCAATCATCATGAGTATAGATGATATTGCTCATACTTTCTTGTAGCCTGCTGATTACATGTCATCATTAACTACAGGTTCAGAATGGATTCATGTGGATGTCTAACAACGCTCAAAGATAGATTCCCTCCAAACGTTGTCCGTTACTTCTGAGTACCAAGCCTAAGCCCCTTGCCGGGGTTTAATCTTATAGATAGCTGCGTAAGTCGTTAGTTCGTTGCGACAACCTTCCTCCTGCTACGCCATGTCTGCAGACGAATTTATGCGTCTATTTCGTGTATTATCTGTCGTGGCTTCTAGAGGCCGACGGTCTCATGCGTAACCATGGTATAGATACGGCAGATCTAATTACTTCACCTCTCATAGAACATAGCCTCAATGGTTTTAGCCAAGTTGCCTCTCCTCATCCAGGTAGTAGCGGTAAAGATAGTGGGGAGCTTTGCTATCGTCCTGCGAAAACGACAACGAAGGATCGATTTAGATGGAATCTTCCGTGAGTTGCTTGAGTCGGCGAGGCATAACGTGTCTCAGCTTGGTGATGTGTTATTCCACACCATCCCACCGGAGGCGATCTCCGCAAGACATCTACCGATAGGTAGGTACAGCCGGCATATGATCGACGTGGCCTGGGCTCAATGGGTTGGAGGACCAGCTTGGCGGATCCCGACCACGCGTCAAGCCGAAAGCGGTAGGGTGATCCGTGTGCAAGCCTCAAATTCTGCTCGCCTCGTCGCGTTCAAAATATTAAGCGTCGGACAGCCGCGGCAAGTCGGTGTGCCGATGTCCTGAGACTCAAACGTCGTTAATAAGCTCTGGCTAGTGCCGGGTCTGCCCTAAACCCAACCTTCCTTAGGCGTGCGATTGGGATAGCCCATGAGAGATGAGAAGGTTATCAACCCGTCAACAAAAGTTCTGGAGGCAAGCTAACGTAGATAATGGATCCCCATTCCCCAATGAACCTCAAATGCTGAATGTGATGTGAGCACGAATTCAGCGGTGTCTGTGATGCGCGATGGTGTCCGCCGCTCAGACAGTGTTCGCTGGCTGTACTGAAGGCATCTCTTGGCGATGAACTTCTTGGCAGTGCTTTTGGACGAGGAAGATCTTATCGCACATCCTCTAAGAAGACCGTCTTCAGACGATGATCTATGATCGACGCAGGGGTTCCCCAGCGGTCAAACCCTCAAGAAGTCACCGTCGGACTTTAACCTCATTCAAATTACTTGTTCTTTCCATCAATATGTTTTGTGGAATAACTCATCAGCTGACTTTAAGCCTCCTACGGTGCTAAAACAAAGATGAAAAAGAAGCTTAAGTATTCCGGCGCTAGTCAGGAGTTTCGAGCAAGTTACCGCATGTCAAGGGAGCTTAAACTTTCTTCTACTCCACCTGGGTAGCGCAGGAAAGCGGCAGTGCGGAAAAAACGCGGAGGCCGGCCCCGCCGCCCGCGCCTAACAAGGCGGGACGGGGACGAGCAAGCATCATCGACATGGGTTGCCGGAAGCTGGATAAACGTGGCCTCACTTCTTCTGCCTTTTGATCTCAGGGCTATAGTAAGCAGTCTAGTGCTACTCTCCTCAATCTGGGCTGGCAGAGACATGCGACGCAAGCCTAAAGTCGGACCTAAAGGTAGTAACGCGGCGAGCGAGGCGAACAAGGGAAGACACAGGTTCTGTCTTCAACTTCCATGATCGTAAAGATCGTATCAGTTGGATGCTCAGACCACCGGTGGACTTGAGAGGCAGAAGCAGTCGGTAACAGGGCTGGATCGGTTCTGGCTTCATGCATCCTTCGTCTTGCGCGCATTCTGACTCCCAACATTTCCCAAAACGGTCGCTGGGCAGGTCATGTATGAATCCAATGAGAGACGCGCTGTGAGTCAGACGTAGTCGCTGAATGAGCGTGAAGTACGACATGTTCGATCTAGGACTTGGAACTTGGAAGATACATGTGCCATCTCTCTACATGGATCGCTCTTTCCATGCCCTTTCCTCTTTCGTCTTCGCGTCTAACTCGACGGTTTTCGCGCTAAAACGTAACTTGTAGATGAGTTCGATCTATCTTGGCATCTAATGTGGAATGTGACCCGAAAATTCAAAAAGAGCAAAAGGTCTTGGCATCTAGGTTCAGCCCAAAACACTTGTGCGGCTAAACTTTCTTCGTTTCGACTCCACCCAAAAGCTTGTCACTTGTCAAAATCATTTGACTTCAGATGATTCGCGGGCGTAATAGCCCTTATGTGCGACACCAGAAAACCTTCCTTCACCACAGGGCGAAACGATCACGAAAGCATCACGACTTAGGGCAGAAGAACGCTGCTAGAGTGTGGTGGCTAGATCCGTCCACATCCCTCGAACGAAGTGTATGTTCTATACAGTTGGGATGATGACTCGGAAGAAAGACTTTGTTGACCATTAGGCTGGAAACTAAGCGTATATATAAACCACCCCAAGATGCCCTCACCAACGCTTTTGAAATTCACCATCTTATTCTCGGCTCATTCCACCCAGTTAAAGTCTTGACGGCTCTCACCTTTAATATCTTATTCAGATCAATTACTAATACTACTCAACTGCCAAAATGCGCGTTCCTCAGCTCATTCTCTCCCTCTTCCTCCTCTTTACTTTCGTCGTTGCTCTGCCGGTGCCGGCACCAGCAGACGCCCTTGCCGAGCGGGCGCAAAGCGCATCTAAGAAGAGCAGCGCGGCGGGGAGAAAGAAAGAAGCCAATGGCATCGACAAGAACATTAATATCCAGAAGCAGGAGCAAAAGGACGTCAAGAAGGTCCAAAAGGCCGAAGGCACAAAGGACTTCAAGAAGCAGTCGGGTCAGCTCAACAAGGACATTGCCAAAGGACAGAAGCAGCGCGAGAAGAACCAAAAGAACGCGGACCCCAACAACAAGAAGCTGAATGACGGCCTCAAGAAAGTATGGCACCTCCGGCTTCTCATTTGTTTTTGAGGCTCTCTGGATCTAACCGTTCGTTTCTAGGTCCAAGGAGCTCAGGCCAAGGAGTCAAAGCAAGCCAAGAGTCTGAAGGGCAATAATTCTAAGCAAGACAAGGCTACTCTTAATAAGCTCTCTGGCGAATTCAAGGGTGGAGAGCAGCAGAACAAGAAGAATAAGCAGGCCGTGAGTATATCTGGTAAAATACTAAGGAAGGTTAATTGCTGACTAGAGGGTACAGGCGCTGAGTGGTGGTGGTGGTGGCAAGAAGAAGGGCGGAAGATCCTTGGAGGCTGAGGGGACTGAGGAGATGGAGTAGAGAAAGACTTCTCTGGTCAAGACAGATGTCGCTTATTGACTGTTCTCGATGGGCAGACAATCCACAACGGAATGAGAATGGGCAAGTATCGAGATCACAGGATGGACGTGCAGAGAGTTTGGAGACTGATGCAATGAGAATGGAATCTGCCATCCGTAAAGTACCTAATTTCACACCTGAAGTCCTGAATACAATGCACTTGTGCAAGGTCCACCGATTATTTCCGCAGCGCTTCATTAGGGGGACTAATCCTACGTGATGATGAGATATCTTGATAACGGACCAAAACAAACATCCACAAGTAACACGTCCAATCCAACGCCTGGGACTGTGCAGACTACTGATGAAAATCACTAATATCAACTTGAGAGCTCGCTACCAGAGAACGGGACGGTCAGTTTTGAGGTATAATCAACGAAAGAACTTCCCGGACGGCAGCGAGTGGATGTTTTGGTAATGATTCTGTCGACGACACAATGTGAGCGAATCATAAAAGGTAAAGAGTATCTAGACAAGGCCGAACAGCTAGACGTAAGTAAGTCACTGTATGGGTATTAGTAGCCTGTAGGCTACCTTATAAGTAGTCCGTCATTAAAGTCGGGGACCTTGAAGAGTAGAAGACTACAAAGGTTACTGATTGTATGTGAAAACCTGTGTGACTCAAACATAAGCCAAGTTTGTATGGGTGGACCGCATAACATAGTTTTCTGAAGACATGTTCTAGATGGCAGAGATGATCTATGATTTTCTTCGAGAAACATCTCCTCCGGCTGCTTTGACCGACTTTTTGCCTTCAATCAATACTGAACTTCACGACAGAACTTACTTCCACGCAAGGCCTTTCGCATATGAGAAAGTATCTTCACAAAAGAAACAATGGGGGGGTTACCAAACTACCGGCGGAGCTCATTCAGCATATCTTTGATCAGCTTTCGACTCTTTCGTCTGATCCATCGTATTCGCACCTGGACTACCCAGATGACGGTTTCAAGGAAGAATTGTCGGATTTAGGAGCACTTAGTAGGACATGCCGAGAATTCAAACAGCTTGTCGGACGAAATTTATTCAACTACGTCGAGCTGACAGAACCCAGACACAACTACCGCATGTCTCTTATCAGAGGTTGGGCCTCACGTCCAGATTGCACACAGCATGTGCGACGCGTCTGTATACCCATCTATTCCCTAGAACAGTTTCCTCATTACGGCGATATGAGATTGTCAGAAGGGAATATCTCGCTCATCAACGACACATTCGGGAAGATGGGGCTCAAGATTTATCCCCCCAGATAGGAAGATAGCAGCCATATCAACATAATTTCCATGACGGTTCCTCTCATTGGCAAATTTCTCCGAAAACTCGAGATCCAGTACATCTGGAATGAGTACCATGACAGCCATGATGTTTCGGGCAAGTTTTTTGGAACAGAGGACGACATCTTTCCGAACTTGGATACGCTGTACATTAAACGTACATATCACAGGGGTCAGTTTCCGATGGAGTTTGTGGCATCCATTTCGAAGATTGCTCCCAAGCTAAGGTCTCTCAAAATACACAACTTCAACACCGCATGGTTCGACGGATCGCACACTTGGGAAAAGCTCACCAGCCTCTCCATCCGGCAAACTTTGCTCATGCAACCTGGCCTCACTGAAATGATTTCGAAGCCAAAGCACTTGTTTCATTTAGATCATGATCCATCTGACACGAGTGTCGACTATATGGTGGGCATGATCAATGCGCTGGCCCGAACACAAAGAAACGCTTAAATCTCTGAGCGTCATACTCCCTCGTCGATTACCTGGAGAAGCCGCGAGTCTGCAATTTCACAAGCTGTGTAACCTAGACAACTTCATGACGAGGTTGCAGGATGTCGGCACGCAGGCAGAAAATACTTTACGACAGCTCCTGAAATCTTTACAAAAGTTGCGTATTATAGCCAGAGGGTGGCGCTACCACTTGGACGATTTTGAACATTATTGTTCGGAGGAACATCTTCGAAGACTCAAGAAGACAGGCAAATATCGTGACTTGCAAGTATTTGTGAGTGATAAGTGGGAGGAAAGGGACGGAGAGGAGCAAGTCGACTTCGATGGACGAGATGAAGATTCCATCGAAAAAGGGTACTTAGCCGAGGCAATCGACTGGCTGTACTTGATGGCTTGGTACCTCGAGTCCAAAAAACATCAACGTCAAATGTAGCGGAAGATTCCGTTTCGGGTTCGACTATCGAAGAGGCGATTGTTTGTCTTTAAACCCACTCAACAGACGCTTATCGTACAAGTTCAGCGCGATCAACTTCTTTGAGTTCTCGATATAGCATTTTAGCCCAGTACTCATTTGCCAAAGTTTCGCAATAAAAACCAAGTATTCACATACAAGTGCGTAGCTTGAAAAGTAACCACATAGGCGGGAATGATACCGCTAGCTCATGTATTCCACCTGTACTCGCGCTTTGCATGATAGTGATTTCATTGACTGAGACCTAGAAGCCCTATTATTTCTTCCATTCCATCATCTCTTCGAATTTCTCGACGAGATCCTGTTCAAAAGGTCAGTCCAATATTCACAGAAAACAACACCTCTTCCCTTTCCTGGATGTACTTACGTTGAAGTTGCATGTGCTCATTGTCTCAAACACAGCTTTATTATTGTGCAGGCTCATGCTACTGACTCGGGGTGTCCTGATCCCGAAAGCCACGCAAGCCATGAATCGGGCATCGTATTTGGCTGTGCTGTTGGCCAGAGCCTGTCTAGTCTGAAGGGCTGTGGTCTTCGGTTTACCACCTTTGGCCTTGCTCGCCTCCTGTTGACAGGCTTCTTTGCAGACAGCCAGTACCTTTCTAATAGCCTTTTCATCCAAAGGTTTGGGGGCGAACTCTGGTAGCTTGACTTGTTGATGTGTTTCGCACCAGGTACAGTGGCCACATTCCTTAACGGATGAGTGAGTTGTATCCGCAAAGTAAGCTGCCAGTCCACGGGTAAGGCAGCTGCTGTCTGTCAGCAGGTTGACCAGATCCTGAACGCGCTGCAAATCCTGCTTCTCCTTCTTCACAATCTCCTTGTTAATATTGTCAATGATCTCGTCGATGTCGGCTTGCTTGCTTGGAAGTTTCTTGCTGACGCGGAAGACCTTCTGAACACCGCTCTTGTTGAGCTTGATGGCACCAGACTCGGCCCACGAGTCTAACTTGCGCGTAAGATCAGCGCGGCTAACTCCGCAGTTTCCAGCAGGAACGTCAACATCAATGTTGGTCCAGGTTTGCGCTTTTCTGGAGTGGGAAAGGATGTACTTCGATGCTGGTGAGCCGTCGGTCTCTAAAGTACGATTCTGTAGCACCTGATACTTGTATTCGGAGTACTGAGGAGTACTAGCCCGAAGAAGACCGAATTTTAGTTCTAGGTAGGCGTAGATGATGGAAAGTTGAGTCTCCTATGGACCATGAATTATCAGGAATGTCGGCACAAGGGAGGGGAAATGGACCCGACAAACCCTAATATCTACCCGTCGTGATTGAGATGTAAGAGCCACGGAGAACGGTTCACCGGGTTTCAGCTGACAGTTTTCCTTACTGCAGATCTCTTCGAATAGTGTTCGTAGAGCCAGCATAGACGGTCGTTCGCCGTGGATAAAAACATTTCTGACGAAGAAGTCCTTATCAGAAAGATAGAGCATGCACGTACTTGGTTTGCCGTCTCGCCCGGCTCTTCCAATCTGCTGGCTGTATGCTTCGAGGCTGCCTGGGAGATCGAAATGGATAATGGTCCGCACATTCTCCTTGTCGATACCCATGCCGAAGGCAATCGTGCCTACAATCTGATTGCATTTCATCATGTCAGAAACTCATTCCGTGAAAGGGCGTCTGGCTCACTCACGATCATGTTTTCACTCTTGAGAAACGTGTCTTGTATTCCACCGCGTACATCCGCGTTTAATCCTCCATGATATGCGCGAGCGTTGAAGTTCTTTTTAGATAGTTCACCGGCTAGGGTTTCTGCAGCCTTTTCGTACATGGATTAGCAACATTGAAAGTTCCATTGGAAGGTGGATGGAAAGTGAATAGAACCCTACCGCATGGGTCGTGACATATATGATGGATGGCCCGGGGTGTTTCTTCAGGAATTTAGTGCATATCGCGACTTGGTCGTCGTCTGCAGTGATAGGCTCGACCAAAAGGCGAAGACTAGGAAACATTAGCATGGCCTTGATAGAAAAAGGGACTGTTGTTGTCTTGACTGACTTTGATCGGTACATGCTCGTCACGAAAAGACCCTCGGGCGGAATGTCGAAAGTAGCTCGGATGTCTTTAGCAACGGCTGCTGTGGCGGTCGCCGTAAGGCAGATGACTCTGTCCACGTTGGCTTCTTTTGCGAAACGAGCGACTACAAACTCTTTTTTAGTAGAAGCAGAAAGAGGAACCGTATTGGGAACCGACTTTTGAGGTAGTCTGGGCGGAAAGAGTGGCCCCACTGCAGTTATGTCAGACGAAGGGATTCGCATAAGTATTGGACGCATAGCGATAGTAGACACACCTCTGAAATGCAATGCGCTTCATCAATCGCTAACAAGCGAATGCCACCACGGATAGACTTGAGGGATGCAAGAAAGCCTTCATTGTTGAGCCGCTCTGGTGCGCAGTACAGAAGATCGAGTTTGCCACAAGCTAACTTGCTATGTATGTCGACGAACTCTTCGCGACTTTGCGTCGAATCTAGAACGGCTGCAGAGATGCCTCGGCGGCGCAGAGCATCGACTTGGTCCTTCATCAATGCTATGAGGGGAGAAATGACGACCGCGACACCACTTTCTTCTGGGCTGCGGGATTTGGTTTCCTTGTCGAGCTCCTTTATAGCCACGGCAGGGACCTTTTCGTGTTAGTTATATGTTGCTGTCATGGGCAGAGCTTCTCGTACCTGGTAACACAGGCTCTTGCCTCCGCCAGTGGGAAACACTACAACAGCGCTGTCGCCACTGATGATGCGATTGATAGCTGCTTCCTGCTCCAGACGAAAGCTTTCCAGGCCGAATCGTTCTCGCAAGACTCTGCGGGCCAGTTCCGAGTGACCAGAGGAAGTTTTCTGTCGTTTCTGTCCTGAATCTTTACTTTGGTCAGTATCCTCATTGATTCGCTTAGCTCCAGAGGGAGCAGCGTCCACCACGGCGAGGAGATCGGCTTCATCGGCCGAGTCGAAGCCAAAGTCGTCATCCATCTTCGGTAACAATGGAGGCTCGAGTAGAATCAACACCAAGTCTTCTCCGTAAAATTGGAATGGACGGCGCAATTCCTTCGCGGGCGGTGGTTGAGGTTGAGATCGATGACGTCCCAATTGGGAAGTACCTGGGTCGTGCTAGGCAATTACGATTGATACGCGCCGACGCGTTCTGGGCAGGAGCTCGCATCGCGTGGGTCATGTGACTTATGGGTTGAGGCCCACCACCTCGGCAACTTCGTTTTGCGACTCACTCAACGTGTCTCGCTGTGTTCCCCGAAATTGATTAAAAATCCAGGCAAAGCTCGACAGTTCAAACAATTATGAGTCCTTGTTATCAGCTATCCTAAAGCCCGAGAAACCATGCTGAAAATATTCGGTCCGAGTGGCCTCTGGCGTCTCTACCCTTGCCGAGCGTAGGGTTCGGTGCGGACCACTCTCACCCACGACTCATTGTGAACACCGCGAAGAAGTTGGATGTTTGAACCCAGAAGTGTGTTGCACGAGATTAGCTCCTACTGTGAAGGCGAGCATTTATATTCGCATTATGTCACTTTTCGGCCGATGTTCCATGGTGCACAAGGGATGGAGGCGTGGTGGACCTTTCGGCTCGGGAACTCGCGGTACGATGATGCTGAAGAGCCAAGCCGAACCGAGATCGCCAGCCGCAGCGGACTGGAATGTCAGTGTGCGGGCAGCGACCCAAACACGAGACTTTGGCCAAAACATTAACTGCGTCTTGTATTCGTTATGAATCAAAGTCCTACGATGTAGGCCCGCGCTAAAGAGTTAATAGTTATGGTTAGGTGGACCACTGACTGTATGACTGGCGTCTGTGAAATTCCTAGGCACTCTGTCTGGGCACTTGGCTTCGAGATAATAGAATTCCACAGAGGCAGTCTCTCAATTATCCATTGTCTTGAATTGCGTTTTCTACTGAATTTGGCTGCGTCGTTCTGGCCCCACTGACCCCTCGTTAAGATAGCTGAGCTACACACGAAGCCATGGGTTATCTCAAGCACCGACACGGTTCTAGGTTCTGCTTTCTCTTTCCGACATGTAAGCACGCCATCTCGGATTAAGGAGGTATACAGGAACACCGAGTAGAAAAATGAAGCCAAAAATACCGGCCAACACACCAAAAGCGGTCTGATAGCCCCATTTCTCAACCATGGGAGTCAATCCATACGTCACACCGAAAGAGACCACATTCTTCGTTCCCACCACCACGACCAGTGCCGGCCCGGGGTGTTTAGGTGCGGCTTCAGATGCAAAGCTGGTGGAAATGATAAGAACGGAGGTAAAGGAATACTGGAAGATGGTCCATCCAATGTAAGGACCCCACCATGTGTAGCCTCCTGATGCCGTGTAGCCATAGAATAATAGCATTCCGACACCGACGATAGCAGGCAAGACCAACACGACCAAGTGGTGTTCGGGGATGTGTACGCCTCGATTCCGGCGCGCGAGGTATATGACCAAGGGATTGCCGACGAATGTGCAGAACAACATTCCGAGAACGGCGCCAATGACGCCGCCAACATTGATCAGCCCAACATCCTCCGACTTCCAGTGATAGTTCGTCACCAGAACAGTGTTGTAGGTTAGTGACATGCCAACACCGCAGCCAAGAGCAATTGAAGATGTCAGCACTGCATAAATTATCCCCGGGGACGAGAATGATTCCGCCATGTGCTTCCAACTCAAGACCATAACCCGCATCGGCTGGGGATGTGGTGTTGACCAAGGTTTGATGCGCTGCAAAAACGACTTTTTCTCGAAGGAATCAGTCGCTTGATTGGCTCCCGGAACCGTGAGGCCAGACCGGTCCATCTCCTCAAGGTACGCCTGGGCTTCGGAGTCGGGAATGACACGAGTGACACCAAATTCGTCCGTGATTACGACTTGTCCATCCAGCGACTCGGGCTGGCGAGTGAATTGTGTCTCGAAAGCGAAAAAGAACGCAATGACCAGTCCGACGGCAACAGTGATTACGAAGACCCAGTAATACCAACGCCATCCCAGGTCATGGTTCAAGTATGACGAGGTTAAGTTGATAGTTGAGGATATCGCGTTTTGTGCCATCCAGTAAAGGCCAAAGATCTTAGAGCGCTCATGGAGAAAGGTTACTTCAGTGAGCATCAGCGGGAGAAGCGACTCCGAGGCACCCGTGGCCAAGCCTTGAACCACCCGGGCAGCAAGATGTCCATTATAGCTATTTTGCAAAGCGGCAGCGATAGTTGCTATCAGCAGGATAACCATGAATCCTAAGAATACCGGGCGTCGACCATATGCCAGGGCGAGAGGAAGAATGATGTAGTTGCCTAGTCGAATGCCGTTGTTAGGTTCCCAACTACTCAAAGGATGCTCAGCAGCAGATATGGCCGCAGATATGAGCTTACCGAGACCAATGCACAAGGTTGGGATGGTAATTAAGAGAACAATATCTTCGGAAGAATATCCCTGAGGGCCATACATCGCGAAGAATTCATGCAAAATTGCACCAAGGCCACTTGCAATCGACAAGCCCATGCTAGAGAACCAGCAGCAGCAAAAGACAATGCCGTACTTCTCCCAAGGTCTGAAGCGGAGGGGATCATTCGGATCTGAGGATGGAACCGGGATCTTACGAACCTCTCCATCTCGGTTGATGAGAAGTGCGTTGCCCTCAACGTGACCGTCGTGATTGTGCTGCAAGCCCGGCTTGCCGAGGGTTTCGAAATGCTCAATCTGACTGTCGTGTTTCGAGTCGCCACTGCTTCCCGGGTGACGAGGTGAAGACATCTTGAAGGCTTATCGAGTATGGGGGCTTGAGGTTTGTTATGGTGGCCTATGGTGTTGGTGAAGAAGATGAAGAAACCTACGGGTTACGACTGCGAGCAACAGTCGCAACTGCAGGGGTATTTGATGCACCCAATATTGTCTTGATGGTGATTGGGGATGAGAGACATGGATGCTGTGAAAGCGGACGCGATTGAGAGCCTTGATATTTCAATATCGTGAGCATTGTTGAAGATGTTAGCCGGAATTGAAATCCGGGGTAGACATGGGCCACCCCGTTCCCCGGAGTGGGGGTATGGATGAGAGGTAATACTCCGTACGGATAGTCTCAAGTCCCCCGCAATCTCTTCGGTTCGGCTGGGGGATAACTTACCATTCGGCTCGGGATCTCAAGCTTTTGGAAGCAACATGGCGCAATGGACTAGTACACAATCGTAGGGGCTCACGTTGACTTGAGTCTATTCTTTATTCATAAACCCACACGTTGCTTGACAGTCTCGGGACACGGACTCTCAATTTCAGTCTCAACCTCTGCCGCCGCAATCATCAAGGAACATACACCCGGTGGCGGGGCCGGGGCTATTAGAAGCTAGCAACAAGGGACACAAGACTAGGACTCACGTGTGGAAGCTCTGCCAAGGGTAGATTGGACTCATTCTATTCCTCTCTCTATAGCTGACTCAGAAAGTCCAGATGTTTTCGCTTCGGTGGCTCAGCTATGACAACCTACCCTAGGACTCGTTATTAGGGACATGCCATTGGTCCCCCACTCTGAATCCGGTAGGAAAAGGGTCTTCAGCATCCAAAATGACCTGCTTGTAGCTAGTAATCCATGCTCTTCCCTTGATAGTCGGTACGATAGCATCGATATCTCCGACTTTTACAGTCCGGGAGATGCAGCACTCGAACGCTGTGTCAATGACACTAGTGTGCTTGAAGTATTCGCCAACTGCGAGCTGGCCCTTGGCATGCAGCAGAGCCATGCGCGCACTGGTACCGGTACCACACGGGCTACGATCAAGACGCCCGGGAGACACCACAACAGTATTCTTGGCAATTTTCCCAACGGCGTCTTGGTGAAGCGGCTCCGTAAATTCGAGGACCGAGATGCCCTTGATTTCTGAGTTCTCCGGGTGATGAGGTGTGTAGGCAGCTTTCAAAGCTGATTTGATCCTTTCGCCAAGCTCCACGAGCTTCGCGCCCTTGCTCGGTTCGATGGCCATCCCGACCGACGCCGCGTCCACAATAGCGTACCACATTCCGCCCCAGACAATGTCGGCGGAGACGGTACCGACCCCCGGGACGTCAACCTGCAGATCGAACCGGTCGACGAATGCGGGCACATTCTCAAACGCCACGGATTTGCATTTACCACCTTGGCACTCCGCAGTGATGCTGACGAGGCCAGCCGCCGTATCGAGAGAGAATTTGGTGATTGGTTCTTGCATGGGGATCATTCCTGTCTGCAAGAGTACCGTAGCCGTACAGATGGTGTTGGATCCGGACATCGGCGCGTACTCTTCGCTTTCCATAATCAGGAATCCTGCAGCGGCTTCGGGATTGCAAGGCGGGAGGATCAAGTTCGTGTTCTTTGGCGATCTGCCTCTTGGCTCATTCAATAGTAGCTGACGCAGGTCGTCCTTATGCGTCAGAAAGTGCTGTAATTTGTGCCACATGCTTGGCGCGGGCACATCTAGAACGCCGCCGGTGATTACATCGCCGACTTCACCCTCCGCGTGGCAGCCTACTACGTTTATGATACGGCCCGCGCTCATCTTCAGTATTCGATCAAGGCTGAAGAGTCAGTTCTCGCAACGGGGAGTTAGGCAGGTGATGTAGTCAAGGGGTTGATATGAATTTGTCGCTTGAGCTGTTGGAAGATGAAGGGATGGCCGATTGGGACGAGCAATGAAGAATTCTTGACCATCTCAATCTCAAAGAAACACATGCACTCGAAGTCATTTAATAGGGACCGAAACGGAGCCTATGTCGAATTTGATGCTCCCCGCATCCTAACGATGCCCCGCAGAGCACGGCGGAGACTTGCCGAGTTTGTTTGCTCTGGACATGCTGCATGATAAGCAGATGGACCCAAAGTCCCAACTAATTTCTCATTGTTCAAAGAAAGCACCCTGATTACTGGTAGTGATTTAATTAGCTCTGAAACCGAAACTGAGGTGATATCTTTTGTGGACAAACTTCCAGCTCTCGTGAAATAACGTAGTAAAGGTTGCCAGCCCAAGCAACCGGAGAATCGAAGAGCTATTCACATGACTTCCATAGACATATTCGGACGGTATTGTCGAAAACAAAGATTGAGGCGCGATCTAATAACCTCGGTCACGTCAGACTAGAAGTCGGTACAATGATCTTGTTGCGCATGCTACGTACTAGTAGCCCGGAGTAGCAACATCTCGGAGTCGTGAGGCGATATCTGATTGCCGCCATTTGCGGCCCGCTCTCGTTGAGTGCCAAGAGAACTATTCGCTGACAACCGCATAAGTAGGTATGATCGGCCCACAACCCCAAGGTAAGCATTTAGCATGTCCGTGGCTACGCATAAAGAGTGGTCTACGAGCTAAGACAATCAGCTACGATTGAATTTCTCATCTTCCATTGATGCCAGACATTGTATGGTTGTCAGAATCCCGGGACGGCCGACTACGCGCAGTCTCCAGAGCGTGCGGTAGGCCATCATGTTGATCTTGCCTTCGCATTGAGAGTTACAGACCTCGCTTTCGATGCATTTCTGTCACGAGATATAGGTGAGGTTAATGCTGCCCATAAGGAGTGGTCTACTTTTTGTGACAATTTCTAATACTTGTAGTATCCAAGGCTTATTCTACCTCTATGTAGCGAATCGTTTTCGTATCATGCCTTACTCAGAGCTCACTAGTAAATCCTTTCGAGGTGTCGAAAAGTTCAACCGAGGTCTATCGATAGCAGCCAAAGGGATCGGCCAACAGCTTGGATTGAGAGTGTGAGTGTGGAAGCACAGCTGAGTACAGGGGTTCAAGCTTCCCTCTACTGCCACCGTGAGGGCCGACGCAGCAGGTCTGCGGACTGCTTCTGCCTAAAGGAACTGTCAGGGGGCCGACTCTAGGGCAACGAAAGACAATGATATCATCCTTGGCCTATTGAGAGACACGTGTAGGCAGGCGCCCGCGATGGTCAATGATTTGTTGGTTCGCGATACCATAAGCCCCCACATATCCATCACCCCTCCCACATTGGCTGAGACGCTGAGTCCTCTAGGGCTGAGAGAATGTTGATCGGCGGTTGTACTTGTTGCCCCCAAGGCAAAGCACAGCATGGCAGTCTTGACCGGAATAGGAAAATACTCTGGCCAAGACCAACTGATAAGCGGATCGTCTTATTTGGTGTTGTACATTGGGGCTCAAGCAAGGCAGCCCGCGCACCCGGAGCATAGGATACTTAAGAAATCCAAGCCTATGCGAATCTGGCCTGAGTTGAACCCCTCCAAATTCAACCCTCGACTGTCTCGTCCCGTCGACTTCTTCTTACTCAATTTGGTAACGCTGGTGCATATTAACCTGTCACTCGGGTAGGGCTGAACTGCACCTTTTCGGACCTGATCCACGCCTCGAAATACAAATGTCGTCAACCACTTTTACAATAATGTTGCCATCACCTCAGCCATCGTCATCGCCAGAGAGCCCAGAGAAGCGACGTTGCTGGGAGTGTCAACGTCGTCGGCTTGTTTGCGACTCTGTAAAGCCAGTCTGTAACAAATGTCGTGCTTCCGGCATCGTTTGCCCTGGCTACGATGACAGAAAGCCACTGACTTGGCTCGCACCTGGCAAAGTCACCTGTCGTACTCGACGCAAAGGGCGTGGGGTAGACAAAGGCACTGGCACGACGAAGATCATAAAGAGAACGCCAAGGCCAAAACGCCCAGAGGAGCCCCTGGATAGCGAAGCGTTGGCTAAAGCTGCAAGCAGGATCAAAATTGGCGGCGAGCTTGTCTTCCATTCCACTCTGAGGACTGACATTTGCGACGTCTTCGAGGCTGTCCAGTACTGTAAGTTGCACAGCACTTGATAAAAGATCTCGCCATCACCGAAACCTTTCAAACTGCTCTAACGGTCAAACTATTTAGATAACGACGTGTTCTATCCGTACACTAAGTCGGGGCACTCACGAAAGAGCAACGTATTTATCGCTGAAATTCCTCTCAAGGTCGTCAAATATCTGCCAGTCTCAATTGCGCACAACTTGGTTGGAATTGCGTACCATCATCGTATGCTTGTGCAAAAAGAATGGAAGAATGATTGTCCTTCTATATTACATGCACAACACCGAATGCACCACCACCGAGGTCTGTCGATCCGAGCCATCAACGAAGATATCGCCAATCCAAAGACCCAAAGTAGCGATGTTGTACTCACAGGGGTCATCCTTCTTCTTCAGTCCGAGGTGAGTCTAAATGATGCGTATAGCTTCTTCCATGTAGCTACAATGAGCGCTGATCCATGACGAATAGATCAACGCATGTATTACGCCGCACTGGAGGCACCATGTAGATGGTCTCCTGGCTATGCTCGAATATCGTGGAGGTGCTAGAAAATGGGCCACATCGGCGACATATCTCCAAGCCATGGTCCTGTCTTTTATGATGTAAGACCAACGTCGTTGGGTAAATCTGGGCCATGATACTAACCCCAACGATAACGTAGTGTGATGACCTCGGCGAATACGACGAGCCCACCTCACGACCAAGTCACAATCTGTCCTCAAGAAGAGTTCATGGACTTAATCCAGGAGTTTTATCCACTCGGATTGCACCCACACATTCCTTGTCCAATGCCGCTGTTCTTAGAAATATCGCGGATTAATCACCTTCGAGCTGAGGTCTCCAAGGAACATGAAGCGATGGACAAGTCAACAGCGAATGTAGTTGCAGAGGAAATTGTGGCAAGGATCGAAAGTTTTGATGGAACAGACTGTGACTCTTTCTACGAAAACAGGCATCACCGTGATCTGATCGCTTCGATATTTCACTCTGCAGTGGCCGTCTTCTGCATCTCATCGCTACAGAGTGTTGGAGCCTTGCCTAAGGTCCATCGCTTGACAATGCTGAGAACCATGCACGGGAATCGTCTATATTCTCTCATGGAAGAGACGAGAAATCATCCACAAGTGAGAAAGTCAGTACAATGGCCATTGGTTGTTGCTGGTATCGAAGCTTCAGTTCGAGTAGACAAACGTCGGCTTGTAGGAGAGCTTTACTTGGAGCAAGCCAAGGACATTGCCACGCCATTACCAATGCACGCCAAGAATGTTCTTCGCACCTTCTGGGATGGAGGGGCTACAGACTGGGATGAATGTTTCGATCAGCCTTACGCATTTGTTTCATAGCTTCGGGTAAGCTCAGGGAGACAAATCGTTGAGAAAGAGACACGACATCGTTAGACCCACTTGACTGCGAGGTGGTGTAGTAGCCGTTGCTGTGTGTTGAGTAGAACGACGATACCATGACAGCAATAAATATTTGTATTTTAGGTTGATATAATGAGTGGTACGTTGTATGGTTTGCTGATAAAGAAGGTGATGACGCCTAGCACAACGAGGATGCTTCATCCACGTCCTCCTCTCCAAACGCATTCTAAGTAATGTTCGTAGATGCGACTTTGCTCCTAAATTCGAGAAGTTATTTTCCCATGGTTATCGTTCCCTTTCGCAGTTTTACTTTTCGAGACTTGAAATTCAAGAACAGAGAGAGGTTTTTCAGATTTTGATCACTCAACAAGTTGACGCCCTCACGTTGACCTTAAGGTTGTCCATGGCCGTCAAGTACGTGATGGTTGTTCCTGTGATAGTGCTGGTGGTTTCGAAGCTGACGCTCTTGAGATTCTTCTCGTTCACAAGGGTGCACTTTGCCAAGTTTCCTCCAATAGCCATGGGGTCATATGGGCAATCTTCAGTGATGGTGTTACCGTTCACGTCTACTCCCTTAATGGTGAGCTTGCAAGGCCTCTTCTCATTCTCGAGACCAGTCCGAACACACTGGAAGTCGAATGTCTCGAGCTCAAAGCTCTTCACCTTTGACCCTTCATAGTCTTTGGTGATCAACGGGCTCTCCAGTGTCGAGGCCGTGGTGATGGTGCCGTACACCAAGAAGTCGTTCTCGCGGAGGTTGGGGCTGAGAGCCCCACCGACAGATTTGACTCCGAGACCCGAGTACTTCAGCTGTTTGTAAGGGGTAGGCGGGAACACGGGGTTTAAGATAGGAAAAGCACTCGAGCCAATGTCTTTGTACTGAAGCGCAGGTCAGTCACGTAGTTCTTCGCCGTAGGAGAGTCACTTACGGTGAGTACGTATGAGGTGACCTGCTCGCAATCGTTTCCAGTCGGAGATGCTATAATACCTCCCACGAGAAGAGCAGCAGAGACGACGTGAGAAAGAGGGGCCATGATGATTTAAGGGGTATATCGAAGAATGTGTTACTGGTAGTGAATTCCTGGCTGATGATGATGTAGTGAAAAATATGATAAGAGGGCACATATGGAAGCAGAGACAGTTATTTTATAGGTTTTCTATTCTATTGAATAGATCGTGTTTCTAGATCCAGATGTCTTCGCTCTCCTAGCCTTAGATGAGGGCATGGTCAGTGGAAAACAAACATGACAGGAACAAAGACAACATCAGACGTCGATCATCCGATCTGAAGTTTCACAATGTTCACTATAAATGCAGTCACATATTAGGTCTTAGATCAATTGGGTGTACAGACATTCGTTGTCGCCTCACAGACAAAGATTTTGGGCAACTGAATGCCTTGCCAGCGTTAGATCTTGTTCTATTGTCTGTTCAAATCCATGATTAATGTTGGTATAGGCTACGGCCCCGTCCAAGGTCTGCCCATGAAGTTGAGGAAGCCCTTAAAACGGCGATTTAACGCTCATGCACAAATACCTACAGGATGGGAGTATCCGTCGAATACGGGACTTCATGCTCTGTGCCGAAGAAGGGAGATCTCATGACGTGGCGAAAGTAGGCACAGTTTCCCGTGACACATGCGATCTGAGACGTTCGGCAAAGGCGGGAACTAGCTGTTGTGTCACGCCGTCTAATACAGCAAAGAGGCCGGCAAGGTCTAGAACATGGCTAGTCTCTTGATCGACGATCGGTCTCTAGAGTAGGTACGAGGGACCGCTAGCCAGCCTCCTCGGGTCATTCAATTAGCATACTAAGATTACCCACGGGATTCGACTCCTAAGTCTGTTTGACGATGAGATCAAGACATCACATAGACTGCTCCAGACCTTCTTCAGGTAAGATCTCGATTATAGACATATTCTGTAAACTCGCATTAGCATAAAGCCATGACGGAAGTAACGTAGTCCAGAGAGCATTGAGAATTTGTTACATCTGAAGTCAGACAAAGAATGAAGAGGCGAGTGAGACTTGGGTGATAGCTCTTGGGCTTATTCTTTTGAAAAAGGAGGTCATCTAGATACTAATAACAAGTACATGATGAAGAAGCAAATAGCTGAAAGAAATAATTCCGCCCAGGTTTCCATACAACGCCGACGCTCCATTTTCAACAACACCATTCCTCACCACGCAATATCATCCAGTGACATAGCCGAAATTTATACAACTCATACCGGAGTACACTGAGCGTAGTACGGGTTGGCCGTCTTGCAAGTAGCGCCCGGGACACAAGACGCCGGGCTCTCAGCCGGCCAGTTCATGCCGCCACACTGTCCATACAGAGACTGAGCTCCCGCCGGCACAGGACCCGGGGTACATTGCGCGTAGTACGGGTTGATAGTAGCGCAAGACGCGTAGTCTGGGCACCTGGTCGGACCGGCGTAGTTTGAGCCACCGCACTGACCGTACAGGTTCTGAGTCGGTCCTCCGGCGGGCGGTGCCGTCGTGGTCATGGTCAGGAAGGTCGTGGGTGACGGCGTCTGAGACGTTGTTCTTGTAATGCTGATTGGAGAGTTGTTGCTGGTGCCGGTGCCACTGCTTGAGCTCGAGGTGGAGGTGGAGGTCGAACTTGTACGAGTAAGTGTGATTGTTGTTGTCGCAGCAGTAGTGGAAGTGGTGATGAGAGTGACAGTATCCGAAGTCGAGTTGCCGAAGCTGATTGTACTTGATGATCTGCTAGGAACAACAGAACTCGAAGTTGGGACACTGGCGGAGGCCATGACAGTTGAGCTTGCGCGGATTGTTGTGCCATAAGGGGTAGCGCTGCCTGAGGCAGTGATCTGGATCCTCGACTGCGGAAGCATGGAAAATCCGCCGGGGATGATGGCACCACCGGGAATGACATAGTCGTTGAGGTTGTCCCGGTAGATGTTGTACAGGATGCCGGGGTCATTGGCTCCATAGAGAGCGGTTCCCGGTATGCCAGCTGGGTTGTCCGTCCCATAACCGGTGATCTCCAGGTTGACGCACTGGGGATAACTCTGCGCTCCATTCTGCTGACCAGCACTGTGGAGGGCAATGATATCGTGGCGAAGAACGTAGTGACCTGGGGCAACATTGGGCGGGATACGGACGGACCACGCATTGCCGTTATTGATCAGCACTGTTGCCGCCCACTGGTTTGTCTGTTGCGGGGGGTTAATGAGACCAGCGCCGTCAATCTTGAAGAACTTGAGTGCCGTCTTGTCGACAGCGTTGCAAGGTCCGTTACAGTTTGCCAGGAAGTCCATAACGGGGCCTTTGTGACTATCAGGCCACTCCGTCCATTGTAGCTGCACAGTATCGCCGGCAGCAACTGTGATTCGGCCCTTGCCCGATACTGCTTGTCTGTGGCAGATGATATCCGGGGCATTGTAAGCATCAGGTGCGACAAAGCCGTTGTCACGCTGGTCTATCGTCCAGCCGGCCACAAGTGGAGGGTTGTTGGTGTATGGGTCCTGGACGGGGATGTAGTTGCGATATGAGACGCCGTTCACGACGATGTTGGTGACGTGACCGTGAGCAGTAACCGAAGCGACAGATGCCAAGACGGCTAGAAGGCCGGTTGTCTTACGGTTGCCCATTGTATGAAAAGAATGTGAGTCGGGGCTAGAAAGCGTCCGAAGAGGAAGGGATGAGCAACGAATGAAAAGAACGAATGTGTGAAAACAAAAGTAGAACGACTGATGATCCCCTCTTTCAGGGGCGAAACTACTGGAAGCGTTGGTCTGAAAGCTTTATACTTGATAGTCCCGGTGAGTTTACTCGCGTGAGATCACCATGTGTGAGCTAGGGATAGCAGAGTCAAACATTCCAAGCACCGGTGTTACCTCACATGGTCTTATATTTCGCGAAAGGGAGGCTGGCCGTTGTCTCCCTGGCTAGCTGAAAGTTCAACGCGTGACAAGAGTTTGCCGCCGATTCTGGCTTCTCGTTGGTGCGTACAATGTCGTCGCCTTCTACTCCGAGCTATGAGGTACGGCAAACTCTTCGACATGTTGCCGGAAGCAGGGGCAGATAAAAGCCAATCCCACGCCACGTGGAGAAACTAAGTACTAACTAGGCACGTGTCTTTCAACCTTCCGAAAGTGACATGCTATTGGTATCTGAGAGATATATCAAAATTTAGCCGCCCGTCGCAAACGGCTGGGAGCTTCTGTCACCAACTACGGAAGCGAGCCGCGGCCGAAGCAGGTGGTCGACGATAAAATTTTCCTAGTAATGACATTGGAACTTTGCAGAAGCGAGTGTCAGAGGCGCGGGAGCTAGACGCAGAAAATTCTGCATCTAGGGATGCAAGGGAGAGTGTCTTCGGGAACCCTTTCGACAGAACCCGTATTCGCGACTGGAGTTGGCGAGCCATGAGAGGCAATCGACCACGACGACCTAGGTTCTGGTTAGTCAGATCTTAGGACAAGGTACTAAAAGTTGACGATGCCTACTGGCTTTCCAAATGTTTGGGTCAGGGTGTCTGTCTCTGAAAGAACTCGGTCGAGACACATAGGGCGTCTAAATTTGTTCCGTGAAAACACGAAACGATGCTTACCGACTAGCGTACTTCCCCGACAGTTTAGCCTGCTGTCAAGCAGGATAGCGTGAAGATATGTTACCAATTGTCTCAACGTCCGCCCATCGGCGGCGTGTGTGGCCCAATCGCGGTCCAGCGGACTGCTTCGGACTATCTACCTTACACGACCAACTTGGCAGGGCGGCATACCTGGACGAGATCCCTCACCGAGTCAGAGGGAGGCACGGGAGGCTGATGTTCTCCACGGAGACATTCTAGCTGCTGGAATCGAAGCCACACCTGAAGTCTGCCAGATCATGGTGGAGATGTTTCCAGGCTCCATTCCAGACGCAAGAGGGATCAGGAGTCGGAACCTCCGAATCATGCCTCAAACAGGAAGACATAAGAACGTGGCTGACTGCCAGCGTGTGAGGACCGCGTGAGGATGTGCATATGTGAAGGGCGACAGCAGTCTGGATAGCGCCCCTTGGAATGACAAAGATCCTGACCTGTCACTCTACGCCTACTTGTAGTCTCATTGATCTATGGGGCGCACCACTTGGCCAGTACCGATGTTGTGAATGATGCAGGGCTCAGAGAGAGTGTGTCTCCTCACTCGAGCCGGTACCGAGGGCCGGATTGAGATATCGCCTGAATCACTCATCGACTTTGTGATTGGTCCCATCCTAAACGGGAGAGCAAGCTGGCTGAAGAAGGACATGTAGACTTGGCAAAACATCTTGCGTGATTGTGTATGTAACCCGTCGTCTATTGTCCAAAGAAAAAAACATCCGATGCCACAGACTCGGTGATTGCGAAAAGTTCAGGTTCCTCCTCTTCATCTTAGGTTTAGATCGCTGCAAAACAAACGCTTTCGGATAGGACGGTCCAGCCATGCTTAGCGGATGCCTCGTCAACGTAAACGCCTCTTCGGGGTCGAAAGCCGGGCAAAACAGACGCCTAAGTATAGATGGCCTCCGAGAACGGACTCTTGCTTTCCTATCCAATGCTTTTGTATTAAGACGGGAGCTCGAAACTGGCGGTGGCCCGCGTCTGGGGTGCAGCGATGCCATGTGGATGGACCATGGCATGCTTGGCAAGTTGACACGCGGGAGCGTTATGGGCCGGAAGGCTAGTGGCATTGTCGCTATTGAAGCTGCCCTGTTGCTGACATGCAGTTGAAGTATGCCTTGTCGCCTTCTGAGTGGGGAATTTGGTGTGATACGATGTAGTCGAGGGCGTATTGCTGATATAGGTATGTCCGTTTTCCAAGGAAAGGCAGTGGCGGCAGGCTTTCCATGTTGCCATCTCCGTCTTGAATCTTGGGTTTTCGCCCAAGACTGGTGTCTCAGCCTTCGATGATGGCGATGTGGAAGAACATGAAGGGCATGAGAACGACCATGCAAGCATTGCGCATTGCAGAACGGATAACGCCCAACGCAACATGCTTGAGGATGATGCAGGTGAGAAATATAGCGTTTAAGGCAGAGCTCACGCGGAAGATTGAAGTGCGTGCCATGATCTTGGTTGAAGGTAGAAAGGGAGATATTGAGTAGCTTGAAGTACGTGAGGAAGCGATGAAGAATGAGTTGAGATGTGATGCATAAGGTGATTGCAACAAGACAGTTTACGAAAGGACAGGCCGCGCTGGTCCCCTTTTGAAGTTTTTGTGTCATCCATCGGACGTCGTCCTCTTTTGGCCGTCTCTCCATGCGAAAGACCAGACAGGCAGACCCCCTATGGCAACGAACCAACACGATAATCCAAGCACGATGACATGCTGCCATTGGACGAGAACCCACGATACCGGCCCTTGTCTGCCTAGAGTCCATGTCCCCTCGGATCCTGAGGGAAAAGGCTTGCAGTGTGCATGAATGGCGTGTAGACAGCTTCCGGAGAGCTGTGGCGCCCATCTTGAAGACGGGCACTCGAGCATCCGGTGGCTAATAGTAAAGGAGAGGCTTCGCGGATCCTGCCACGCTCATAGGGGCGGAAACATCCTGCCAGGCTGTCATTGACTCATTGGCGTTCCTGGAGGAGAGATAGATGCCCAAAATCCGCAGATGACCTGCCACGATGAGCCCCTTGGTACTACTGACAGCTGCATTCTCCATGCAGGCACCCTGCACGACTTGGTGGGTAAATGTATTGGCGCCCTCCTCGAGCCAGTTTCTGACGTCGTACGAAGAAAGTTCTAGTGGAATCCCACAGATACGGACGTATTTAAATCTGACGGAGGGGTAACACAACCTTGAGATTCGCACATAAATTGGGCTTAATGGGAGAGTGTGACGGAAAAGACTAAGTTTAACGCAGAATGTTTTATTAGGAGTAGTGGCTCGGTGGCCCCTGAGACTATGGAGTTTGGATTCCAGCAGGACGAAAAAAAGTACAGAGAGTACCGCGTTTCGATGGATGTTTTTCCTTTGCTTCGCTTTGGTGCAATCAAAATTTGAAAGGAGGATATCATACCGTATCTCATCATGGTCGTGGAGGAGAGAGTTGTTCAGAAATTCGAAAATTTGTCCCCATAACGCCAAGAATCCCGCAGCCCAAGTACACTTCTAGTACAGCAAAATTACAGTCGCTTGTTTTGTTGTTCGCACTCGCACTTTGCATTCGGCCGTTGGTTGAAGTTATTGCATATCGGCCATTGGACAGCTCGCTTGAAAATCCCTCTTCTAGAATTCACCCTCGGCACTGTTCCCGATGACCCCGGCGGTCCAAAGTCCGACCAGGCCCCACCAGGAGACCTTCCAGCCGCGCCATAGGCCGTCAAGTCCTTGGCCCTTGCGATAGACCGTTTCTGCAACCTTGGGCTTGCCGCCCCTGACTTTCTTCACCGGTGCGGGCGCGGTGGGGATCGCCCGGGTGCCTTCCTCATTCATAATGTAAAGCATGGTGCCGAGGACACCGTTATAACGCCCAGCCGGGACAATAGTCTCGAGCTTCTGGTCCTTTCCTGAAAGGGCCCGGACATGTGCGGGAGTGGAGAGGACGGCAACTTGGCCGCGCCGGAGAACGGTCTCAAGAGGAAGCTTCACGAACAGTGCTACCGAGGAAGCGCAGAACTTGGCGACTGAGAATGTGGTCGGAGAGACGCGGCTGTCGATAAGAAACCTGGTCCGTAGGACGAGTGGTGTCGACAGGGTGAGGATGGGGTGGATGAGCGAATGGAAGATTGTGGGGATTGCGAGCGAAGAGGGGCAGACGTAGGATGGGAGAGCTCGCAGAGTCGAAAGTGTTCTCCTTGACCCCTTTGAAATTGGTGTGACGAGTAGTCTATCCCAGGAGTTAGCACTGCATTGAAACCCGAGTAAACATGAGATAGCCAGTGACATACCTTGTGCGCACCAGGTCCAGAGGTGCGAGAATGAGGCCCGTTGCAACGGCCGCAGTAGCGGCAACGCACAGGGAGGCCCACGGATAGGGCGAGGCAATATCAATCAGCCGATCAATATCTTCCTTGACGCCGAGATCTGGTACGTTGAACAATGCACTCAGGGCACTTCTGGACCAATTTTCCAACAGCGAAGAAAGCACAGAGTATAGGAACGTTGCATTCGATCCCTTCCACACGCCCCAAGCTCCCTCCTTTTGCCACAGTTGACCAATAACTTCCATCAACGAGTCGGATCGACGGATTGTAATCTGGTGAGCCGGCACGGACTGCTGCTTCGCTGCCGGTGTCTGTGGAGGTGTGGAGGAGGAAGGAGACTGACGGCTCCGATGGTCCCTGGAATAGGACGTGGTCGGCGTGCTGGGGACGTTCGAGGTGAAGTAGGCAGGCTCGTCGAGATCCGAGTCCGAATCAGCTTCATCGTATGCCGTGTTTCCATAGCCGGAACGCCTTCTCTCGGAGACAGGAGTGGCCACAGGTGTCGGTACTGCCGCCAAAGTCACGTCATCATGGCTCCGGACCTGTAAGACCGTCTTTGCAACCTCGAAAGGCTGGGCCATCAGGACGGAGGTGTATTTCCATAGCAGCTCGTCGACGAGGTCCTTGACAGTCTGAACAACAGAAGGAGACGGCTCGCTGATGTAGTCTTTGTAGTCGATGTCGGAAAACATGTCGCGTGCCTTTGACGCGTACCGTTCGCTCGTAGCATTGGCTCCATGGCGGGCAAATGGATTCGGGGCAGATGAGGCTGATGTCGGGTCGGGAGGCTCTCCTATGGTCGGCGGCTTGTAGTATGGTCTGAGGGGATTCACCCCGTCTCGTTGAGTAGCCATAGTCTCGTTTGGCGTTTGTTTATGGCTCAACTCTCGTGATGCATGATTTCGGAAGCTTTCCACTTTTGCTACCAATTTTGCATGATGAAATGGAAATCACCTCGGAGATAAAGGCTAGCGGGGCCAGCACACACGACAGTGGACAGCTCAGTGGACGTGCCTTCCCTTATGCTTTTTGGTGCTTGGTAACAGCTGAAGGACTCCGCTGTTGAACCGGACCGCCAATGGGATCCGCCCCTTCCAGCTGGAGGACTCTGAGCAGTGAGCGGTGACGGCAGCATCCAGGTACGTACCTCCGCTCCAGCGGTCCAGGGATCTCCGGAGGCGGAATATTGCGAATCGCCGGCCGATAAGCCCGAGAGGTGTGGGCCTTATCGGAGCTCCTGCAGGCGTCCGGGCCTATAGAATTTTCCCTGAATCCAATGCATCTCCACAGTTCCTTTGCGCATTTATCGAAGCTTTCCAACAACTTTTTGTCATTGCTTGCGGGCACCCACCACCCACGAACCGAGCAAGCTAAACAACTCAACTGACTGCTGGACCGTGGTGTCGTTTGTGTACAATTGCCTCATAGCCCCTCGTTGTTGCTTCTTCTCCTTCCACCGTGCCCTTGAACTTCCGGCGCGCCTCCCATCGACTCCCCTTACACCGAGAAGAAATCGAGAATCCCGGCTGTGAAGCCGAGAACGGACTCATACCAAACAACCATGTCTTCAACCAGACTCAGCACAAGCCTCTGCAGGATGGCTGCCAGCGCATGCCGACAGGCCCGCCCGGTGCAACGGCAGACCCGAAGCATCCACAGCCAGATTGTATCCAAGAGGCCGACACAGCTCGCCTCCAGACAGCTTCAGTCGCCTACGGCGCGTTCTTTCTCGGCTTCGGCTGTCCAAGCGCATGGCCACATCACCCCTCCGAAGGCGGGCGAAGAGTGAGACCGTCCACCACAGTCTACCGAGGCTTATGCTGATGAAATACCACAGGCTGTGGGTGACATTCGTCGATAAGGACGGAGACGAGTTCAAGATCGCTGTAAGCGAAGGGGATAACCTTCTTGACGTTGCGCAAGATAACGACTTGGAGATGGAGGGTATGTAGCAGCACTCTTGGCGGTAACCACGGGATCAATCACATGCTAACCACACATCCACAGGTGCTTGCGGAGGCTCTTGTGCCTGCTCAACATGCCACGTCATCGTCGCCGAAGAGGAATACTACGAGAAAATGCCCGAGCCCGAAGATGACGAGAACGACATGCTTGACCTGGCATTTGGATTGACTGAGACAAGTCGATTGGGCTGCCAGATAACGATGACAAAGGAGCTAGACGGCCTCAAGATCAAGCTGCCCTCGATGACACGGAACCTCCAGGCCAGCGACTTCAAATAGCAAGCGCACTCTTTCAGCATTACGGCGTTGGAAGCGACATACCACACAATTATTTAATCAGTTGTACTATATCATACATACATCGTGTCAAAAACAGAAGGGAAAAGGTCTACCGGGGAGGAAAATAGGGGAGGTGTTCTTCAATCAAGCGCGGCATCACGGATGGGATACATCGGCTCGGCTCGGCTTATGCTAGATATTGGCGGGTATCAAAGGATGGTGGGAGGGAATAACATCACTCCTCTTAAGATTATAAACCTTGGCAAAATTTGGTGAACGATGGGTGGTAAAACAGCCCGGCCTGTACAAAGGCATTGGTATCCATTGGTATCCATTCTGAATTAAGCCTCCTCCAATCCGCCCTTCTTCAGACCTCCTCCTCCGGACGCGATCAGGTCCAAGAATCCCTTCTTACTCATCTCGTTGATCTTCTCCTCCCTCCGCACGACACCCACGACGCCGTCCTTGCGTGCCTTCTTCTCTGCCTCGGCGGCCTTGACTTGCGCCGCTCTCACGGCGTTGAAAAGCTTGACCACACCCCTCTGCGCGACCTTGCGCAGCCTCCGCTCCGTCTCAACCATCTCTCCCGTTGACGTCTCTTCCGTCTCCGGTGCGACCAGCACGTTGCGCACGCGGCCCTTTTCCAATGCCTCCTTCCTCTGTGCCCTCATCTGCTTGCGCGCCTTGGACTCGAGCGCCTGGTCGACGGCCGCCTGGGCGGACTGGTGGGCCTCTGCACTGCGGGCAAGGACGGGGTCTGCTCGTTTCGCGTTGGAGAGCTTGGTGGACAGAATTTTCGACATGAACGTTGAGAAGGCAGACGGATCGTTACGTTTGGACTTGATGAGATTGGGGTTGCCGCCGTCGTCACTTTCATCTTCTTCTGAGTCGGAATCCGAGTCGGTGCCCACGGGCGCGTCTCTACTCTTCTTCGGCTTAGGGGCTGGTTTCGTCTTCTGCTTGGGTGCTGGGAGCTTGTCATCGCCTGAGCTCGTTGAGTCGTCGTCCGAGGCAGCGCCATCGTCGACGGCCGCATTGTGAATATCATCGTCAGAATCGAGGAGGTTTACCGCGTCGAATTCTTGCTCTTCGTTGTCGGAGGCGGGCTCGGCTTGCTTCTTTTCTTGTCTCTTCTGCTTCTTGGTTGGGGGCGCAAGGCGGCCATCGTTTGTCCGCTTCTTTGTAGCTGTTCCGGCCATGGTTGTGGATTTTGTGTTGTAGTCAATTGGTGTTGATGGACGGTGGTGGTTCTGGTACTCGACTTTGGCTGGAAAAAGTTCCCCATGCCGTCTTTGCAGGGTCAAATTTTTGGGTTCGGCAGGTGGGGCCATCTTCTTATCGTCGGCGTCCATAATCCGATAAGAAAGCCCTCACCGAGCCGCTGAACCACCTTCACCGAGTGTTGCCCCATGAGTTGCGCCGCAAGACCCACACGGCGGTCGAGCCCCGATGTTCACCACACAGTGCAGCAAATTTGTAGCATTCATGCGGGGAGGCGATGCCGTCTTTCCTTCGAGAGGGTTTGGGCATTTCGTTTGAACAACGCCTGCAACAGATGACCTGGAAGAAAAATCAATCTCGACTCCCGAGCTTACTTCAGGACATGCCTGCAGTGAAAAGAAAGAGTCGCAAACGTCTTGGACCTTAGACTCTGCAGAACTACCGGATCATCTGAAAATCTTTGTGTCCTAATAACTGCCCATCTACTCCGTATGCTGCGACGAAGCGGAAGGGCAGGAACGCGTTAGACTACCTCAAATTAGTGCACCATCCATGGTGACGGCATCGGCTTGACTTCCTTACATAGAGTTTTTTCGTATAATTATTCGTAAAGTCGGGGAGGTTCGAGCTTCTGCCCTTACCATTTCGGGTCCCTGCAGCCGACATAATACTGGGCAGACCAATACCTACCTAGCAAAATTGAATAACCCCATCTTTGTCTTGACGTCTTACATACATGCTATCGCCATCCGAAGCCAGTACCACCGATTTACGCCAAACTTTTCTAAGAAAACACCAACTTTAAACATAGCTTTGTGTAGCTCGGGCCCGCTCTTCCATTAAATCTAGGTTATCCCAAATTGTACGGAGATGGATGGTATCTTTTGTATCGATGGTTCTATACAGCATAGCCAATCACGGGCCCTTCTACGGAGTCGGGGAGCCCATGGCCTAATTTGGAAAGAGCGGATCAGGGGCACTGGGTCTCGTCCCTGTTCAGCCCGGATGTTGCCTCCGGCAAAAATCCTGCCTTACATCATGCAAAGGAATAGCTATGCTGGCCGAGTAGACCGCGTTGACACATACCGCGCGCTTGCTGACTAGTCCTTTGACAGGTCTGTCTTGCGGTCATTAATAACATGTCACTCAAGGGCGCGTGGGTGATACGCCGTGACTCTCGTAGCCATACACCCCCTAATCTGATCTGTAAATACTAAATTGTGCTATCCAGCCAAGGTACTTGCTACCCTCTAATACTGTGTCAAGGCCACAAAGCCCATAGGGATCATTCTGATCCCGACTTACGACCAACCGTTGTGCCGTATCATCTCATATGCACCGATCTCACGGTAGACATATTAGATTCCATCCACGAAACTAGGCGAGCAGGCTAAACCTTACTTTTCAAACATCGCGTCTGTATTCGGGACTTACTATGAAACTGGAAATACTTAACGTCTCTCCCTGTTTGGCATGCCCTGTAGGTTGTCTCAGCTGGGCTCGAGCCGAAGCTATCTTGACTAACAAGAACTTTTCTGGCCAAACGTTTTCAGCCCAAAAGCCACTTTGCTCGCTGATATCTCGAATTCGAGTTGATATGAGGCCGCCTTGGGTATGGGAAATGAAACGGCGTGCCTTTCTTTTTGGGAGCTGACTTTAGTTGATGATATCTATGCTAGAGCTAAGCTTTGTAGATTTCGGTTTAAGGCGCTTAAAGGCTGAACAGCCAATGACTCGTTCTGATATGAATCACGTTGACACATGGCAGATTATTGGGTAATTGTCTGTAACCGTGGTATCCATCGTCTAGGAGACTTCGGTAATTGTAGCCGGAGGGGCCATACATGTAAACATTCAGGAAGGTAAGTCTTCTACTCTGGGTAGATTCCGCCTGTAGCAAAGAGGGCGAACCCTGCCCAGCACCCATGCACGTGCCGGCGGCGGACACTAGGGGTAACAATGCCGCTAAAGGTAGGCCGGAACATTATAGATCTCGGACTCATGGATCACCCAGCCCGACTGAGAAATGATAGTACAGTGGCTTGGGTCTTTGGTGAGACCAAGGTAGATATTGGATGAGTAGGCCGGCAAGGGTGATACGGTGATTCCTACAGCTAAATATCTGACCAACGGTCCCTCATCATAGCCTGCCCAGCATTTGGTAGTTGGTTGTTGGGGTTTCCCAGCTTGCTTTACTCCCTCCTTTGTTCTTCAAAAACAGTCTTGACTTCAGGTACACCGCTGGTGACGACTCTGTCGCGAAAATACTCTTCGATTCTGCCTTACTCTGATCCATCGACTTGGCCAATGAAATAAAAGTTGCGGAAACAGAATGTAAGAGCTGCGGAAACAGATTGACTTTACCTGGCGGTAAGTGGATGGCTAGCCTTTAATCTTTCTATCCGCTATCTAACTTTAAGCTTTCGGGCTCTACCTCATTACAGACCACAGACCTTCGGACTCATCACATTACCGTCCAAACGATCCCAAAACGTGGTTGCTCCAAGTACAACTAGCGCTTCGACCTTCTGCAGACGCGGGCCCCGAACTCTCACAGCTCTATTTACACCTTGACGTTCTCCTCCGAAACCGAATCCATCTTTCGAACAGCCTTCATCTGCTTTTGGATCTCCCTCGCGCGTTTGACTCCGAACCCATGATTGAATACCTCGCGAATATCCTCGAGCGTCATGTTCTTGACCTCCGGGTAGCAGAAATAGATGGCGAACCACCCGAGCACGCAGATGGCCGCGTAAAATCCAAAGGCGCCAGATGGCGTGGTGTTTTCCATCTGTGTCAGGAAGGTGGAAGCGACAATGATATTGGAACTCCAGCAGCTCATTGTCAGCATCATGGTGCCCATGGCGCGTACCTCCATTGGGAAGAACTCGCTGCTCAGCCAAGCTGTGTTGCCGATACCCGAGGAGTAGAATCCGACAAAGAACACCATGCTCACAAGAACGATGATGGCTGGCGGTCCAACAGTCGCCCCCTCTCCAAGAGATAGATCGTGGTTGATTGGGATCCATTTGAAGGCGACCGCGGCGACAATCAGGAATAGGCCCATGAACTGCACCGTGCATAGTAGGATCCTGCGACGACCGACTCGGTCTACGAGTAACAGGTTGACAAGCGTGAAGAAAAAGTTGGTTCCGGCAATAATGGTTCCGACTCCCACGGGATTGTTGAAACCAACGAGCTTGAATAAGGTCCCGGAGTAAAACATCAAACTGTTGAAGCCGCTTAATTGAGAAATGGCCATGAGTCCACACGCCGCAATCAGGGCGCGGAGGTTCGACGGAACAACGTAGAGCTGCTTAAGCACCCACCATTGCGACTTCCCGGCGTTCATATTCTTGGCCTCCTCGACGTGGAGGGTGATGTGACGGACTTTCATCCGGACTTGCTCGTCCGTTCCATTAGGGAAAATCTTTCGAATAACCTTCTCGGCCTCCTGTTCCTTGCCGTGATAGATCAGCTGTCTTGGCGACTCTGGGCAGAAGGGCAGCATGCAGGCTAGGATGATGGCTGGAATCGCGCCGCCGCCAACCATGTAACGCCACCCGCCATGTATATGCGCGAAGCCAGCCCCAACGCCGTAGCTGACTAGTTGACCGCCCGTGATGCACATGTTGTCAAGGCCGATCATACGGCCGCGGTATTTGGCTGGGGAGAGCTCGGCAATGTACCTGGTATCCATGTCAGCAAAGGTCGTGACCAATCTTGCCATCATCTGCTAGAAAACATACAGTGGGATGATCATGGCTGCGGACCCGACGCCGAATCCAACAACGAGACGACCGACAGTCATCAGAGCCAGTGAATTAGCGGCAGCTTGAATGACGGCACCGGCAGTGAACAAGAAGCTGCCGACGTAGATGGCAATCTTGCGTCCGAAGCGGTCCGCCGTGGCCCCGGCGAAGATGGCACCGATGAAAGCGCCACCAGATGTGATTGACGTGATGAGTTCCTTCTCAGACGAGGAGAGGGTGTGTCCGAGGTCGTTGTCGATGTAAACTAACACGGCCGATATGATGCCTGTATCGTAGCCGAACAACATGCCGCCAATAGCTGCCGTGATGGAGACCAGCCACGAGAACTTGCCCGTTCGAGTCTGTTCAATAGAATCAAGCCCATCGAGGCTAACTTGAATCTCAGAGGAGCCGTCGGCTACGGTCTCCTTATGCTGGGCCATTTCCTTGAAGTCTTTGGTCTCCATAGTGGGAGTCTTGGAGTGCGAGTAACGAGCTGAGTAGAGTCTGAAGAATGACGATGGCCAGATGAGCTGAGTGAGAGAAGTCGGAAGTTCCCAATTGACTCGAAGGGCAGTGCTCAGTGGAGTGCTGTTCGTGGTAATCTGGGGAAGACCTGGGGTAGAGTGAGGTCTTTATATCAACAGTCGGAGTGATGAGCTGAAAGCAGTGGAGCAACGAAATGGCTCCGGTCGAGGTGTTGGTTCATGAGTAGCGCCTGGCTAGACTTCGTTGAAGGCCCAAATAGCTGGTAATCGAGTAGCAAGCTCTGGGTAAGTTATCTTCAATGACACCCTAATCTGCGCAGGCTGGCTGACCTCCGGGAAAATGGAAAGGGCATGATGCTGTGTGAACCAATGACAAGATAGCAAATACCGAGAACTAGGATCCATGTTGGTAGAGACGCCAAGCCATGTCGAAGTATAGACGTGCCCAGTCAACGAAGCTTCCCCCGGATTTTCCCCAGATTCACGCATTCGTACCATGAACAAGATAGTATTCCGCGGGACTCATATCCCAGCCGGGGTTCCATCCGGGAATTCAAGCCAGCCTTGGGGTACGTGTAGAAATCTCCATCTCATCACCACGAGGATGAATTAGTCTGGCGCCGTACTGGCGCTGGTGGAGTTTTAGCGGTGTATGCATGATGGGTGCGGGGGAAAGTTGCCTATCCAGTTTCAAATAGGCAAGTATGTCTTATTTCCCTCGTGTGTCCTATTTGACCTGCTTTCATCCACTCCATCATCTCTCCCATGTCTTCCGCCTACCGCCGAAACCCAACGACTTTCCCGCTTCGGCAGGATTACCTAAATCCAATGTCAATTGGCCATTTTTACAAGTTGCCAGCCTGGAAAGAAGTTGTTGTAGCAGTACTCGTCAGCTATCCTACGAGTCTCCCACCCCGAGCGCCCCCGCCACCAAACCACCACTCTCACACAATATCGTTTTGAGTCTTTCTCCCCCCTATGAACCGTCAAATCAACGCCCAGGAAATCTCTGTCGTCAGGCTGGTTTTCTTGCATGCCAGTGTCTACGCGGGAACCACACGTATCAGCGCACATACTGTATGCTGGACACATCCAGCACCCGGCGGGTCCAGAACATGAGCCGAGTACAGACCCGGACGAATCCGTGTAACGTAAGTATTCTTTCCAACCCTACCATCTCTCAACCCCGACCCCTCGTCTTTCTTAGGGCCGGCGAACATATCCATGTTTGCGTGGCGTAGGATCATCTTTTTCACCCGATGGAGCCATCCGCGGCTCGTTACGCCGCTGGAAGCAGTTTTGTTGACACGCATCCTGTTGTAGATCTGCAGATTAAGGTGAGTTATGACGCGGCGGGACGCATATTCCGGCGAGATGGACCTGTCAAGGCCCGTGGCCCGCGATTGCTCCCCCATGTCTCCCAAACACGGTCTTTCTGAGCTATCATGAACGCCTATTCTGACAACTTGATTGGTTCTACGCGATAGGCATCTGAAATGTAAGCAACCCCTTTGTTCCTTTTGCGGCTGCTTTACCTCCCACCGGTGTTCGTATCATCCCACCGGGAGTCTATCCGTGACTGAGGGCCTTGGGTCCCAGTATCTCAAACTCGGCGAATATTGCCTTGATTGCCATCCTTGCTTGCCACTGACGAGGAGCAGGTGATTCAAGTCGATCGACATGTTCTAATTGTCGAAAATCTGGAGTCGAGTGTACCCGCGGATATAGTGTACGCTTCAGACACACGTTGAACCCTAGGTACGTGGACACAAGTTCAGTAATCGCGCCTCGGTCGAACTCCTCCAGCTAACTCAAACCCTGCTTATGCGACAAGTATTCAACCAGAGAGAGGAACTGGGGCTGCCAAAAGCGAGTACAGCTTCTCCGAAAGGCAAACTTGGGTGCGAACCACGAACCGATCTTTCAGCTTCGTCGACGAGACTGAAGATGTGGTCAACATCCACGCTGCTGTCACGGGGGAGCCCGGCGCCGACCACGGCAGCGCAAACACCTATCTAGGGACTCCGCGTAGACCTGATAGTCCACATAATTATCTTGCGCTACTATCCGACGCTTCTTCTCCAGCCCTAGAGTTAATGTCTCATTCTCGAACCTCTGCATTGAAGTCGCAAGCCTCACATGACGACCTCTCCAGCCGAGACAGTACCAGGAAGCACCCAAGACGCTTACGACCAAGACTAAATACGAACACTACTATACCAGATGCCCTTCAACATCCACCCAAAGATGCCCATGGCCACGACGAAGCGTCTGCATCAAGCGGCCATACCGGAACCTCCATACAATGGGACCTTCTTCACCTCGGAGAAGACTTGACACTCGACTTCCCCAACATTCAACACATCTTCGAAGCGATAGATCCCCAACTCGAGGACCCATCCGCCGATCATGATCAAACCTACGTCGAAACCCCCTTGTGGCCCCTTCAAGACCGCCAGGAAGCCTTTCTCTACAGATATTTCGTGGACAATCTTGCCCCTCTTTTCGACATGTGCGACAGCGATAGACACTTTGCCAAGGTCGTGCCGAAGAGAGCAGTGCACTGCCCAACGCTACTGAACGCGATGTTTTCGGCCTCTGCGAAACGCTTAAGCCGAACGATTGGCGTCGATGGAGTTATTGCCGACCGATACCATCAAATTTGCCTTCGATCGTTGATTCCGGCGCTCTCGTCTTCGACGGCGGTTGTAGACGACAACCTCCTGGCTGCTGTTGTAATTCTTCGTTTCACGGAAGAAGTTGATATCGGTTCAATGACCCTCGAATCCCATCTGATGGGCACCAGAATACTGCTCGCCGCCCAGGAAAACGCCGCCGACTTCAGCACTCTGCGACTGTCTGCTTTCTGGCTTGCCCTAAGACAAGAAATATACGTGGCATTTGTCCATACCCGTCCAGTCCATCACAACTTCTTCCCAAGCATCCAGCGGATACAGGAACGCGGTAATAGCGACGAGAACGCCATGGATTGCTACTATGCCAATAAGGCCGTAAGTATCTGTGCAATGTGTCTTAGCTACTGTTACGGCCAAGAAGACAACTATGTAAGAAGCTACGCGCAATTGAAAGAGGATCTCGATGTCTGGTGGAAAGACAAACCATGGTACTTCGATGCGATGTGGGCAAATCCAGAACCTGGTTTTTTGCTTGAGGAACAGTACATCACCGACGCCGCAGTTACTGGTCTCCAGCACTATCATCTGGCTCGGATGCTTTTGATCGCCCACAACCCTAAGGTTGCGAGGCTTGGTACGGCTTTCCGCGCAATGGAGGAAGAACTCAAGCAGACTGTTCGGGTGATATGCGGCCTGGCAGTGGTAAGTTTGCTGTTCATCAACACCATAGACCTTGGTGAACTTATCTGCTAACGGCGCCGTGCCGTGTTAATAGGCGAACGAAAGAACACCCCCAGCATATGTGTAAGTGCTAGTTTGCAGGTATCTTCGCTTACTTTAACCACCATCTGACCGTCGCGATGCTACAGGAACGCATGCATAGCAATCACTATGGCGGGCGATCGTTTTACAGACCGAAAAGAACAAGAGGAGTTGTACAGGATCCTCGTCAAGACTGACAGGCGGCTGGGGTGGCCGACTCTTGCTGCGTAAGTAAACCCTGTCCCTTAGTCGCTGCAACATGGCGCTAACGGCAAGCAGACAGTCTCAGATCAGAGAAGCTTGGGGCTGGGAGGATTCCCCGTCGCCCCCTGGAATGCCAATCGCATCCATGTTGAACGCGCGCGCGCGAGCTGGAACAGCGGATTAGCCCTAAGCCCAGTGAGCAACGCGGTCTGTAGTGTTATGTGTAAGCCTATTTTGATAGTGATTCGTACTCGTTGAACCTTTATATTCGTCTCACTTACTCCCTTAGCTCAAGGGGTCATATTTCAATTATTTTGATATTTGCTATTAGATCATCACACTGCCAGCCAGTCGTGACCGATCTTCACCGTTGACCGAACGTTCCCCGGCCATCTCGCCTGTCTCATTCTTCTTGCTCCAACTCCCTGCGCCAAACCTTCAAAGGCATCGGGCTCGGCATGAGGTTCATGGCCTCCCGCCTCTCCGGTTCCCACTCTGGGAAGGGCAAGGCAAAGTTGTATCTGTGCAAGACACTCGCCAACAGAACCGTTTGCTCAAGGTAACTGATGTTCCGTCCGATGCATCCTCGCGCACCGGCGCTGAAGCTGACAAAGTATGGTTGCAGTTCTTTGCCCTTGTCACCGAGCCAGCGCTCTGGGACGTAGGACTCGGGCTCAGGAAAGATCTTGGGATCCCTGTGGACGATGTACGCCGAAATGGAAACCGTCGTACCTCCAGGAATGAACTCTCCGAGAACGTAGGCACCCTCAGGTGGAGTTCTTCGCGGAAGACCAAATGTCGTTGGCGGCACGATCCGTAGTGACTCGTCAAGACACGCCCGCAGGTACGGCAAGTGCTTGACCTTATCGTACGGTGCCACTACTTCCTCTGGCTCCATAACAGCATCGATTTCTTCGCGCAACTTTGCCATGCACCTAGGATTCTTCAGCAACCAGTACATGACGTTGTTCATGGCAATAGCCGTCGTGTCTGAGCCGGCATTCATCATGATGGACACCTCCGCGACGATTTCGCCCCAGTCAAGCCCATTAGGAGTTCCATTCTTATCTTCCATCAAAGCCTGGAAAAAATCTTCGAGTTTTTCCCCAGCCTGGTAGCGTTTCAGTCGCTGGGTTGCACGGTGATAAACGATGCCATCCCATCCCTTGTTCAGGTTCCACCATCGACGAAAGGTTGGCGAGATCAGAGACGTTAGCCGATGGTTGAACTTGTACCAATCCCCCGCCCAAACGGTGATCGATTGGGCGATGGCAGTGGAATGTAGACAGGCTCTGTAGTTCACCTCGTGAATGGAACCATCCATGCGCTCGGCGCGCACAAGATCGTGACCTTGGTCTAGGAATCCAAGTCTCTCAGATAGACCAATGTCGGCAATGGCATCGAGACTGAAATAATTCGACCACGCTCGGTAATCGAAGGCAATATCAGCTGGGTCTGGACGGAGACCCTCTTTTAGGGGCTGGGTGCAGGCCTTGTCGCAACCGACAATAAAGCGTTCGGTCTTATCAGCGACTTTGTGTTCCCAGTTCTCGAGGTTCTTCAATGCGTACGCCGCCGACAGAACCTTACGTTTTCTAGCGTGATCGGCCTTATCAACGACATCGGCCAGGTGGAAGTGAGTTCCTGCTAAGGTTTCGTAGAATTCACCCTTGAGGCACTTCGTTCCGTGCCCGTAGATGTCCTTGATAGCATCAACTGTGCCGTACGAAAGCGAGTTGGGCCCAGTCCGAAGCACGGGATGTTGCTTGTGTTTCTCGTAAAGGGTCTTGGATCGGAATCCGAGTGCAGCTTCGCGCATGAAAACCAGGTTGGTCACGCCAGCCGATGGTTTGAAAGCCGGGAATCGACGCAGCCTCTTGGGGTCTCGGAAGTACTCGACTAAAGGGAAGACGATAAAGTAGGAGAAGAGGCTCAGCAAAGCTGCGAAAGGAACTATGGCTGCGTACATTATTGAGTCGTGTCTCGGTTGACTTGGAGAGCTTGTCCGCCGAGGTGTGAAGATCTTGAGGTTTCCATTCCGACGCTACCTTGGCTAGCAGACCAGCTCAACAACAGGCCTGTATAGCGAGCTTTGAAATAGTCATTCTGTCCGGTACAGTCAGCTGATTTCATTTTCAAACATAAACGCCACGGAATACGAATCCCGCGGAGTGCCAGCGTTGGAAACACCAGAATGGTCATTCTCATGCTCTTCAAGCGTCTCTAGTGTAGGCGGACGTCTTCCGAGGGACAAAAGTTGCCTATCCCGTCACTAATTTGTCCCCGTCAGACGAAACTCGCGTCTTCTGATGGGTCCAGATCAAGGGCCACGGCAGAGGCAGCGTCCGCCATCTACACAGTAGTCTCACACGTCCCCCGCATGCCAAAATCGCGTTAATCGGACCCAACTTTCCTATCCAAGACGTCCCAGATTGGAAGTTGCCTTTTGGGAGGATACCCCGCGATCACGTGTGGCGTTGTTCAGGAAAGGTAAGTTTCCAGCCGCAGTGGATCTCACGACTTGCCTATTTTACTTCAGATAGGCAGGTCAAGTCCAGGCTAGGCAAGTCGGTAGTCATGCATCGCGCCGCGTATTGCCAAACCCGACGTCCCGCCCACATGGATAGTTGGACAAGCGCGGCGCAGGTTGGGATGAAAGCCCTACGATAATTAACTAGAAGACTTCGATTCCTGACTCCTAAGTACAGGTACTTCTCGACGAGAGATAACCCGTTTTCACCTCTCGATGGTCTAACTAGCTACTTCCAATCTGGGGGCTACTTGCGTTCTGCAATCAGCTGGCTCGAATACGTCAATGGGCGATGATCCAATGAAGTCGTTCACAAGCGTCGTTCACACGCCAATCGTTACGTACAAATAGCTATTTACCTGCATGTGATTTGCCATGACAAAGCTCTCACCAAAATGCCGCGTAGGAATCTTTTCCGAAAGAACTTGTGATCCATTAGGCGACATCGATCCTCTCCTTGTGGTTTCATAACACCGAAAAGTGGGAAACCAACATATCGATTGACTTCTTACAATGGACCATTTGCCCTCAACTGATATCTAGTCAGGATTTCCGGAATAATTTCCTACTTAGGGGCCTTTCGCCGATTTCGTTGTTTTCTCTGGTCGACTTAAATATCAGCCATGCATGAACTGCCTCCCCCCAACTTAGAGGATTTTCCACCTCCTTCACACTACGTCTTCTTCCTCTCAAAATAGACTTGATTTTCTCTCCGACGAATCCTTGGTCGTCAATGTACCAATTGATAACTGCGCGAACTTGTACTTTGTGATCAGCTACAGTGTATTCGAGGGAGTGATAACACAAAGTCTACCGAGTTAAGATTCTGTAGACATCATGAGCCCGAGCTCCTGGAGATGTTACCATCGTCTGTCATTTCAATTGAGTTGGGAATCTTTTACACTAGACCTCTGCTTTCTTATGCAGAGGCAATCTATTGATCCAACATATCAACTAGCCTCTAATACGGTAATACCTGATAGATTTTCTCAACCCTTCGATTTAGGCGGTCCCTCGAATTTGCAATCGTCGCGACTATTACTCCTCCCTGGCAATGATCTACTCCTTGTGTGTCCTTACTGATTCCCGTCCTTGGCCCCGATATTTACCTCACAGAGAACTCTCATCAGGTCGCGGGATCCTAACGCCCGAGCATTCGCCATTCTCTTTACCTGTTGCTACAGAGACCCAAGGTGCCAAATGTTTCAAATCACCGAGATCCACTTCTTCAGGCTCCTCGTCCGGTTCTCTATCTCGAGTTGAGGGTTGTGCGGTTGGTGCTTTCGGTTCGCTTTCAACCCTTTCAGCAGCCAAGACACCGGTTGAAAGATGTCCAATTCCCGGATCCACCTGACTAATATCCCGCAGAGAATGATCAGGCTCATTGTCGTCATTGTCATCTGAAATCAGCTCGTGTAAACGATCGCCCGGTTGCACGACACTATTCCCAACAGTCCTCATTCTTGCTCTGGCACCGAATACGGAGTTTACACCTCGAATTGTTCGTCTTCGTCGTACGAACAGACGACGGAAATAGTCTCTAAAGGCGGGCATGCAAGAGCAGAAGATGAAACCATTCAACTCAACGAAGGACCAGTTAGAGATTGGCACAATGTCCCCTACCGATTATCAGTACTCGCGGTTGCAATTAGCAAAGCAACTCACATGTTGGATTTGAAGTCTTCATGAAGTTTCTAATGGAGTTAAGCCTCAGGATGGAAACGAAAGTGATCCTGTAGTGGAAGTCAACCTTCATCAAGCGCATTTCTCCCGGTAACGCAGGGCACCACTCACAATAATGCTACGGCGAACATCATGCCGGCCCCAATTTTCTGTCTCCATCGCCAGTTTAGTCTGACAATTTGCGAAATGGGCATCGCTACTACAACAACATCAAGTGCGATGTTCACTGATGCATGAGCCCAAGTCTGAATGTTGATATCATGGCAGCGGCCCTGATGTTCTCCGTCCCATTTAGTCCATGTGTAGCTGATAGGCCAGCACTGCACTGAGGTCGCAACGAGGAAAGAAACTGCGGATAAGATGCATGCCCATATGACACCCCAAGTTAGGCGCCTAAACTTTTCATCGGCGAAAAGGCGCAAGTAGAAAAACAGGAAGTTTGTCTTCGCAAATATGACGGTGAATGCGTAGAAGTGCTCTCCGACGTAAAACAACTTGGTGGATGTAGTTAGCTAACTTTGCTTGAATTATTTTCACCGCACTTACTTTGAAGAACTCGTTGATTTGCTCTGGTGTAAGAGTCCAGATGTCTTTGCCAAGACCGTTTTGAACAGCTGTAGCGTAGATTAGATGCCATCTCTATAGATTCTCCTCTCCTTGTACTTCAATGATGGAGATGGCTTACTGAAAACAACAACAACACTCATAGGGACCGACATTAACTACGTCGACGTTAGTCTCCAGATCGTGAAAGTCGGTCGCTGAGAAACATGCCACTGAGAAAATGAGAGCATAGTCATCTAGTCCAATGATATAGTCCAATCGTGAAAGTTGAGAATATATGCGCACGCCAACACTGAATACGGCCACAATAGCCCCTGCAACGGCACTAGCAGTAGCAGAAGCACCTCTATCTCGATTTGGGAGACCACAAATGTCGAATACGATTCTTTGACTCCCTGCTTTGGTCAGCGAGAATACTCAGCCAGCTACGATGTTGAAGGCGGGATGCACATACTGAGTCCATCTATGACAGAGCAATTTTGGTAGCTGCAGCCTACAGCCCCATATAGTTGTTGTTCAGCACAGAGATATTTGACTGCAGCTTGAGCAACGGGCGCCGATGCCAGTATTGCTGAGACACATTGACTCTAAAGCCAGCATGATTTTAGTAAACCTGGCAAAAACCGCGACCTTCGCGCTACGTAGGTTGGACGATGAAGGAAATTACCGCGCATTCAGGTAGGAGGCTCTCGATACCTAGACCCTGAGGGATGACGCTCGATGCTAGGGTTGAGTCCATCGTTCGATGTTGGTCTCGGCAAGTCCGACGACAAATGTGGCAAAACTGGGAATTGGCGATGAATGAAGCACATTAGACACAACGTCTTTCAACAAAGATTTTGGTAGTGCCAGAGCCATGTGGATGAGTTATTGGGCTGATCTATATTTAAGAAATCCTGTCCGCGAAGAAAACCTCCCCATGTTTGCCTCGTCATTCCAAATGAGATTCGTCTCTATTTACGGTGGTGCTTGAATCAGGGCTGCCCCATTTCGTTGTTGATGATCTAAGCTCTATTGAGATACAGAGTGCAACGGCTCGTTCAGGATCAAATTGTTGCGCCTATCAATCATGCCCGATGTGCACTTATAGTTCAGCCGGTGCCATCTTAGCCGGGCGTCGGATCACTTTGAATTTCAGTAGCGGGCAAAGTTAAAACCAGCACGCCATAGTGCAGGGGCTAGTGTGCTCTCGAACGCATACTTGAAGAGACGGGCTTCTCCGCAGGGCAGGAAAATGTGCAAAGAACAGAGAAATCGGACTTCAATGTTTGTACAGGCATCTTTCAGATGAGTCTTGGCAATAATGTAGGTAACTCCACTCCGAGTCGCCACAATACAGGTGCAGGATAGCAGTAGTCTACAATGTGTACGAGTATTGTAGAGAGGTTCTACGTGGACAACACTCATTCGCGCACATCGCTTTGGCGACTTAGCAGTATGAGGAGACCTTGGCTGTCTGTAGAAAAACTTGAGCAAAGCTATTGTACTTCAACTGCGAGGTATATATTAGTAGATATAAAGAATCACGCACTCTGAATCTCTCAACGCCTTCCTTACGTTTCCGTAATATGCTTGTGCCTGATCACTTGATCTACTGCGAATCTGTTGTAGACAAGAGCGACAAGGAAAATAAGCTACAAAATCACGAGTTCTCGACGGATTGGGCTTCAGTTATAGGCGCGCCCAGAAAGTAAGCTACACAGTAATGACTGAAGTTACTATGTAAGTGCGGGGCTTGTAGCCTCGCAGCTAATCACTCCCCCCAACTCGCCCCGTTCAAGCACGCCAACTAATTATTGCAGAAAAAGAAGAGATTTGAGGCCGATCTGTTTCCAAATCATCTGGCTGCCACTACTTCCTTCACTGGGGAACACCAAGAGGAGCCTGGCAAAGAATACCCTGGCCCAGCTGTGGGGATTATTGTTAGGAAATCAACACCAAAATTTGCTTTCTACTGGATGGAAGAGCTTACGATGGGAAGAATGCAGCAGCGGGCACGCTGGCCAATGGCGGAGCATACTTTGCTAGAGTCGTTGGCAGACGTAGGGACGGCAGGAGCTGTTGGCATGGGTTGTTAGTACTATGCGGCACTTTCTACTAGATTATGACTTGGGACTTACGGGGAGCGCAGTTGAGGTTCGCAACTCCAAGAACATCGGTGGCACAGCACTGAAGGCTGTCGTAGAGACCAGAGCAAGCATCGTAGGGGGTAGAGCCGCCGCCGCCGCCGGTGTTGCCAGTGGGAACGGCGATGACGGCAGTAGCCAAGATGGAAACGAGAGCGGTGGTAAACTGCATTTTGATGGCGAGTTGATGATGGAGTGAAAGTCTAAAGTGACTGAAGAAGAGCTGGGAGCTTGACACTGCGTTGAGTAGATGATAGAAGATACGGTTGATGATGACTAGAAGTTCCCCGAGAAGCCTGGCAATCGCATACTTTATATACTCGAATTGAGTTGCCGTCGCTGGCGCTCATACGATCATCCAGGCCAAGTTGAGGGATAGTCGATTTGCGTTTCTGTCTCTATGTCCACTGTTAGTGCACAGCCCTGCAGCACAACTACATCTCGGCATTGACCTGACCATTTCGCAGTCATTAACGGACCAAAGGCACACAATGAGGTTCGCGATAGTTTTGGTAATTCGGTAAGAAGAGCTTCATGCCAACAACCTGGGTAGGCTTGGCAATATTGGCTTGGCTTTCTACTTTTAGTCCGCGAAACTGTGTTACAGTTAAATCCACCTAACACGGGCTGCACAAGGCGGGAGTGGCTACTCCCGAGCCGCTAAAGACGTGAGAAGTGATACCAGAATCCTTCAATATGCCCGAGAAAGCAAACTCCAACTTCATGATGCTGTTCGGGGATGCAGTTCGTCTGAACCCGGGTGGAGTGAACGCGTTGGACTGGCCCGGGATGATAGTTCCATTCGCCTACAGCCGTTCCCGCTGTCTAATGCAACGTTCCCCGCCCTCAGCTCGACTGAGAACGAATCAGGAGATGGGGTGATTTTCAGCCCAGCTTTCAATTGTGGATAAGTCAAGACTGTGACGCTGCAAGTGCAGGCATAGTGCAGATGATCAGCGCTGTCTACTGCCTCGTACCTTGCTTCTGAATCAAGAGACCATATGCAGGACAGTAGGTGATTAGCAGAGCAAGAGAGCAGGTGTTAGCTAGCGCAACCACCTGGTCAGCGGCTTTGCTGCATAAGGCTGGGCCGCTGGTCTGAAGAATTTGCTAGAAAGGCCAAGCATCGCTTGAGCTTTGTTACTACTGCAGCAAGTATGACGCTTTGGAGGTCTTGTTGCTGCTGCGAACCGCGCTTCCCAAGACTCTGATGTGACGGCTCTCACGATGAGGATCCATGCTCCGCTTGGGCTCAACTGCTCCCTGTCCATGGGTGCCAAATGCATGTGTAACAACATGGTCAAAATCTCAGAAATGTGCTGGCATCTATGGATAATAATTCATCAATCATGTTCGTTGTAGGGCGTCCTGCATGTTCGACATTGAAATTTGACGATCCACACTGGTGGCTTACGCATGATGTGTCACACGACTTTACATGGGTAAGGCGTTCAGTCTCGCTAGTAAACGGTACTCTCTGTACAAGCGTCACGGGCGAGGCGGATAGAAGCCTGCGGCAACCTAGAACCTAAACGCAACAGTAATGTCTTCGATGCTACCTAACTACTTGTTGACCAACACTCATAGAGCATCCAGCGCAAAGATTTCCTGGGTATCGAGTGATTTAGACATTTGATGTAACATGAACAGAGCCAAAGCGGAAAGCTCTGCGATGTCTTATTTGATAATTGCCAGTCTTTTTCCGTCGGATCATTGATCCTCGTGCATTTGTAACAAGTTCCAAGAACTTGACAAGCAACTGAGACCTATCGACCGTGGGCTAGACGTTCTGTCCCACAATTCCTACTCCCTCCTGCGTCCGGTCCAGCATCCGGTCCAGCATCCGGTCCTGCTCTTTGAACTTCTTCACAACTTGAACAGTGGCAAAGTAGCTGAATGGTAGGGCGATAAACCAAAGACCGCAATTGATGCTTGCTGTAGCAATGAGAGGAGTTGGAACGGCTTGGATGCCGAACCCTACGGCTACTGCTGCCGTCTCGATGCCACGAAGCAAAGAGCTATACCGAATCTGGTCGCCCGGCGAGTCCGATAGATTTCCGATAGTCCAGTAGATGAAGTTTTCAATCATACCAAGAGACGCTCTTTCGAGCATATAAAGCCCGAACCCTCGTCCGAACTCGCTCTGAAAGGCCCAATCCAAGACAGGTAGCGTGAATCGATACTCATTTTGGATAATGACGGCCCATATCCAGGTGGCAGTATTGAGACAGACAATTAGGGAGTATGTTGCTAGAGCTCGTGTCTGGCGATTCGTAGACCACGGGAGGTCCACAAGAGATCCGCCAATCCATGTAGAAAAGGTGCTCACGATAGCTGCAGCGAAGCTGCCTAGCGCCCTTGAGCGCACGCTGAAGTATGTGGCAAGATATGTGCCGGGGTATGCTTGAATCCAACCAAAGTACCAGAAGAGGGGCGTCAATAAAAGAATCGAACGGCTTCTAAGTAGCTTCCACATTTCGATGAGCTCTGTCCGCCAATGAATACCTCTGGGCGCTTCGATGCGACTTCCGTCATTCCGCATGACCTTGTCAGGATTCGACAGGAAGAGACCAAAGAAGAATCCGAGACATTGTATGCCGATGAAGGCAAGGTACAGCTCGTATCCAACCTTGCCCTTCTGGTTGACCTTGTGGTTGAGTGCCAACGAGATGGCGCCACCAATAATCATGCCAAAGTTGCGAAAAGTGAACCACGTCGCGACGTAGCGGCCTCGTTTGTGATTTTCGGGATATCCCGTAGCAATCGCTCCCTCGACACTGTAGAAGACTCCGGCACTTATGCCGCAGGCCACCGAGCCGAAATAGACGAGCCATGTTCCGCCTGTCCGATTGTTGACGTAGAGGCCGGCTGCATAGAGGGGATACCCGAGAGCACCAACTGCCAAAGTCCAGCGAAATCCAATCAAATTGGTAAGGAACGGGCCAACGAAACAAGTCAACGTCATGAAGGCGTAAAGAAGGGCATTCGCTGCGTTGACCAGATCTGGACTTTGCGAGCCGCCGACCCCAAGTCCGTTCATGGCGCTCCATATTCCCGGCGCACAGAAAGCGCAGAGACCGACAACGAGTATCTGGAAGAGAGTACTCCTGAAAAATGGTATGGGATCCCTCGCGGAAGGCGGCACGTTGCCGAGATCGATTGGTGAAGGCTGGCGAGGAGTTTCCCTACGAACGTCGGCCTCCACCGCTCCCTTTTGATCAAATGATGATTTGGGGAACATTGTGGGCTGCGATATTCTCTGATGCTGCGATTTGTTGTCGCCGTGATTCCTTTTTGAAGACAGGTTGAAAGGTTTCACAGCAGCCAAGAGACGAGGCACCCTCCCGAAGACCCTGATGGCTGCACTTGGATGACCAACCTTTATGGGCTGCTGTAAACCCATGACGTCCTATGGTTACCCTTGACTTGACCTGAAAATCCCGAGATAGGATTTAAAAGTTGCCTCTAGGAATTCCTAATGTACGGGTTACCTAGTACGCTAACAGGGTTACAGATTATGTGCTCAAACTTCGTCCCAACGTCGCACCGATCGACAGTCCTCAGCCAATCTCTCGAATGACGCGAAAAGTGACCCAGACCCCGCATCGAAGACAGCCGGGAGTAGTACATTTGTATCTGCAGTTATTGACGCTATTGTTTGTTCAGATATCTTCTATGCAACGGCTAGCATGTGACCGTATCGCCGCCGATGAGTCGCGCAGTTGCAACATGTGCTTACCTTAGTAGAGCGATTGCTGTGAATCTATCATATCAAAGAATCCTGGTTGTCTCTCGTGCTTCATTGTAGTTACTCTACGCCATGTCAAATAGCTCGATTTCTTCCCAAGGAGATATGCTAAACGCATGTTGGAACGAGAATGGAACGTTGGTTCAAGTAGGCATGTTTTCGGCTCAGATGTGCATCTCACTTTATATCATAGCATTGATAAGCCTATTCCACCGGAGGATACGGGTAACGATAAATGGGGTAGAGATATTGATTCTCGCCAATGAACATGAAGCCCAAAATAACGTGATTTTAGCTTCAAACACATCAAAAGCACATGCTAGCATTCTTCCCGTATGTATAATACTCGCCGGGAACCACACCTTGAGCGCTCCCGACAACTCCAGCCTATGTCCGTTGTCTGTTGTAGGAGCCTGCGATCCTTCATAATCCGAGCAATCACTTCCACCCATAGCCACTGCAAAGCGCCAACTCACAATGGCGGCTTCTCTCACATGGCATGTTGTGGGAGCCCATCAAACCAGCAACCACGTCGATTCTCCAATTGTGTTTGACAATTCCATGATTGACCCGAGACAAACCAACGACTTCTTGGCGAGCCCCATCCCAGCGGTACTGCGACACCCTTGGCTTTGAGGCCTTCCATCAGTTGAATGCGGTCGTCCATACTGTAAAATCTCTTCAGATACATGGTATACTTACCAAGAAACTCGCCATCCACGGGGCACTACTGTTTAGAGACTTGCCTATCCACGGCGCCTTTAGCCAATTCGCACACGCTTTCGGGTACAAACCGCATCAGATCATCGGCATTGTAGTCGATAGACCGTTATTAGCGCTGAATGTGGCGCCTGCAAATGAAAGTCCCAAGGAAGTTCTCATCTACAACCAGAACGAGTCATCCCAGGTCCCGCACGCTCCCGAATACGTTTTCTTCTATAGTCACAAGGCACTTTCGAAAGGGGGCGAGACCCCCATTTCTTCATCACTAGAGTTATTCCATAGGGCCAAGAAGGAGATCCCGGAGTTCATCCAGGAGCTGACCGACAAAGGTATTCTGAGCAGGGTCACCTACAAATTCGACAAGCAGTACACAGGTGGTTCAACTCTGCAACAAGCGTTTGGAAAGGAGTTTTTGGAGGGCGACAGTGTGGCTACAAAGCGCGCAAAGATCGAGGCGCAGATTGCTAGATATGGAAGAGGGAAGCATACGGCATGAGAATGGATAGACGACGGCGTGATGCTGACACATAGGTTACCCGCTATTCCAGGTCAGCCAGGCACGGGACTTCCGACACTCTTCACTGGGCTAGCTGCCTACTGGAAGAACTCTCAAGAGGGCAATGGAGCCAGGAAGGAGGTCACCAAACAGCTCTACGGCGACGGCACGCCAATTCCGGACAAGTATCTCGAACATTTGGCGAAGATCACAGATGCGATCCGAGTACTCCACAATTGACAACAAGGAGATGTTCTCGTTTTCGATAACGTCATTGCTCAGCATGGTAGACAGCCCTGGGAAGTCGAACAATCGGATCGAGTGGTGCTTGCTAGTCTTTTCGATGGGGACAGTGTCCCGGGAGCGTATGGGGATGGCGACTGGGTTCAGGTCGTTCAGGCAGTGGATGATTAATGATATTTCAAAAAACTGGGAGGTTTCATATCTTGTCATTTAAAGAGTGATATATTGTGAGAAGTGGATGAAGGTGTAATTTCCATATCAAAGGAAGGGAACGGCTGGCTGGCTGGCCGATATGCTTAAATACTGGCAGATGATTATTAACGCTTCTTTCTTCCATGACAAATGAGTTTAATATACCTATGTTACGGAGTCTGTTGTAGAAGATTGGCAACTTGTGCCAAAGTTCAAGGGGAGGCTGCCATGGGACTAGTGTCTTTAGATCAGAACCTAACTTCCGATTGGAACTGAGGGAGTCGACCGAAATCCCAGTTTTCCTCCCTTGCAGTACCTTTCCGTTACGTGAAGTCTCCATTCGGATTCCCAGCCCCATCCCTTGCCTCAAGTTTAGGAATGCAGAGCTCAGTCACGTTCCCCTAAAATTCAGGCACCAGGAACCAGGCACAAAGACGTACCAAACATGGAAACCTGTTCATCCAAATCGGCGATTCAAGCTCATTTCTCTATTCTCCCCGCCACCCAGTGCCTCCCGTCACCTTTGCACGATGCACACTGGCATCCTGATCCCTCTCGGCCTCTCTCTCTGGTCACTCGGGCTGAGCCCGGGCCCAGTTTTATTCTATGGTAGAGGTAGGGAAACTACTCGAAATTCTGTTGTTCAGAAGAGTGCCTTACATGTATTGAGTACTATATATCACAGGACTCAAGTTGGCATTAAGTCGGAGAAAGATTGTTTAGCATGATATCCCGTCATCTGATAGTGATGAGCTTACCATAGAACAGCTTTGATACTACCTCAATTGGCCGTTCTGCAAAGCGGAGGCAGTAGATATAACATAACAAATCCACAGATTGTAAATTGACAACAAGTGGTTGAAAAGACCTTCATCAATCTCAGACCTCTTCACCAATCTATGGCAAGGGCGTGCTAGGAGCGATTTGCCCATGAATGCCTCTGATCAAGCAAGAAACATCCAGAAGATTATATAAAAACTTCACATTATGAAGATGACTCTCAGAATGACTGGGATGGGCTTTAGGGACATAAAAACTCTGATTAAGAATCACTGCGTTGGCTCGAGAATCAATTAGTGATCGTATATGTGTGTTACTGTGTGTACCTTACCTAAGTATATTCAGATGTCTACGATGCCGAACCTCGCGGTGACTTCTCCCAAGAATTGAAAGATGGACGCTCCTGTCTCTTCAATAAATCAGGACTCATTGGAGGTGTATCGAGCCATTGCTCCGTGACCCCTGAAGTCAAAGTTCTCTTGCTCCAATATCTATCAGGTCTTAGGTAGCTGCATACTCCTAGAGCCTGAATTCTTTTGTGGAAAATCTCCAATTCATTCGACCTGATGGGCTAGACTGGACGTCGCAACAAAAGGGTGTCTGCGCTGAGGCAACTGACATCGCAACCGAAATATCACTTCGTAAGCTCCCGGTGTCGATGAACAGCATTTAAGCTCCAGGTGCAAGGAGGTCCTCCCAAACTCTCCGAGTCGCTCATTGAAGGCCGAAAGTGATCGTTGCGAGTACTTTGGAGATGGTCTGGCGGCGGATGGATTTGAGCGCCAAGGAATTCTGGAACTTTGACACATAACCCGGACATATCAGATGTCGGAGAACTTCTACAAATCGACCTGACGTTGCCAATATGGCGGACCAGCAGACTCGCGAAACCGCAAAGAACCGACCATCAGCTTTTGTGAGTAGGTCAGGGAGAGTAGAGCGGATATTTATGTCCAAGTACTGGGAGTATCCCTTGAATCGCAGTGATCCCTCAGGCATTCCATTGTATGAGGTGGTGGCGTCGGTAAGGAGCAAGGGAGGAACGAGGCAGACAACGACATGTGCGCAAATAGGCAGTGCACGTGACATATTGCCTTGCGATGCGTCGAGAGATACATGTCGTAACCGTGAGTACAGGGCTCAAGTATCAGGAGATGAGTATGTTAGGATAGCGAGCTGTTGGTAATGCCTGATCTGCTCCAACCTCCTTGCTTGATATGTGTAGCATTACGAAAATCTTCACACTGTGTTAATGGTATTGACCAGTCTGCCTGCGCTTTTCCATACCGAATTCCTAAATGAAGTGTGCATTACGGAAAAATTCATTTCCAAAATCTGCGTGATACATCAAGTGATCACACATTCTGTGCTAAGATACGAATGACGTTGTTTGATAATTCCCCGAGCACATAACAATATCAAGGCATGACAAGTGAAATATCACCATGCCCTGGCATTGCCGACAATTGAGTAAGCTGCAAATTTCAGATGATGCAGGTATATTGAGCCCATGGAATCGAATCAACGCTTCAGTCCCGCGATCCCCAGACATGAGCTTTCCACATTCCATAATACATGGATTAATAATTGTGCCCTTGCACGTTTGCTTTATAATGCTATGATATACATCCATTACCTCAAGTTCGTTCAAGCCATGGTATATGACTTACGTGAACCTTTAGTATTCAGGTGACAGTAATCAACGTGGGTCAAATAGAAGAATGGCTGAATAGCTGACAAGATCGATTGATCTCGATTTAGTGTACTAGACGGTTCCAGTTCTCGTATCTATGGTAATCAGGACCGTCTCGAGCAATTATACTCTATCATAGAGTTGAGTTTCTATGCTATCATCTGCAAGGTTACGAAGATACTCAAATTTCATATGACCTATTTTATACAACACGCCGCAAAGGTCGATCGCGAAATCTTCACACAAGTCAACTCCAGTCGTGATTTCGTATTCTTCAGATCACAAATGAGGATGAAAATTGCAAATAAGTTATGTCTCCCTTCCTCTTTGCGCGTTGAGCCATTGAGAGTCTAAATAAATACTCTTAAACTAACTACCTTACATCGACTAGGTACGCGGAAAAAGTAAGAGGTTTTGTTTTTCCAAAATAAAATAACTTCATTGTTCAAATGTAGTCTCTTCCAGATTGAACTTAGGATCCCATCATCTGAGACTTCATCTTTATTATGGAGCAGGACAGATATCACTCCTTCTATTATCTATCACATGAGAAGGCTTTATAATCATAGCCTCGTCAATAAGTCCAAATACTATGGCTGAGTCCACATGAGGTACACATGGTCACAGGCGATCCTCTTGAAATGTCAGCAACATCATCACCTACCTTGAAAAAAGCTATTTCCTTTTTCTTATTAATAATACACACGAGCAAAATTCTCAAACGAAATCATGTTACTAACGATCGATGACCAGTTAGATATTTTTTGGCGCTCCCAAAGTCTTTTGGTCTTATTTACTTCATTGCCAACATATGCATAAAGTACCTGCGGGAGAGAAATTACAGCCTCCCAAACCCCATTCTACGCAAGTTAAGAACGGATTTCGAGTCTCCAATCGAGAGACAGGCATTCTTTGGACCGATGATTCTCATAGAGATTGATTTCAGTCGGTTCTTGAAGAATGATCCCAGTAGGAAACTGGCAGCCATTAAACCCAGTGCTCGGGCTTTCACTAACTTACTACTTCCTCTTAAATCTGCTCCTACGAGTATGATTTGTGAAATCCTTCCCATAGCATGATGATATGACAAACTCAATACCATTCTCTCGCATGAGTTTTAATTCCAACATCAAGTTCCCATAAAGTCGGTGGCAGCTCAAGATAGACACTGGATAGGACGAAGTAAGCCGGGGAAAACAAGCATCAAGAGTCAAGAGAAATACAACCATCAGGCCCGTGATCTTCTGCGACGAACCCACTTTCCAATCATCCAGCCATCAGAAATCGAATTTTAAAAAATTATTTGTTGGATATTATTTTATTAAGATCTGTTCCTAATAAATTATTAGGTGTCTTGACTTATAAGTCTGACAGGAGTCATGTTTTGGGTGAGTAATACTGTTATTCTGGTCAAGCTTGTAAGTGCCAAGTATCAAGGGCATGCACCAAAGGGTCTGGACGTGGATCACCACATGCAAGATTTCACACCTCACTAATATTTTGTGACGATCAAATCATGAAGCCGCAAGACTTCCCCTTGATTACAAAGAGGTCGCCCAAGTATGCTCCAACTGCACGATGCAAGGCTGGAAGGTATTCTCGGCCAATGCCTCGATCGAATCCGTTGAGATGCTGACAATGCGAATGTAAAGACATCCACAATCCTGTGCAAACACTGGAGACTCACAGCGAATACGAAGGCTATTGGCTTTCTTGGAATTTCGAATATGTCACTTGCGATACTCATAATCATATGTGCATTCATGGGCCTGCATTCGGAATCTAAGGTTGGCCCAACGAGTGAAAGTTTGTGGGGTAGTCACGAGGGCAACCAACCTCTAGAATAGTTCGCTTATGCAAGGACAACAAAAGACTTCACTCATCTCGTAAGTTTAAGTCTGTTTGGGGGGGAACTAATGCCGTCATGTTCCCTCGCTGTCCCCATTTTGCCCAGAGAATAAGAAAGAATGCGTCTGCGAGGGATGCTATCGTGCATTTTGCCGCTGCGGGTTCCGTCTCCACTTGATACACTCAACGGGCCGAAACCATCAAACTCCAATGTATGACTCGCTCACCGGCGGATGGATCCAATGGAACGGAAGATCGAGAGCCGCATGGTGATAGACAGGGCCATATCGGTTTTCGGGAGATGACTGGAGACGCCGAAGGCGACGAAAGGAGGCCGGGCGTCCGGAAGCGAGAATGGATATGGGCAATTTGGCGAATTCCAGGTGTAAGATCTGGCCCAGGGATACCGAAAATGTTCATTGTCGTCAACGACAAGCTCGGGAGGGCGCCGGGCGGAACGCCACAGACAAGACCCAATTTCCAAGCTTAGCGGACGGGAATGCACGCTTATTGAGATTTAGCGATGTTGGGGTTTGTTTTTTCCTTCCTTCGTCGGACCTATTGATTGGTGCCTTGTTGAGGCGGTCTCCCTCGTTGGATTGCGGAGAAGGTGAGACATTGCCAACTGATGAGTTCTTGACCGAGGTGATCCATTCCTAACCTCCTGACTAAACTCAACACGAACGACGAGGAACGAGACACGATAGCGGAAAAATGGAAAAACGAGACATGGAGACCTGGTTTGGTGGCGCTTGCTGTAGGAAACTCTGTATGGGTCTCAGGCATGCAAACTCATCTTGTCACTCAGGAGACAATGCTCACGGCAAGGGAGAGAGGCATGGGCAGAGCTGCCAGAGAAGCCAGAAACATCGTTTCCATGGATCTTTGGCTGACATGAGGGAAGGAAAGGGAGTTTCCAGAACGTATAAGAAAGAGAAGATTCTCCAGCTTCTCTCCTACTCTTCTTTCCCTCCTCACCCTCATCATCATTACACTCCGCATCCTTAGCTCCTCTCTTCCTCTCTCTCTCTCTCTCTCTCTACCTCGTTTCACTCGTTTACGACCCGAGGTCTAGTCATTCTTTTACTTGCTTTCGTCACTCGCTTAGTCATGCGTCGCACGGCTCTCGTCTTCCTCCTGGGCAAGGTCGCCCTGGGGCAGAGCACTGCTCCGTTCCTGAACACCACCACTACCTCATCCTCTCGGACCTCCTCGTTGAGCACTCTTCAGACCACCTCAACTGGCCAGACGACAATCAGCAGCTTGACCACTTCTACCGGTGTGAGCACCACTTTGACGACTGAGATCCCGATCACGACTTCCGATGAGGTTACGACCATTGACACGACCTTCAGCTCCGACGAGCCTCCCATCACCTCTGACGGGTCTCTGACGACCACGATTGACACCTCTGCCACCACCACTGGCACCGGCACCACCGCCACTGGCACCGACACTTCCGCAACTTCGTCGTCCGCGACCCCGTCGGCCACCGTCATCCCCAACCCAGGCAGCGTTGGCAACTTCTCTCTGCTTGGCTGCTTCGGCTCCACCACCGGTTTCCCTACCTTCGAGCTTGTCCTGTCTGCCGCTTCTATGACCCTTGACCTTTGCGTCGCTTCCTGCCCTGCCGGCAAGCGCTACGCTGGTCTCTTCGGCTCCGACTGCTTCTGCGGTGACATCGTCAGCGATGCCACTGCTACCCGTGTCTCTGAGGACAAGTGCTCCATCTCCTGCCCTGGTAACTCTGGCCAGCGCTGTGGTGGCCGCAACGTTGGTGGTACCCTCAAGCGCCAGCTCATCTCTGCCGAGATCCTGTTGACCATCTACATCCGTATTGATGGCGGTATCGATGCCACCACCACTGCCACCGTCACCACCACCTTCACTTCTGTCACCACTGCCACTGTCGATGGTACCGCTTCCACCGGCGTCACCACCGTCACCACCACCTACTGCCCTCTGTGCCAGGACTGCCAGGGTCCCTTCTGCTACAAGCCTGCTCCCAACCCGTGCTCCAACGGCAAGTGCTTCGGTATTCCCTGCTACGGTGAGGACTGCTACAAGAAGATTGTGGCCTACGGCGACTACTGCGGATACGACTACCCCTGCTACGGTGCCGACTGCCAGCGCCGTCTCGTCTGGATCGATGGCACCTGGTACCCTGAGGCCTGCTCCGGATACGACTGCGGCCGCAAGATCAAGTGTGTCTCCGGAAAGTGCGCCTACGTCGTCAAGGGCTCCGACTTCGACTCCGAGAAGATTATTTGCTACGGTAACGTCTGCAAGGTCGAGACCTGCTCCGGTGATGAGTGCTACAAGAAGTATGTCTGCAAGGACGACTCCTGCGTCTTCGAGTCCTGCTCGTACGCCGAGGCCAACAAGAAGTACGTGTTCAAGCACGACAAGTACATCGAGGTCAAGGGCTGCAACGGCTCCTGCCCTATTCCCCAGCCCCCCCACGTGGTCATCCCCGTTCCTCCCGTCACCACTGTTGCTTGCGACGGCCCCACCTGCAGCACCCTTCTCATCGCCGTTCCTCCCATCACCAAGGTTCCCTTCCCTCCGGCCACCAACACCGTGCCCGCCGGCGCCCCTCCTACCGGAGCTCCCCCCGCTGATGCTCCCCCGGCCGGTGCTCCCCCTGCCGGCACCCCTCCCGCTGGAGCCCCTCCTGCTGGTGCACCCCCTGCTGGCACTCCTCCCGCCGGTGCCCCTCCCGCTGGTGCTCCTCCCGCTGGTGCTCCTCCCGCTGGTGCCCCTCCCGCTGGTGCCCCTCCCGCTGATGCTCCTCCCGCTGGTGCTCCTCCCGCTGGTGTTCCCCCGGCTGGTGCTCCCCCGGCTGGTACTCCCCCGGCCAACTCTGCCGCCCCTCCTGCTGGCGGCAACCCCACCGGCACTGCGACTGCCAAGCCCCCCGTCGTCACGGCCGGCACCAGCAAGTTCGCTGCCAGCTTTGGCGCTCTTGCCTTCAGCGTTCTTGCTGCCGCTGTCCTTCTGTAAGGGACTCGTCTGAGCACGGATGGATGTTCTCTTCTTTTGACTCTACTATGGGTCTGTTAATGGTTATCAAGTGGTGGTTTGTGGTAGGAGTAGTGGTTTTCTTCGATAGTGGCCTAGCGGTTTTTGGGAGCATCTTCGGATCTCTCTGCTCGGCTATGGATGGACCTTTGACAAACGATTTGACGATATAGATAATAAAGCGTGTGTTTCGCCACATACAACATCTTGCATTCTCTGTGACATTGCCTCCAATGTTCGACACAAAGCCTTCTCATCGTTTTCCTAAATTTGACGTTCGATGAAGCCTTCTTTTGATTGCACGTGCGAGTCGCTTGTTCTCCGATGAAGAGCTTCAGGTTCCCTGAGTGGTCTACTCCGGTAGCCCGGGCCCACTTCCGGGTGCATCGTCCGGGATCCACCCCGGCCCGAGTGTCCGGTCACTCGGGGCTCGATTCGGCAAGAAAAAGGTAAGAAGACCAGATACTCCCTTTCTTTGATGGGATCGGATCGAATACTTTTAGTTCGATCACAGCAGTCATGCCAAATGGGTATCTTGCAGGTAAGATGCCGCTCACAATTTCTGCGTTGTGTATCTACTTGTGCTCGAAGCGTACGCATAGCCATTTATCCAATTTATGTACGGATACCAGTATAGATATAATCCTCAACAACATCGCAAACTATCACGGCAGAGAGGTTTAGGCGTCGGCGTCATTCTTCCGGCCAAACGTCGCATCCGCCCCTTTTGCACGTTTCAGCACGTGGGAGGTCCAGGCGGGCGCTGCAACGGCGTTCCAAGGATGAGATCGGGCACAGATGGTCCGTACTCTCTCGATTCCTCCGGAGAAGCCCAAGGAGATCCAATAGCAGCAGCAGTCTGCGGCAGATGCAGCACGCTGCTGAAAAGGCTTCGTTTGACAAGAGTGTGTTAACAGGGCGTGGCAGATGGAGTGGCAGTCGAAGGATCAAGACCTGGATTGTCATCATTGATGAATGATCAAGCTGAGGGGGAGGCTGGGAAGAGCTGACAATGCGCTTCCGGTTGGCTGCAGTCCCAAACATCCCCCTTCTCCGTTTCCAACGAAAGCTTGTCTCAGTGTGCGTTCTCCGTCCTTTCTCCTCAGCTGGTCACGGTCTACAACCAAACCAAACCACCGTCAGGCCAAGGAACTACGATGTGGGAATAGACCACAGAACGAACCGGGACTGCAGTTAGTGCATCGCAACTCGGACGGTCATGCCTGCATGTTGCAAAGCCAATTCCTTGCTGTGCCTGTCTTCCTTCTTGGAATCCTGCCTAGTTCTTCTGTCACATACCCGTCAGCCTGACTCTTCGTAGCCGCCCAGCCCGGTCCTGTGAGCCTTGAGCACTGAAGCTGTTGAAATGCTGTGGCCGATGAACATGTTCTGTGCCTGAGAGCATGCGACCGAACTGTTCCGAAGACGACCATTGACCACCACATCGGCTACACACCGACACCACCTTACGACCTGACTGAACATTGACCTTTCCAGACGCGGCCGTGGCCCATGAATGAACCTTAACTTGACCAATATGTCCACCTCCCCCGCGTCTCCCACCCGCACTACTACCGCGTCTCCTCCCCATCATCCTTTTACTACCCGGCTCTCGCTTTCTAGCTCTTCTTCCCCCTCGACTTACCCAGAGCAACCCCACTTCTCTCGTACAGTATCACAGCAGCAGCCGGCAGTACGGCGCATAAGCAGCGACCTTTGTACTCAACGCCAGGGTTCTCGACGACTCACTGAAGGGCAGAATCTCACTTCATCGCCGGCGAAGCTAATACGCTTTATCGGCTTTCTCACAGCATCAAAGGAGTGTCACTTGTGGCAGATTGGGGATACGAAGGGTCACCGACGGGAGGACGCTTCAACCGGGACGAGGGCTCCTCGCCCGACTAACCCCGCCATGGCGCCCGACGCAAACAGCAACTTGACCGGAGTCACACCCCAATCCCGGACCAAGGACCAGAACCAGGACCAGCAGAAGCAGCTAAAAAAGTGGAAAAAGATCTGGCTGAAAGGTCTATCTGTTCGTATCCGGCCTCGCAAGGACTCGCCGCGAGCAGCAGCAGCAACAACATCAGCAGTACCACCACCACCGCCATCAATCGGAGGAGAGACAGACCAAAGCGTTGAAAGAGGTACCCAGACCGCGACACGCAACCACACCCACAACCACGGCCAACATGTTCGCAGCAGCCAGAGTCGCACGCTGCGGCATTCAGAAACGCTTGCGCACCCAAGCGATTCAGACGCCGTAACGGACTCCGGCCTCTCGTCGGCCGCTGCCACCTCCGCCTCACACTCGCCCGCAACATCAACCACCGCTCAGACCACCACAGTCCCCTCGAGCTCATCGTCATCCTCGTCCACTTCTCTTAGCGTGAGCGTCGGTGCTTCCATCGGAAACTTCCCATCTTCCTCCGCGCCGTGTCCCACTTGCGGACAGCGCCGCCATGTCGACCTCCACCGGCCTCCGACGCCGGTCAAGCCCGAGGATCGGTTCCAGTTCCGGTCCGGGGTCCCGTATGGTCCTTGGACAATCACGCATCCTCCACCGTCGACAGCTGCACCATCGCAGATTTCCTGTGAGCTTCCCGCCCCCCAGCAGCAGCAGCAAGTGGGCCCCTGCTGCGCTGCCGAGACCCCTGGTCCGCTCACCGCATTCCACCCCTTCGCCCGCCTACCTCCAGAGCTTCGGTCCAAGATCCTGCGGTTCTATCTCGAACGCCCGCGCATCGTAGAAATTCGATGCATGAACGACCTGAAAAAGATCCATTTTGCACCAAACGCGCTCGGAAATCTTGCCTCCAATATCGCCTGGAGCGCGGACAACACTCTCCCGGCCCTGATGTGGGTGAACAGGGAATGCCGCGCCGAGACACGCGCATTCTACCGTGTTCAGCTACCGATGCACCCGACCAACAAGATCGCCTGGCCCGTCATCATCAACCCGGATTTCGACACCGTCATATTCACGTTCCCCTGGAGCAGCGAGATCCCCCTCGACATTTTCCTGAGCGACTGCCTCGCATTCGACCCGCTCGGCGTAGGCATCCGCCATTTTGGTACCCGTGACAGGGGCGGTCCCGAGACGTGGGACCTGACGCCCGTACCGGGATGTGCGCCGCTCGCAGAGAGCTTGGCAAATTTGGAATCCTACACAGAGGCGATCCAGCTGATGGACGATCGCGCGGCGGCCCGGTTCCCGGTGTGGATGATTCACGAGGGCTATCTCACCAGCGGCATCCCGGCCAAGAACGCGTTCTACCGCGACGTTCCGCGGCTGCTTCTTAGTAACGACTATGAGCCTCCTGATGCGATTAACCAGCGCACGGCGCTGGAGGCTTTGCGGACGCAGTTAGGGGACTATCTGCCCCAGAACGTAGCTGAGAATCTGGTTATGCAGAGGATGTTCTACCGCAAGTATTTCCGGCATTTGAGGATGAAGTGTACGAAAACCGATCTTGCGGGGTTGGGAATGGTGAGACAGATTCCTGGCTGTGAGACGGAGGAGTTCTTTCTAAGTAACGGCCGGGAAGTTGCGGGGCCGCGGAAGAAGAGGAGGTCGGTGCTTGATGTGAGGCCTAGTAGCAGCTGGCATCTTTGGGATGATGACTGAGTTGACAAGTTGTGAGCGAGAGTCTGGAGGTTGTCTCTTAACAGAGGAGTGTTGAAGCGGAACGAGAGCTGTATGAAAGTACCGTGCCACAGCAAGAGGAAAAAGGAGGGTTGTCAAAATACCAGAAGACATGAGTTTAGAGATTCGAAAAGATGTATCGCGATATATACGTGTGTGTTCTTTCACCAAGCAAAAGAGAAAAAAGATGCTGAATCGGCCAATTGGGTATGAAATTCAAAGCCTGCCTCCTGAAGCAGGCCTGGGTATAATGAGAGTCAAGGCCGCCCCGTTTTCCGCAGCACTAGAATCATCAGGAGTATCTCTGCTGTAGTCATATCCGTCATGTCAGAGTACATGTGTTCCTCATGCAGTCTTGATCCATCCCAATCCAAACTCCTGCCTGTGATCCGCCCCAAATTCCGTGATTTTGCCCATCCACAAGACCATGTGCGCCGGTATGTACAATAGCAATTTGAACAAATAACGGTACAAAAAACATCATCAGAAAGACTGAGCACAGCTCAAAGTCTTTCAAACTCGCACACACATGGGCTGGGCAAGCTATGCAAACGCGCCCTTTTCGTCCACCCTCGTTGGTTGCGAAATCTTGCCTTGCATGACACCACCTCTCTCCGCGCCTCTTTCAGCGGCGTTGGTCTTATCACCTCCCTTGAGGGCCTTCCTGTGCCTCAAGAAGTCCCGAGCAGTAAGCGCAATGTCAAATCCCGAGACGGTGGATCCCAAGACGAAGACTGTTGAAAGACTAAAGCCAATGACCAGAGCCAGATCAAAGGGAATGATTTGCGTGAAGCACAGGGCCACGGAGCTCAGGTCGGCAAAGCCTGTGATGACCGAGGCGAATGAGAGAACCAGGAAGAGCTGGTTGACCATGACACGGATGTTGGGGAGACTGAGGAGCGGCGCCGGGGGTGTGGGGCCGGAGCGGGAGGTGTTTGGGAGTTGAGGAGGGGCGCGGGCTTTGATGGCGAGATGCATTAAGAAGGCAGCCAAACCGACGAGAGTCGTGAAGAGGCTGATGATCTGTTGAGATATATATGAGCAAACGAGAGTCACGGACTAGAATGGCTGGGGTAAAGACTCACACCGTGGGCAGTGCGAAAGTGGGAAGACTTCGCAGTTACGAGAATGCCAAAGATGAGAACGACAACCACTGAAGGGCCCATGATGAAGAGCCACATGATATTGTTCCACTTTTGAACGTTGGGAAGAATCTGAGGTGCGTTGATGCGGAGGAGAAGGTTACGCATGTGCTCGAGACCGATGGCCAGGGGCAGGATGTTAATGTAGGCAATGATGGCAAACAGGACTAGTGGGATTGAAATGTCAGTTTAGCCATGGGGAATTCAGGAGGTAGACCCAGAACTTACTGTGAAGAACCAAAAAGGCGATCCAGCCTGGTAGCTTGAATCCGTTGACTTCGATACCATTTGCAGCGTTGATAATCGAGTTTCCAAGAGAGTCTCGGATCACCTGTCCATCAATGGCGTACGAATGCCCCTCATTGGAAATCTTGATAATCCCAGTCGGGATCACTTGCTTCGCAGTCTTGGTAACGTTTCCATTATTGAAGGAATCCAGTGCAATGGTCTTGCTGCGAATCAGTCCGAAACCAATGAGGCCCAAGCCGCCTACGCCTTGGCAGGTGAGGGCATTGACGCCGGCTTGAGCAGCCATGGAGATGGTCTGCGCATTGATCACAACAGACAAATTGAAGCCTTCGGTGGTGTTGACGGAGACAACCGGCGGAGGATCCTGTCTCGAGACGAGTTCGACATCTCGGCGTCGGGCGGGCGTGCTAGCAGCCGGGGCTGCCGGCGTATTCGCAGCGGGAAGAGGGTTTCCTCGCGGGTTGCTAGCCAGTCCGTACGCGACGAGGACGCCCTGGCCGCCAATGCCGACTCCAAATCCGCTGGCAGCTCCGCCGAGCGAGTCGTCGAACTGGACCTTGGCATCGGGCATCGCGCCGGCGGGCACAGTGGCGTTGCCCTCGAAGAGAGACTGCACACCGCCCATGCCCTGGATCGCATCTCCCGCGCCCTGGAGGAACCCGCGAGCGAAGCCCTGCGCGACTTTGCTGACCTGGATGTCCATGCCGTTGAACTTGATGGTTGCCGGGATACCTCCGCCATTCTGGTTCGCGTTCATCGATCCGCCCACTTTGTTAAGCAACTCGGTCGCGGTGCCGTTCTGGAGGAAGCTGCTCGTCAGACCCTTGGCGAACGTCTGCGAGATACCACCAAAGTCGATCTGGTCGTCGGGCATCTGCTGCATCGGCACCGCAGAGTCAGGCTGTAGTCCCAATCCGACCGTCGCTCCCTGACCGAGGCCCTTGCCGAAGCCCGAAGCCGCGGCGGGGAGGATGCGCATGATTTGCTTCGTGGTGTTGGGGTTGTTGGCCGAGTTGAACAGCTGGTTGATGTCAATGTTGGCCGCTACCGTCTTCGTCAGACCGAATCCAAAGGTGCCGATGACGTTGGGGATGGACGAGTCGTTTACGGGTTCGAGGTTCGCTGCGTTGGCGTTCAGCTTCAGGCCTGCGACTGTGCCGTTTCCGAGACCTGTTGCGAGAGAGAGGGCGATGGGCTGCAGCTGATTTGTGATGTTGCCGCCCAGACTGTTGAAGTCGATGGCGCCGAGTAGTGTAGATGTAAGTCCGACGCCCAGGTTCTGGATGGCTGGGTTGAGACCCGTGGCTTCCATCTTGTTGTCCGCTGCGACTTTTGCTGCTACTTCCATTGTCTTTGCTTGCGTAGACAGGTTGAGCCCCTGGGCCGCTCCGGCTCCGACGCCGATGCCCAGAAACATGCCCGGACCGTTTAGGTTGGCGACAAGTTGGTTTCCGACGTTGCTCAGTCCGTCTTTCAGGGGTTGAAGGAGACCACTGAGTATACCAGCTGACATTCCTCCTCCATCGGCACCGCCTCCGCCTGGGGTCGGGAGGCCCGGGAGACCAGGAAGTCCTAGAGGGCCGGTACCGCCTCCACCACCACCACCATCGGCGCCACCTCCAGCGGCCGCCGCTCCAAAGAGTTCTCCGAGACTGGGGAACTGTCGCTTGTGCAGTTGACTCGAGCTTTCTTCGTCATCCCTCAACCCTTCGAGGCTCCTTCTGATCTGCTCCTTGTACTCCTGCAGAGCTTCTTTTGTTTCCTGGAGTTGAGGTGACTCGTAGCGGGCGGCTAGTTGATCTGTGAGATCAAAAGTGTAGTCGACCATAGACATCAAGGTCCTCCTGAGCCTTGGGTCGTTACCGATAGCTTCGACGGTGTCTGGAGTCACGATGGCATCAATGGCTTGGCCCCAGGAACCCAGCTCTCGTTTTGCTACCGATCGGCTGCTTAGGCTAGGTTCTTGGTAGAAGTAGTCTTTAATCTCTCTGCCGACGCTGAAAATGGAAAATACCATCAAGAACCCAATACAGAAGGTCGTCAACTTCTGATGCCTTGGGGCAGGTGGAGGTGGAGGAGTCTCTGTTCTCTCCGGAGCATCCTCCTGTGGTGATATTTTGTCGTACATATCCATGATGATGGGAAGTAGTGGACGTTACTTGAAGGTCATAGGAAGGATCTATCGTGACATTAAGAGAAACAGATTTGGGTATCAAAGGCAGTTGACTGGAAAGAAAAAAGGGCTGCCAGCAGTCGTGTATGAAGGAAACGAAGATTTGTTTCTTGACCCAACACCTGAATGGATTATGGCCAGATGGATGGAGGAACAAAGGACTTCTATTGGAAACATCTAGAGACGAGCGGGGGACGTATCTATACAAAAAGCCCCGATAGCCATGATCCCCTCGAGCATAAAACATGGAGCGTCGATCTCCCTCCAGGGTAAGTCGAGATGCTAGTTGCCATTTGCGGCGGGATTCCGCTCCACTCAGACCCTGACATGGTCCGCACCGGGATAGATAGAGTGGGACGTGTGAAAGTGGGAAGCTCCTTGCGAGCATCCCAGACATGTCTAGCCGGGGCCGAATCATTGAATGGAGTGGCAGAGTGGCAGCCACAGGACCGGGTCTCACGACGTCAGTCAGGTCTTTTTCTTTTCCTTCACGCATCGTCCAAGTGACAGAGTCATCTATGGGATTGCATCGTCGGGGAGAGGTTGGGGTATAGCCTACAGCCGTGAGAGTTCTGTCATTTACAGGCTTAAGAGCGCACAGGTCGAAGCCAAGAGCGTTTCCACAAAGTTACAGTAAGCCATAGACTTGTGTCAAACGAAGTCAAATAAAGAGTCGTGTTTGATTGGTCCACCATTCGAGGGCTATGTCGTTGTAACATGGTTTCGACGTGTCCGAGTACCGAGAAGGGCCGCGTGGAGGACGCAAGAAGCTTGGAGCTTGAAGCTGAGAACTTGAACAGAGCAGTTCAGCGCGATGCGAGCTACAGAGGGAATGCGTATACGAGATACGGGCTCAATACGGCAAGTCGTTCACAAGGATACTACTGTGTAAGTAAACGGTAGTAGCGCGGCGCCGGAAAAGGCAAAAAGGGGATGAGCAGAGTTTGAGTTGGGAGCCACAGACAATGGAGAAGCAGGTTGTCAGTTGAAAATGCTGGAGTTTGCAAGTTTCAGACGGTTGTGTGAAGTTGCGAAGACTCTGCAGTGATTGGCTCATGACGATGCCCATCATCTGTAGACTGTAGCTGTAGCCCGGCCGAACGTGCCTAATGGCGATTAAGGCTGGTTACAGTCGTTACAAGACGACCAAGAGAGCAGAGAGGCCTGAACAAGGGACCCCTGTGGCACATCACAGTGGTTCCCGCCGTGGCGATGAGGATGATGCCGGGCGGACACATGCTTGTGTGTCGAGTCTGTGAGTGCTTGACGGGATCTGACACAATCTGACAGGGGAAACCAATAGCCACAACTCATGAACAACAAGGAATAAGTCGGGCATTGACTTACACTTAGCGGGGTCACAGCGTCATTCAGACGCTAAGATGCAACTGCCAGACATGCCAGCCGGGCCTCTTCCTGGTCCCCCCGGTTCTTGGTAGAATCTCTACGATCAGTTCTCGCAAACTGCCCGCAAACCATTACCAAGAACGGTAACTCCCTGCAAAGGGATCTTTTCCCACACAGACGGAGCCGAGTACGGATTGTCTTAGTCATCCTGTTGACCGCAGAGGTTCCCTTCTAGAACGAGGTGGCACTGATCATTAAGTTGTCGACAACTCCCATTATCCCCGTCTCTTCAGCTTAAAAGGGGAACCACCTCATCGTGTCCGCGTTCGTATTGTGAAGCCTGACCGCATCACGCATTTCACTGTCGTGGAACCTTCTCCAACTGTCAGACACACGTCGTCCCTTATTTCCACTTCCAGTGTCACTAGCCTCCCACCCCACACTTGAGCCTACACCACGACACACAGCGACTGAGGCTGTACGGATACACCTCATTCTCATCTTGATACAGTTGATCCTATCGTCCATCGGCATCTTCCATTTCGCGGTTGCAGCACGTTGCCTAGCTCAGTTCAGAGTCGTCCGAGCCATCGCTAGCGTCGTCTCCCGAACTTGTCAGAAACTCAGCGGTTGTCTGACACTTTGATCCTGCGGACCCAGTAAGGTCGACCCTCAACGTCGTTGACGCTGGCAACCTATCAAGCCCAACGGCGTCTGCCCCGTCAAATTAGGCGATGGATTTACCCGTTCGGTCAACATCACGCCAGCCTCCACCTCCCCAGGCTGAAGGCGAGCATGACGCCGAGGTGTTTGAGGACGAGCACCAAGATGGGGGCCTCCGAACCACGGACATCCATGCTCCGCCCGCCGTCCGGGAGATTGCCCCGACACCTTGGAGGATTTTAGAGGCGTGTGAAGGTTTCGACTTGCGGACCTGGGTTGTCGCTTCGGGAAGCCAGCCGACGACGACCACAACGACAACTACAGCATCGCCAAATCCCAACAGTAGCCGCAGCAGCAGCAGCTATGGTTGTGACCAAGATGCAGTCTTTCATCGCTTCCCGGATCTGCCCTACGAACTACGACGCAAGATCTGGCGCATGCACCTAGAACGGCCGCGCATAGTCGTGATCAGAGGCGTACCAGACGGCTCAGGCGTTCAAGCCTCCGGCAACGACCTGGGCAATATGGCGTGCAACGCAAACTGGTACTGCGAGAACAGGAGCCCGGCACTCCTTCGCGTGTGCGACGAGTCACGGCGCGAGGCAAGGTCCTTCTTCAGGATCCAGCTGCCCATGAGGTCATCGGCGCCCGACAGCCACGGGTTCCCGGATCTGAAGCAGCGAAACCCGGCGTGGGACCGGATCTACATCAACCCTGACTGGGACCTCGTCCTCTACCAGGGCGCCACTAGGTCTCTTACTGTGCCCATCCTTGCCAGCGACCTGCTTGCCCACGACCCATTGGGCAGAGGGGTCGCGCACTACGGATCAAATGACTGGCCGCAGAGCATTTGGCATGTTAATCCAGATCCTGGCTTTGGCATGGCTACCCTGAATGAATCGTTCGCCTACCTCAAAAGCTTCGTACTCTGCACGAGATCTACGTCTGAGATAACTCGTCCACTTGGCGAGGGCTATGTACATGCTGTAGCTGGCCATGTTGGCCTGGTCGGCTCGCGTGACTCTGGCTCCGGCTCCGGCCCTGGCTCCCACGCGTTTGACTGGCATCGTGCCTCATCCGGGATGGCCGCAAAGACGCCAAACAACAGCATGGTTCGCAAGGCGCTGGTTTTTGGCAAAGGCGTTCATCACTCCGTTGTGAATAACCTCGTCACGGTTGAAATGACGACACGTATCCGCGATGGGGGCCTCGCCTGGGACCTCCACTCGACAACCGACGGATGGGTCATCAGGCTCGCCTGGCAACCCCCGGACTGCGCCATCTCCCATATCATGCACCTGACCACGGGTCCCGTTAAGGAACTCAAAGTAAGTTGAGTGGCAAAGCGTCTTCCACATTGGGATATGCTTCTATATTCGTTCACCTCTGATCTCTGGTCCTGTTGCTACAGCTGTTATGCGCGGCCAGGCGACAGCACAGCGTCATGACTATGGGGAACGAGGAAAAAAGTTGCTTTCGCTGCCTCTCTCTTGCGCTGCAGCTGGGATTGATGTCCTTTTTGTCAAATGTTTTACACCTATGATACAACAGACGTCTCTCTTTACCGGCGGTTACCGCTTGGCCGAGAGCGGCCTCAATATTCTGTCCCTGATCACTCTACCTGCCACATCAGCGCCGTGCTGCAGGGTGATGGCTCCTACGATAGCAAAGAGTGCCGAGTTGAGAACGATTTGCTGGCCCGAGCCAGAAAGGTTTTCGGGCTGGAAACGACATTGTTAGAAAAGCAGAAGAAGAGGGTGTCGTCACCTCCTGAGGGGCTTGTGAGTTTTGGGCTTACCTTTGCCGGCTTCCATCGCAAAACCTTGTCGAGACCGGCAGCGAGCGCCAGCGCCTCGACTTTTTCTTTCGCAACGAATTTCTGGGGTTGCTGGACGTTGAGGTTGTCGATTCTCGTGAGAGCCGGGTGCTCAAAGCGTGTTCGCTGGTACGTCTTTTCCGGAACGATTGCCTTATTCAATGGGTCGGTCCCCGTCACTATGCGGTTCGTGGTCTCGAGAATAACTGCCTGTCTACCTGTAATAAGTTTGCCGAATGGCCCGAGTCAGCTTCATATACCCTTTTTTGCGCATGCAATTGTCGCAAGTGAAGCTTTGTTGCAAAGCAAAGGGGGTTGTCCTTACCCAAGTACGCCAGCTTGTCATTGAACCCCCGACGACCCTGGTCGAAGCTCTTGTGCGTGACCGCCAGCCACTTTGTCTCATCCGGCAGCATTTTGTCTCCGTCTCTGCCCAGAAGCTTCACGTACATCTGATCCAGCTTCTTGGGATCCTCGTTGACCTTCCAAACACTGCGCGCCGGGTTCTTGGTGATGTGAGGCGAGAAGGGCGCCTTCATCCCCTCGGGAGTGTATGACCATCTCGGGCGCTGCCTGATCTCGTCGGGTCGCTCGGCCTCTTCGGTTTTCCGTGACAATTGGTCAAACTTGCTCTCAAATTCGGCATCCATTCGGGAGTTGGTCGTCGCAAAGGTTCGGGAGAGGCATTGGATAGGAGAGACGACTCGGGAGTTTGCCGTCGATTGGCAATGCCTAGCGGCATGCCTCGTGAGGCTATATGCTGACCGGGAGCCGTTGGTAGCCATTGGGGGCGGTCGGCGAGGGAGAGACGACGGTATGATGCGGATTTTGGGGTGGGCTGTACCGTCGTATAGCTAGAGCTCCTGATGCTGGGAACTTTTTCGCGATGGGCGCTCGGAACAATTTCTCGACGTCACGTGGCACCGCGCGGAAGGCGGATCATGCAGTGACCGACGCTAGGCCTAGTGGGATCTAGTGGCTTTCTCTGAGCCAGGCACGTACTGAGTGGTCGCAGCTTCCTTCTCAATTAAACCCAGCGCGTTTCCCCACTTATTCCTGACACGCATGTGAAGAGCTGCGACGCGTCCCTCAAAGGAAAGGAAGGGACGGTCCTGCAGCTTGCTCAGCCTGCTTAACCAAACGCTCAAGTCATTTCTTTTTCAGCCTTCTCGCCAACTGACAACCATGACATGACAATCTCTCCGGGAGAATTGATCCCAAACTAAAAGGCTTCCATCACATGCACCATGGCGACTCCTAGCCGAACCAAGACCACCGCCCAGAGCAGTGAACTTCTCCTCGAGAAGCTGTCGGCTGTTCTGCCCAAAGGCTACCGCTTTGGTGTCTATCACCTCTCAACTCCCCCAACCAAGACGGATGCTCTCTATTCAGCTCCTCCCGAAGAGCGAGACGACAAGACCTTTTGCGAGAAGCATTTCCTTGCAATCTCCATCGATATTCACTCAAGCACTACCGACGCTGCGCAAGAAGCAAAGCAGACTGCCTCGAAGCAAATTCTTGTCCTCGCGCTGGAGGTCTTCATCTACACGACGGCATACTCGAGCACTTTCTTCGTCGCCAAGGCCGATTCAACTGGCTATTTGAAGCTACATAATCTTCCCAAGGGCACCTCCTCGCCTATCAAGGAAATCAGTAGTGCCTTTGTCTCGTACCTCGTCGAGCAACGCAGGCGCAAGGGCATTCAGTCCATCGTCAGTCTCTTTGCCCGGGCTCAAGATCAATACCTTTTCCCTGGTTCTGTCGAATACAGTGGCAAGCATGTGCTTGACGACAGAGGACTGGTAAAATGGTGGTGCAAAGTCTTGAACCCTCTCTTGGAGAACCCTCCTGTGGGAAAAGGGGCTCCGTGGGGTAGTGTCAAAGGCTACCTTGTCATCCCTGGACTCGACAACTACGAGACCAAGGCCTTCCTTCCCAAGACCTCGAAGAGCGCTGCTAATTGGGTTCTCGGACACGCTCTCGAGAAGATATCTCACTACACCAAGGAATATGACTGGGTGCCCGCACGATGCCTCATCCCCCGATTCCCAGACGATCCGAAATCCCGATTCCGAGACGAGCTGGACGAAGAGGCAGGCAAGTCGAAGCAGATGAAAACCACAGGGCATTGGAAGAGCGTGAAGACTTTGGAAACGTTCTGGGAAATGATGGCATATAGACAGGAATGCTCGAGCGGGCGGCTCACGGGCTTCATCTGGGTTGTCTTTGATGAGGAGGTCGAGCGAGTACAGAACGACAGCGCTTCCGCAGCTCTCCCAACACCGAACCCTTCTTTCGATGCATCAAACCCGCCAGTCACGCCTAGCAAGCAGAAGGCAGTGCGACCCGTCACACCCATGTCCACCCCTCGGAAGCTGTTTCCTGTGTCGCCCTCTGGCACACCGACCAAGACGAAGACTAAGCCCGAGAGCAAGAACAAACACAAGCAGAACAAGTCCAAGTTGACAGGAGTCGTCAAGCCAAGACAGCCGCGCATCAAGACCCAACAACGCAACTACCTGCTAGACAAGCCCATCTCAACTGCCTACTACTACTGGCCAGCCGAAGGTAGAGGCCGCAAGATTGTCGACGAGAATGACTACAAAAGAGTCAATGAGCTCCTCCTGCGCCTGGACTTTGCAAAGCCAGAGATTGCAGCTAGCGGCACGCGGCGATGGATTAGCGAGGTCGGCATGGGAGACAACTGGGGCATGCAGGTCGTGGGCAGGAAGGAGGCTCAGACGCCAGCGTCAAATGACTCTTCAGCGAATGCCGTGAATGTCATCTCAGGCCTTATTAAGCGCAAGCGCCCCGATGACTCTGCGACTACTAGTTCGGACGAGCCGGCGAGCAAGGTTAACATCCTCAGCACGGGGCTCATCCGAAAGAAGTCCAAAGACGAATCTGCGACCGCAGACACTGCCAAGGCCTCGACAGCGAATGGTGGGGAAGCTCCGCCAGTCAACGTGCTTGGAGCTGGTCTCGTTCGCAAGAAGCGCGATGCATGATTTCGAAGGGGGAGGAGTCAGGCACCTTATCAGTAATAGCAAGGCGTTGGATTGGGAATACCAGGTAACAGGGATCGGCTTTGGGAAAGCCTCATGAGGACAGGACATCAAGGCATATTATCTCGTTACCCCAAATTGATTAGGACGCCGTATTGCGGCAGGAAGTTTACCACATGTGTAGATATTCTATTGAACACGAATTGGTCTCGATCCTTTCGGGAAATTGCCCTCTCACTTGTGTAACCATTGTGCAGCATCTGACCCCAACGGCTTCGGCATCACTTCCCAGCCAACTTCGCAACCTTCGACCCGGGCACTATGTCGGATTGCCGTCATGGGACCGAATCCCGTCTTGCGGATCTCGAAGAAGTCGCTGGGGACGTCTTCGGGCTTTTCGTAGTCACCAACTCCTTCAAATCCGCTAGCTTTGGGATACTGCCCCAGGCCTCGCAGGTATTTCATTACGCCGGCAAGGGAAACATCAACCTTGTACGACCCGCCTTGCGTCGCTCTCTTGTACAGAGCTGCAGTGACACCTGTTGCGAGCAAGTACCCTCCAGCATGGTCCAGAGCTTGACAGGGAGTCGGTCTAGCGGCTTCTCCCTTCCCAGCATGCTCTGCTTCGGAGACGTTCATGCCCGAACAAGTCTGCACTAAGGAATCGTATCCCCGACGGCTGGACCAGGGTCCTTGGGGCCCGAACGCAGACATGTTGGCGATGATGAGGGACGGGTTGACCTTCACCAGCTCTTCGGGTGACAAGCCGTAGCTAGCCAGGCTGCCGGGGCGGAACCCCTGGACGAAGACGTCGCACGTCTTGATCAGGTCAAGCAGCTGGGCCTTTTCGGAAGGGTTGTGGATGTCCAGCTGGACAGTCCGCTTGCCTCTGCCAAAGTCACGATCCATGGTTGGGAGGTCGGGCAGGTTCGGTGATGTAATCCAGATGACGTCCGCGCCGTGAGCTGCGAGCGTCTTTCCGCACAAGGGTGCGGCAATGACTCGACTCATCTCGACGACGCGGAGACCTTGGAGGCACTTTGAGTTGCCCCCTGCCATTCTTTCGGGAAGACCCTTGAGCCCGGCTGATGAGAGTTGAGCAATGTCGATAGGGAAGTCGCTGATAGCTTTCGATTGAGGAAGAGCATCCCACTGGCGGTAGGATCTCAGGGCATACACCGCCATCTTTCCCTCCACCGTGGCGGCCGTCTCGAGGTCGATACTGGCCCAATCGGTAACCTTGTCTGATAGTTGCTGTCTATTCGATCCGACAGGCAAGCCCACCATCTCGAGGATCCCGTTGGCATGGTTAGGGAAAGAGTCGTGGATCCGAACATGGCCGTCTGAGGTCTTGTGCAGTCCGCCGATGGGACCCCAGGGTGATGGCGTCGGCTTGCCGTCGAGAGTGTAGAGTCTCTCTGACTTGAACTCAACTGTGGCGTGCCGAAGAGGGACTTCGACCTTGGGCACGGCAACGGTGTTTCGCAAAGCGTGAACCTGTGAT